CGGTGGGCGCGTTGGCGGGCGGCGCGTTGTCCTTGTCGGCGGCGGGCTGCGCGTCGGGCTCGGTGGTGGTGCTGGCGCTCGCGTCGGCGTCGGCGTCGGCGGCCGGTTTCTCTACTGCGGGGGAGGGCTCCGTCTTGGCTGGCGCGCTGGCGGGGACGGCGCCCTTTCTGTTGCTGTTGTTTCTATTGTTGTTGTTATTGTTGCTGTTGTCGCCTCGGCCGCCTCTGCCTGCGTTCGTATTCCGCTGCTGGCGACCGCCGCGGGGGGTGTTCTCCTCACCCGCGGGGCGAGGGGCATGACGCGACAGGGCCAACTGGCCCCTGGGCTTCGGCTCGTTGTGGGGCGTCGGCGTCGATGCCGACGGCGGTGGCGCGTGCTTCTTCTTGTTGGCGGGCGCGCCCGACTGCCTCTCTCCCTGCTTGTTGTGCGCCGGACGGGCTGGCTGGACAGGGGCCGGCGCGACGGCGGGCGCAGCAGGCGTGGGCTTGGGGGCAGGGGTTGCGACGGGCTCGACGACGGGCTCGAAGTCGTCGAGGAAGAGGTCGTCGTCTGTGCGGACGTTGAATTGGTCGTCCATGGTGGATGTTTGTGCTGTTTGTGTGGGAGCGATGGCACTTGACAGCAAGGTAATGGCGAGGGATGAGCTTGGGAAGCAAACGCAGGTTCAGGGTGAATGCACCGTCGGGTTCAGTCCTCTGACGACCAAGGATTCTCCATCACAGCTGCTCGCCAGCCGAGGGGCAGCCAAGGTTGCATGCATGCATGTGGCGGAGAACTCAGCACAGCTCCTCCTCTTCTGGTCGCCCCGCCATCACCCGCATTTCAACCAATCGGCAAAAGTGGGCTCCTCTGATGGCGCATCCCAGTAACTCTTACTCTTGCAGCCCCTTGCAAGTCCTGTTCGGGAGTTGGTTATTAGGAGGCGAGTTGGAATTATATACTTTTGTAGATAGATAGTAAGGCGAGATCACCGAAGCGGGCATAGGTGTTCATGGAACACCTGAGTCCCTGAGCCATACAAGTGTATGTCCACATCCCGTTGGGACCGATGAAGGCGGCTCTGCCCCAGTGGTCGGGATTCATGGGAACGCCCCAGTACCCGTTGGACGTGTTTGCTTGGAAGAAACATGCAGGACGGCCAATGGACATGCAATCGATGTCTTGGGCCACCGAGTGCACTGGGTATTGGCTGGCATCCGTCTTGGAGTTGATGGGTCGGTAGTCGTGGACGACTCTTCGGGGCATTCGAGGACTTCGATTCCATGTACAAATTCCTGAGTGAACACTATTTTCCTCGAGTGGCCTTTGCGCCCATCGCCCTGTCAGGACGCAAGACCAAACTCTTCACATCGTCGCTGGAGATTTTGGGATTCAAGATCGAGAATGGGGCCATCCATCCACAATCTGTGGCACAAGTCCAACTTTTTGCTGCCACTCTTCCCTTATTTTTGAGAGCAAATTCGTTTTGGCACCTGTGTGGCTCCTTTGGGCTGTTATAACGCTTGTCAAGTAGAGACTCGATATTTTACACAAACCGCCTGTGAGTAAGGACGACTCGACGACTATGCGGATAGACCAACGTGTGCGACCGTTGTGAGGGTTTCTCACATTTCCAGCGAGATCTTCGTACACAAATCTGTACTCGACCGAATATCTCCTGGAAAAATTGAACACTGCCCACAACCATCAGCACTTCTTGGCCCTTGTGGACGCGGTCGCTAGCTGCACTCACTTCCATCTGTGATCAATGCGCCAAGTAGCAGAAGCAGAAACAGAAAGCCGAGCGGCACGAGCAGGCGGCATTCAGGCAGCAAGCAGGGCCGACCGAAACTCATCTTGACATATTCAACTAGCACTGCTACGCTACCGCCATCATCGAATATTGCAATAAAGCCGTAGGCAGACACCTTCAGATCAACGACTGTGATGGGCGACACAGTTGCTGACAGATTCAACTGCAAGTACCCGTCGTTTCTCCTGGTCCTCACAGCATTGCCACCTTGAAAGATAGATTATCCGGACATCCAGCCCCGCCGCTTTTGCGGAGAGAGCTAGCTAGTTTAGAGGAAAAGCAACGAGGACACCGATTGCATGCCGGCCCGGGCCACGACAAGCTCTAGCCCCTGTCCAGACCACGCCATCAGCGCCTAAGCCGCCGGCCACACCGACATGGAAGCGCCGGCAACCAAGTTGTCCGCAAGCTTGGAGGGTCATCGGATCTGAATCCGCTGACGTCAGGCTCCAGAAGGTTTCCCTCCGTTCAGGCTAGCACAGGGGGCCGGGTCTACTTCCACGCGGGCTTGGACCCCCCCCCCCCGGCCTACACACAAGCTGGTGCTGCCGGGGCTGTAGCAACTCCATGGCCGGCTGCGGGGAGGGTTTGCGCTAGGAGCCATTTGGAATTATCGAGTCCTTTCGGGTCTGTGGTTCTGCGAAACGACGCTACGAACTGCCTTTCACTTTCGCCGGCTCGGAACTTTAATGGCGTCCATTCCATATGTCACATATCATTGCTCTCCACGAAAGCTGCCACCTCACGGTGTCGGGGGTGGTCACATTTCAACTATATATATGTGGCTACCTTGGCCTGTCCATACCAGTTGCTAATGATACCAGCCCATTCCCCATTGCTTTCCTTTGACGAAGATGTGTATTAGAATTCGAGCCTCCCCTTCCTCGTTTGAAATCTTACCTTACCGAGCTCTCCCTACCGGTATCTCTACCCAACTTCGGACCGCCCAAAGAGCCGACGTTCGGCGGCAAAGTCACGACCACATGCTCCATACACACCAACCCATGGACCTGGTAACGGCCAAGAGCCGCGCAATCGGCGCCTGGGACGAGAGGTCGGCGCCCAGGAATAGCCTCATCCCGGACGACGACGAGCAGGACTTTCTGCCGCGGCGTCGCTTCGACCCGCGGCGCAGCAAGCTGCACCACGACGTGCCTCTCGAGGAACTGGTGCAGTACGACGAGCAGCGCCAGGTGGCGCGGCTGGCGATGCGGCACCCGCGCACGGGCGCCATCGAGGTTGACGAGTCGACCGTCGTGGTGGCCATCGACGCCGCCTGCCGCGACACCGGCCGGTCGTCGGCCCGCGCCGCCTGGGCCGTCTGCTTCGGCCCGGCCTCGTGCCGCCGCAACGAGTGCGGCGTGCTGCCGCTCAGGGCCATTTCGTCGTTGTTGAAGTCGGCCCGCCCCGTGCCGCAGACGGTGCCCCGGGCCGAGATTGAGGCGCTCGCTCGCGCCCTACAGGCCGTGGCGAACCTGACGCGCGGCGACTTTGCGGTCCGCGAGGTCATTGTGCGCTCGCACTCCGAGTTCCTGGTGCGCGCCATGTCCGAATGGATCGAGGAGTGGATCGAGAACAAGGGCCGGCGCGAGTGCGGCACCAGGGTGCCCAACTTTGATGCGCTGAGCGACGTCAGCGAGCTCGTCGACGATGTAGAGTACGGCGTCGGCGGCGGCGGCGGCGGTGATGGCAATGGAGAGAGTGACGAGGGTAGCGGCGGGCTCGAGATCTTGTTCTGGCACACCCACCGCGACGGCACCTTTTCGGCCGACTGGCTGGTCGAGTATGGGTTTGATGAGGAGTAAGCGGGAGTGTGTTTGGACTCGTCTTTGTCCAGCGCCGGCAGCACGTTCGGCTTGGTATGATCTTTGGGGTTTCTCCTCTTCACTGTAGTTTATTGTTCTTTCATGTTTCGCCGTCTGCTGGCAAGTATCAATATTGGCACTGGCTCCTATATCATCACCCCAAACGTCACGTCCCTGCGTGCAACCACAACAGGGTCGCGAATCTCCACGAGGCCTAAGACTGAACCGTGGAGACGACCGGCGCTAGCCCCTGCCCAATCATGATTGACTGTGGCTGGACGTCGCTAGGTCTCGGAACACTGGCTTCTCCTCGTGGGTCTCCACTCTTCCCCTTCTCTTCAAGCTGCGAGTTCTGGTCACTCCCTGCGGTCGAGATGCCGCCCTCGGGCTCGAGAATCCCGGCTTGGAGGACCTTTTTGCGGCGGATGCGGTCGTCAAAGAATCGCACAGCCACCAGCAACAGGCCCACTACTAGCACCGCAATGGCCACGGCGAACCCGCGGCGGTAAAAGGGGCGGTCGTCCTGTCTGAAGATCTGCGCACCGTAGATTCCGGCCGTGTTGGCGCCCATGATGACCCTGGTAGCAGGAGAATGGGGCTTTGTCAGCTTTGATTGCCTTCTGTGAAAGGGAGTGTTTGTATGTGAAAGAAGAAACCTACATGGCCATGGCCAAAGCCCGCTGCTCCGAATCCTCGCACGCCAAGGACATCCACGTAATATTGAGCGGGTGCGAAAACGTGCCAAACGTCTGCGTCCAGACGACCCCAAAGTACCGCACCCCGCGCTGGCCCGAGAGCTCGGTGAAGGCGCGGTTGAAGATGTAGCCCAGCAGGTGCGTGGCGAGGCCGGCGATGACGGTCTCGCCGCGCCGGTTGTAGTGGTCCGAGACGTAGCTGAAGGCCCACGAGACGGGGATCTGCAGGAACAGGCCGACCGACGCCAGCGCGTTGGCCTGCAGGCCCGCGAAGCCGAAGCTGTTGACGATGGAGGGCGAGTACGTGTCAAAGGCCCGCTGGGGCCCGTTGTTGGCCAGCGTGATGCCGACGTGCACCCAGAGGCGCCAGCTCGTGAACTGTTTGATACCGCGGCCAGTCAGCATCACGTTGTTCTCCTCTGGCAGTTAAGGGGAGGCCCGCAGACCTGGCAGGGGTGCCTGCACATACTGCCTTTTTGAACCCAGCCTTGCCAATCTTCTTTTTCTTCTTGCCCTTCATGGGGTCGTCCATGGTCACGCGCGTGCGCAGGATGTGGATCTCGCGCTCCGTGAATATCTGGCGCCTCGGCAGGAACGAGCTGCGCGGGCTCCTGAACGAGTCCGGCAGGAAGACGCCCAGCACGACGCCGCTGACGAGGGTGAAACCGCCCATGAGGACGAAGAGCCAGAACCAGCCGGGCCGCCCCGCGACGCCGCGCATGTGCAGGATGCCGTAGGCGAGCAGCTTGCTCGAGGCCTGGCCGAACTGGTTGCCAAAGTAGAAGAACATGACGCGCTTGGCCGTCTCGCGCCGCGTGTACCACGTCGACAGCGTCCACAGGCCGCCCGGGATGAAGCCCGACTCGGTCACGCCCAGCAGGAAGCGCGACGCGATGAAGGAGCCGTAGCTGTTCTGCCACGCCTGGAACGTGCTGACGGCCCCGAAGAGGAAGAGCTGCAGCGTCAGCCACTTGCCGGGCCCGACGCGGTACAGGATCATGTTGGACGGTATCTCGAACAGCACGATGCCGAGCGAGAGCATCTGCTGCCCGACGTTGAACTCGTCCTGGCTGATGCCCACGTCCTCCATGAACCTGTCGGTGAGCGCGTTGGCGATGTTGCCCCGGTCGAGTTCTGCGGGAAAGGGGGATCCTGTCAGTTGTGATACCAGGAAAGACAGCCCAAGGGTAGTGGAGCTAGACGCACGCAAACAAAATAAGCCCAGGGTCAGGAGCGGCATGACGATGAGGTCGAGCTTGCGCTTCGCCCTGACCTCCTCCTCCTGCGACCAGTCCACCACCTGGGTGAGAGACTGCTCATCGTGCCCGATCGGAAACGACCCGTCCGGGTTCGCGTGCTTCGGATGCTCCGACATGGCCTCGCGGGTGTCTTCGAAAAGGCGCTCGCGCCACTGCCGGTCTGGCTATATACTCTCTTGACTTGGATGGACCCGGGGATATGCTGTGCTCTTGGAGATGTTTGTGCAAGTAATGGACCTTCGGAAGGCGCCTAGCTTCTTTGATGGGAGCAGAAAAGACAAGGCTAGAAGGAACGGGAGGTCCTTATATCTCACCCTTATACCAGGAGTGCCGCCAAGGACCGCCACAAGACATAGAAGCCCGTGGTGTGCCATTTCTGCGTTGCCAATCCCTCATCTCCCCCTCTCGCCGATGCTTGTGTTTTTTGAGACCCTGGCCTTCCGCCTCCCACGCTCGCAATTTTGGCGCCGAGCCCGGCAGCGCAGCCATCATTCCCACTCTCCCCCGGCGGCTGAGGCAGCCCAGGACGGTCGATAAACCCAATTACGTCGGCGCTCTCTAGTGCGCTTGTGCGGAAATGCGGGGGGTGTATGTGCCGTGAGCCCAGCATCTTGGTCCTGGGTGTTGCTTCTCCCCGTTCCGGGCAGGGAGGAGGCCCATGTCTCGGATGATGGAATGCTCGCGGCCGAGCACGCAATTGCCCGTGGTGGCTTGCCATAGGCGGCAGGCGGTGCCTGTCTCTGGGTTGGCGTCTTGGCTTCGGGCGCCCGTTTTCTTGGAAGCTTTCATTGTTCTGCCCCCGGAAGGGTGCGCGAGACCCCGTGGGATGGGTACTGAATATAAGCTCGTTCCAAGGCCGCCACGACCACTCCTCGGGCATCTTGGCATCACACCGCGACAGGACACGCCCTCGAGCACGCAATCCGCAATCCCGTGGGCTTGGCTGCATGGGTAGCGTGCATGTCGACTTGGGCTGGCATGGCTATCAGCGTCCCGGGCAAGAATTGGCTAGCACGCCGTGGGAATTGGTCAATCGTGTTTCCAATTTGCTATTTTTATGAGCTCCAAGACCTTGTAGTGTCAGGGCAGGCGGGAAAGAAGTGTGATCGCGGTGCTTGAGGTCTTCTGCGCCCTGCAGCTTCCGCGTTTCTCCGGCCTCCTGCAGCCAACCTCGTTACCTGCCCTCACTTGGGCTCCTGCCTGTTTTCACGCTACTTTACATGCCAATTTCACAATATTAGGATCAAACCTGGGGAAAGGTGTGGGGTGAAATTGCCGGACCAGCACATCGCACAAAATCGTTGCCATGCTTCGATATTGCCTCAGACCTCCGCTTCAAGCCTCGTCATACAGGGTGATATCCTGTCTGCATTTCGAAATTCGGCGTAGCGTCTTGAAGTCTGCTGTTGACGTTGGAGCTGTACGCCGTCATTTTCTGCTCCATAGCCTGGGCAGATAGCTTTTGTGTCGTCTGTCTGAACGCGAGTAGCGAGACAGCCCAGCCAAACACCTCTATAGCAAGCTGAGCAAGCGCAAAGGCCCACGATGCCCACTAGAAATTTAAAGAAGAAAGCCCAAGTCAGCCCGTCGCTCTAGAAGAAGGAAAAAACGACTTGGCCGCAACTGTGGGTTAGGCTGCGTGGCGGGAACTGTACCTGCGTATTGCAGTTTGACTCGGCTTGAATTATATCGTTCAGCTCTGCCGCTTGATCCGTACAGGTGTAGCTCCATAAGTCGGGGTTCGTCCCGCTCGCGTCTCCAAAGTCGAAGCTCGTTTTGGATACGACGGCCGAGATGGCGAAGCCGATCGTCTTGTTCGAGCTGATTATGTATTGCGCCCCGCCGCCGATAGTGACAGCCCACCTGGCGTACCTGGTCGAGGGCCACAGGTACGCGACGAGCACTGGTAAATATCAGATGGTGTTAGCTGGCGCAAAGATGCCCGCTCGCCTAACTCGACACATTGGCGACTTGACACACCCACTGCCAGGCCCAATCAAGACTAGACGGAGAGAGAGAGAGAGAGAGAGAGAGACCAACTTACTGCATCCATCAAAAACCAGTGACACCAGCGCGACGATGAACATGAGGATCGTTGGCATCACATTGGGGACTTTGGGCCAAGTGCCGCCCGTTTGGCGAGTGTTGTAGTAGGTAAAGTAAACGCGACCCTGGAAGGCGGCGATGGCAAGCGAAAGCAACGCGGCGAGGGCGCTCTGCACCACACGCAGTATCTTGAGGCGCCGCGCGCTGCGCGCGGTCTTGGCGTCCATCTCTCCTTCGGCCCGTGCGTCCATGTTCAGTGTCGCCGTCGCGGCCGGGGCCCAGCTCGGGGGCGTTTGCTTGGACTTTGGAGAAGAATTCGGGGCCAGGTCGGGGCGGCAGGGGAGTGGAAGAAGGGGGTGCCCGTCTATATCGTGAGAAAAGATGCTGCTGCGAGTCTGGCGTTCGGAATACGGGAGCATTGATATGCGTCGGCCGGTGCGAATGTGATCAAGCTTGGTGATTAGCCAAAAAAAAGTTGAACCACCTCGAGCACCAAGCGGGAGGGGCCACTTATGTCTTGTCCCAAGCCCTTACCAGCGCGCCAGAGTCGACGGGATTTGCCGCCGCGCCCCTCCATAATGGTGCTGTCCAGCAGGCGAACTGCCGGATCCGCGTCCAATGAGGGGCCCCAAGTTCTCCGTGCATGGCTTAGCGGCCACGTCTAACGGCGAGCTTCGTTCTAGGCCTTGGTGGCGTTGGCGTTAGGCCGTTTTCTTCCCGCCACTTGGACGTGTGCTGTCCAATGGTATTGTTCATTATGCATGGATGCAGCCGCTGCGAGGACGGGCTGGCGAAGTCGTCGTCAGCTGTGCAAAACATTGTGGCCGTGCCCAACGCTAATAAGGACGAGCTAGTTCAAATGGCTATGCTGGGGTTCATAGTATCGGGCTTGGGCGTTCTGGACCTTGGCCGCACCCTGCGCCCGCTCCCTCCCCAGCCTGCAGGCGCAGCAGTATGCCCCCGTCATCCGCAGCTGGCGCTGGCAAGCCCAGACTGGCCTACTCCCTGGCCAATCCACGACAAAGGACGAGAAGGATAACACGTGCGTTGAAACTGCCGCCCGAACCGACGACCGGTACCAGCCAAATTCGGTGGCGGATTTCTGTGGAGCTTACACTTGTGGTGTAATGTCAACGGTATTGAGTCGAGGTGGGCACGTCTGGGAGCCTGTTTGGAATTATGAAGTATGGTTATCTATTGGGGGAAACAAGAGGGTGATCAGATGTTATAGATGGGACATATTAGGATTAGCCTACTGCCAGCTAGCGCGGAGCGAAAGACAAAGGAACCTCCGGATAGGATGGAAGTTGACAAAGAGTGACCGGTTGATGGAGGCACATAAAAAAAAAGTGACTTTGTAGAAGATGCCGTTCAGATAATAGCGCTACCCGAGCTCGACATTATTCCTGTCTCGTCCGGCTCCCGCTGCTCCCGGACCACCATCCCGGCCTGGGTGGACCGTGGACATGAAGTCCAGCACTATCTCTTGGCTGCCAACAGAGTGGGTAGGGTATCGACTAATATTCCGTGCGCTCCGGCTGAGGTGATATCTCGTGCTCTTGGCTAGCGTACGTGGGCAAGTCTGTTCAGATGGGCTCCTCGTTGCCGGCACGCCATATTTGTTCTTTCGATGAGAGAAAGCTCCTAGCTTTGATTTTATTTTCTGCCGGAGCTTTCTGCCCAGGCTCACTACTGAGCATTTCACTCCTCCGTACTGTTTGAATCCGCTCTTCAGTGTGTTGTTTGGGAGAGTGATTAGGATGCCAGCAGCCCCAGAAACCAGTGAGCTATATCGAGGAGGGTGTCACAAGAGACAGCAGCACACGAACCCTCTTCCCAGCGCCAGGCCAGGCCCAATTAGCTGGCCTTCCCATGTTGCTGATTCTCTTGCTTGCGTTTCTCTTCCTCGGCCTCCTTCCTCGCCTCGTTCCTCTCGGCAGCGGCTTGGGCTCTCTTGATCCAGGCGGCCTTGCGAAAGGAGCGAAGTAGTTTCTTATCAGCGCATACTCGAAAGCCAAAGCCCATAGCAACATGATTATTAGAGGCAAACTTACGTTCTTGCTCGTCCTGGCGATTCTGCTGGCAGCTACCTTGTCCATTTTGTTGTTCGAGACTGTTTGGGAGGTGGTTTGTATGTGCGATAGGAGCGAGTTTGAGCTAGGAACGTGCAGGTGCGTAAACCTTGTGGCAGAGACGCGTCCCAAGGGGGTCCCGTGACGCGTGCAGCGTAACTGTCCCTCCTGGGAGCCAATCAGCTCTCAGCTCCTCCTGCCTCGCCCGGCAGGCAGGGACAAGCCCCCGGCCGTGGCTCCCTCTCGACTGATAATCTGGCGGCACTCCGGCATCTGATTTTCTGCCAGGCTATCGAGGCGGCGAGCAGTGACTTCCTGTTTGAGCGAGCGGTGAGGCGCAAAATGTAAACAGCAATTATGCACAGACCACGGCTCAGGGCTCTATAAAAAGCCCTCTTTCCTCCCACACTGAGCTCCTCTTCACTTCCTTTTGACATCACATGTTATCCGCTGGTATGCTTATCCTTAGGTGGGCTTTTCCTCACAAAGGTAGGCAGCCAGCTGGAAGGGGATAACACCCCCTCCCAGTTGAAGTGCTCAGGCACATTCAACAAATTTTTGGAACCCACATCAACTGAAAAGTTGTTTCTGCCTTTTTTTTCATTGTGTGCACCGCTTTGCTGCGATGTCACGAAGAAGAAAACACCTCCGTCCCTTTTACGTTTCTTCCTCCTGCACCGCCCCGCGCATTGGTGTAAGACAGGCAGCAGATTTTCGCAATGCTTCATAGGATTCATAATGCTGCCGTTTAACGTGGCGAGATGAACCACATAGCGTGTTAACTTGAAAGACTGTCATGGCGATCACAGGGCGATGGGTATCATGTATGGAGATTTCGCGCGAGCAGACAGAGATTCGTTTGGAGGCTGTAGCAAAACTGGGCCTGCCTCCTGATTGGAAGGATCTTGGGGTTGATATATAGGGTTTTCTTGATTATTGAAGGCAAGTTCCGTTAAATAAATGTTACATTTGCGAAGCGCTTTCATCCACGCAGACGCGCGGGACAGCTCCTTCCCGGTCGGCCATCCAATATATGGGCAGCAACTCTCCACAGCCAGGCATTCCCCATGACCGACACCGCCCAAGCTGGCAAGCAGCCACTCACTGACAAAGTGCCCTCGAAGCGAAGTGTCCAAAAAGGGCGTGGCACAAGGAGCCGGACGACCGGGGGCCCCAGCGAACGTGCTGGCTGTGGCCGTGGCCATCGGGGCCACAGTTTGGGTCTCGACCGTCTCATCAGCGACATTGGCCTGGGCGATAACGACATGGGTCACCGCGACTGCCCTGTTCGGGCCAGCAGTAAACACCACGGAACGCGTCACGCCGACGCACAAATGAATATAGGCTCTAGCCGCTCACGCAGCGCTACTCCACGTTGCCCCACACGAGTTAATGTGGAGACGAGGCTCCTGAAGCGAATAAATCACGACGCTAGATGAGATATTACTCTTTCCGGCTGTAAGCCTTGGACTTTGTGGTTTCTGCTTCACGCCTGGGCGAACTGCGAGGCGCCTCAAAAAACACCGCTAAACTAGACTAGACAAGCAAAACAGCGTCGGCCCTTGTTCGAATCACTGGCCGACAATATATCAGAAACCCCTCTATCACCTGGCTGAGCTTCAGGGAAAATACAGAGGGCTGGACCAACGACTGTCGCCTTTAAAACTCCCTGTCGTAGCGCTTCGTCTAGTGAGCCACTTTCGTGCTGGAAGCAACTTTCTCCTGTCGGTCTCACAACGAGCATGGTCATGGCGTTGATCTTTCTTGGGAAGTCCTTTGGGCGAAACAACGGAGCATTACAATCCCAGTTAGGATGCCACAGTGGCACCATCATGTCTCCAGGCTGCGTCCCTTCTGGGCCAAGACCATAGCCCCGACAAGACCCCGACCCTAAGTGCAGCTGACCCAGGACAAGAAGAGAACCGTCCGTCATAACGCGAGGTAAATCCTTCAAAGGGTTTACTGTCTCGAGACTCGGCCGCTCCGGTAACTTCTGGCCGATATTCTCCAGGAAATCGTCAAAGAGTGCAGTCCCAAGAGTCAGGGTTCTTTCCTCAACATCTCGGTAGCGAAATCTTGCCACCGCCTTGACGAGGGACGAGAGTGTCGGGAGATGTGCCACCGCGTCAGGGATGGCGGTGAACAGCTCGCGTAAGACTGCTATCACTCGCTCCGCACATTGATCTTGATCCTGTGACGGCTGCAAGATGCTTGCTGCAAATGTGACATTACAGTCGTGGGGCGTTGAAGTTAATGCGTCCCCGTAGATTTGGAGAGTTTCGTGTGTGAAGCCCAGCGTTACAAGAGCCCCGTAGATTTGGGGAGTTTCTTGTGTGAAGCCCATCGCTAAAAGAGCAGAATATCTGGGAAGGTTGGAGCTTGGACCCGATATGTCAACACTCCTTCTCAGAGAGTGGTATGGAAGGTTCTTTCTCCGGGTCTTTGTCCAGTCGGGGACCCGCGAAGGATAGGAGCCACCCGGAGGGGCCACGAGGGGGCCAAATTCGAACAGGTGTTGCAGCAACTGAAGCTTGACTTCGTTGCCGCCATTGCGCATCGCAGATGAAGCAGCTTGTTTGTACAGATCGGTCCAATGGGCTGCCCAATCTAGCGGCAACCGACTCTCTTCTCCAATCAGTCCGACTAGGGCGGCGATGCGGTCTCTGGGCTCGAGACAAGCAGCCTCGTGAAAGTCCCACAACAGCCCCATCATCTTCTGACTGAGCGATGGCCTGCGCAATCTTGCTGCCGTTCTGACTGAGTAGTTTGTCCGATTTAAACTTTGAAGGCGCTTTGCAGCTAGTGTAATCACCTGAAGGGGGATGGAATGGGTGCCGCAGTGAAACGTAGCCTGGCGGGCAAGGCACGCCTCCTGAATGACCCAACGGCGCGAGAACCACGGCCGACAGAAAAAGTCGAGTATGGCGCCCATTCCAGCCCCGAGTTCACTAAAGCACTGCTGTGTGGCGGAGATGAGGTGACGCACAGCTTGTTGGGGAGCGGCCTCCGGAATCCCGCTGTACTTGTGGAAAAATGCAAACGGGTCGGCAGTTTCAGGGACACTGGGGCCAACCCAGATCTAAACGCCCTCTGCTTCCTCGAAGATGCGCCCCATCATGGGAATCTGTCGAGCCTTCTCTATCGCATCGTCCTGGTTGAGACATATGGCGTCGATCCACAGGTAGTATGGATCACCGGCTGCTCGGAGATGGCGCAGAAGGTCGTCGACGTTTGATGTGATGCGCAGGTGCGAAGTATCATCATCGTCGTGCTTGACTTCCAGGGTGTGCGTAAGCTCTGGCACACCCCACGTGTACGAGATGGCAAAGTATTCGACGTGCCGGGCGCTGCGCGGGCGCTGAATGGGCGAGCAACTCAGCGGCGCCTCGATGTCGGCCGCAGCGTCCAGCAAGATCAGCCGGATGGCGTCCTCGGCGCAGAGAGCTTGGTGCTGGTAATAATTAAATGGCGGCATGGCTGTTGATCGCAGCGGGGACGGTGTCGTAAAGGCTGGTGTTACAAGGGTGCAATGTAGGCTTGGGAAATGAGTCTAGATTGAAGTTGATAATTACTTAGGACCTTAAAAAATGCTAAAAAAAGCAGGTGTATCCCAGCAGGGGAGCTTTGTTACCCTTTCCTGGGATGGCGGGGTCCTCACAAGACCTTCGCATGCCTGGCGCCTGCCTAATGCAGGCGATCGAACCAATTAATCCTACCCCGACTGTGTCCGGTGTGACAGCTGGCCAGGGCGAGATATTTCTGACATCTGATGGTTTGGGGTGTACGCATTTCAGCCATACAGCCCGGTCGCTGCGGATCCGGAGCCGCCCAATCACAAAGTTACGCCTGCGGCCGAAATCCCAGCGTCGCGGGTATCCAGTGACAGAAGAAAGATCGCGCGCTCTTTGTGCAACACATCACTTCCTCGAGGATGACGACCGGATGAGCTTTTCAAAAAAGCAGTTGGCTTTTATAATGAGGTCAAGACAATGCTTCAGAATCTAACACCAGCGGAAGTACCAGCTTACCAGCCTCAGCAAGCTCATCTTCGGCTCGAACCTCATCGAGGGAGCGGGCGCCGGTATCGACATCACCTACAAGCTCTGCCAGCTGATCTTTACTGGCAAAGACAAGGACATTAACGACGAGCATATGCTTCGCACCGAGGAGTATGACCCGCGCCGCAAGAGTTTGGTGACCCAAAATCTTCCCACCGACCAAGCCAACGCCGCATATCGCGGCCGACGGGAAATCATCCAGCATGCTCGCGCTCCGTTGCATAAAGGAAAGGCTTGGTATTCCTTCCTTTGTGTTCTTTCACACAATTGCGCACCAGAAGCTGGGAATTGGCATGTATTGAAAGAAAGCCACATGTAGTAAATACAAAGCCCGATTTGTCTCCTAAGAAACTTCCAAGAAGGCGAAATCTGCATGATGCCCTTAGAATCCAAATGGGCTGGTGTGTAATGGCAGTGGAAAGAAACTGATTGGCGGCGCCCGGTTGTTTTCCGATGAAGACCTGCGATGCTGAAGATGTCGCGGCAGTTAAAACTGGGCGGAAAGTGCGAAACATTTCGCTTTTTGCAACAATATGGAATGTCAAAAGACCATGGGTTGTGCCCAGATTTTATTTCAACCAGGAATGCAAAATATTGGTATAAAAAAGGCAAGCGAACGTGCTGCCTTTGCGATATTCGCGAGTGCCATATCTGCGGAAATCTGCATGCAGATTCTGAACTGGGGGTGCTGTACTGGAATCGTGGCATGCTTTCTCTCGCGTATCACCAGAGTGGATTTGCTCGAATAATTAGCAAAGTGTGGTAATAGGACGACTGTTTACCGATAAGGCGGCGTAGACACGGCCGAGAGATGTGGCAAAGGAAAAAAAAGTGGCATCAAAAAGAATTGAATCTGGGTGTCCCAGAGGGTGGTTTCCAAAGATTGAATAGTGGGATATGGCGCAGCAACCGCTTGGAAACTCTGGTAAAAGGCAAGAATTCCTGTAGCATGTCCGTCTGCCTCCCACGACTGGAACTGAGCTGGGGGGTTTTATATAAGAGCTTAGGCTCTGTTCTCGGAGCACAGGCCCTGGGTGGGTACCTCGCCGTGGCGGGATAACGAGCGGGATAAAACTTTGATTTCTTCCCACCTTGTAAGCTTCGTTCGTTCAAGTTTAAACTCAGTTCCGTTTTAGAAAGTATTTCCTTTCCCGTTGAGCAAGGGGAAAGAAGGAAGCCGCCCACGGCTTTATTGCGCAAGGCTTTGCATCCAAATCCCCTGAAAACATCGCAAACTAGCTCAATATCGCAGACAATATGGCGAGGAGACAGTCACACACAGATGGTAGTCTTTCAGGTACCCACCGAGGCAGACAGCTCTTCACTGGATGCAGGCTGTGGCTGGAAGATATCCGCGACTCCAGCTCTCTATTGAGCCACCTCCACTTAGGCAGCAGACAACAAACAGTGCAGCCAACAGCCGCCTCTGACAGCCAGGAGGAGCTGGGTGTTCCTCTGTTTCTGTGGTGGCGAAGTTTAATACGGGAAAGAAAGTAGTACGCAGCTTGATTCTCTCATCCCAGGGAATGCACCTATATCCAGCTCGTAGAGGCTTTATCGCACCCGCCAGGTAGGTTGTCTGCGTGTGCCAAGCGTGCATGCCCCTGGGGGAAGTTGGTCGTTGGCAGGCTACACGTGATGCGGAGCATATCTCCACTTTCGGTACTGTATTTGACGCCATGCGAGTACCAGGCGCCGAGCCCAACTTCCTCAACCCAAGAGATAACAGACAATGAAGGAAAGGTGTGGCGAGGCTCCAAGATGACCTCCTGACCTCGGAAGCAATCAGGCGGCTGCTGCGCATCGACTTGGACGGCCTGGCCGTTCGAGGCGGCGCTGCTAGAAAGGCCGATGACCCCCAGCGCGTCAAGAACCAGACACCGACAATCCGACCAGACCTGGCAGTCGGGTTTCTAGCCTGCGTGACCTGGCCGAGACGGGATCCGAGGACCAGTCAGGGCTGGACCCCCTCGCTCCAGCGCGCCCAGATCGGCACGACATGCTTCAACCAATACAACATGGCTGAGGGGCCGTCCCAGGGCTCCCTTATGCGCGAGATCTACCCCGCGTCCGCTAGAACGCCGATATGGCTCGGACCCAAGTTCCGCTTAATAACTTGCGTTCCGCCTGGCGTCTCCTGAATATGGTGTGTGCTATCATCGAGGCTCGGCATCACGAAGTGGCGGAAGAGATGAATGTTAACATAGCCGAGTAGATCCATTCGCAAGCCTACGGTTGCGCCTGCGGTCTGCCTCCAGTGAACCACGCGGCCTTGGAAAAGCTCCAGAGCCGTAAGGGCCTGTATTGCTTCTCGAAGCAATATGCCATGCGGGAGGTGGCACTCTGGCATTGCGACCGGATGGTCATGTGCGGGATACACAGCCATCCCTGGCGTGAGTTCAACCCGGAGTTGGAGAGGCTCTACCGGGAGGGGTATCTGGTGCTGCAGCACAACAAGACCGCAAAGGGAACAATTACACTAATGGCTCTCATTTGGAAGAAGCACCCAAGCTGATCATTAGGCACCCTCGGATTCCTGACCTGCAACTCCTTCCAAAAGACCTACGGCGCGACAAGATTTACGGACTCCTTGGCCTGGTGGGCTGGACAAGTCTACCGGGACTTCTGGGGAGCCATCCAAGCCAGCTCTTCCAGGATACCCAGACACAGGCGTCTTTGATCTCCACCGGAAAACCGCGAGATTCTTGATAAGGGGCGGGTGGCTCGCAGTCGCCGGTATTGGGAGAAAATAGTAGCCTGGGATGAGCAGCATGGAAAACCACGAGGGTCTGCCATCGTGGGTCCCCAGACTGGGAGACATGCGGCCAGCACAGAGATTGACGAGCCATTTCGCGATTCTCCAGCTTCTGACGCTGCGGGCTGCGGCTGGATTAACAGCCAAAGTCAATTCCACGGGGGATGCCCCATGCCAGCGGCATGCAGCCCGGACAATGTCGCCGACGCGGCAGGCTTGTTTCCGAAAGTCCCGGGCTTATGCGGGCTCAAAGTTGGGCTTGCGATTACAACTGCGCTGGCGTGCCGGGCATGCCTTCAGCAAGTCGCCGCGGGCAGAGAAGCCGATCGGAGTGACAACGACGGAACAGGGTACAAGCTGGGACATTGAAGAGATAGAGACGATCTAGAACGGCTCTTCGTACATCAGCGGCGTGCTGGCCTTGCCGCTTGCTACAATGGATGCCAGGGGGCCGCTCCGCCCGCCACATGGACTCACCGAGAACATGAGAGAACTCTCCGTGGGTGGGTTATCTTAAAGATACAAGGCAATGGCGAGGGGGTTACGGGATTTCTAGAGGCGGTATTCAACATCTGCCAGGTCTTTAGCTCTCTGCCACACAATCACCAGCCTCGTGCTCCCGTGTCATTCCATCTGCGCACAGATCCGGAAGCTGGACCGGGTGACGGTGGGGCCATTTCATGCCGCCTTCGACCATGCCAGCGGATCCTGGTAGCCCTCGCCGCCGAAAGAAGAAAGAAGCCGCTCGCTGATGAAGAAGGGACGAACACCATCCGGGGGGAGGGGGGTGTCGAGGTTGCTGTGGACGGACGTCTACTGTCGAGCCGGTGGGTCTTGCGATGTGGCGAGCAATGAATAAGCATGCCGTAAGACCCCTCTCCCCCAATGTCAAAAAGTAACGGTGGCGTTGAGCACGCAAGCAGTCGATCGGGCGTTTACCGCCGACGACCGTGGTGGCCGCTACGGTAGCATCTCGCCACGGTGTGGGCTTGAAGGAAGGACTAGTGGAGAATCAATTCGTGTTGCTTCACGTTTCCAGAGAGGCCCGAGAGGCGAGACTGAGAGCTGTGGGGCCTCACATGTAACCAAGGACAAACCCGGGCGGACGCGAATTCGTCTGCCGCAAAGGCCCGTTATCACTTGGGTGCCGTCCGTCTGTGTGTCCGCCAGGAGTGGGCTCCGGTCCCCTCTTGACGGGAGGAGACGGATGGAGAACATAGCAATTTTAGTCGCGCCGGCGAGGTCTTGGACATAAAGTGGAGGCCCAACGGCTTTCTTCCTCTCCATCTTTCCTCTCGGTCGCCCCCCCAGCGGGCCCCACAAGATCGGACTTTTGTCACTTGTCCCGCCGTGAGATTTCCACAACCACGAAACGACCCCGTTTGTCGCCTCCACCGAAAGAGGCTGGACGGGAATCAGGGTGTTAGGGCCCAGGTGAGAGGTTACATCGGCAACGTCGGCGCGCGGTGGGGAGTTTCGGCCGAGATTTGCCTGGGGCCGGTCCGTGGGTGGTGAAAAATCAAGCCTTGGACCTGATTGGCACTGACGACCAAAGGGGGAAAAAAAGCGCGGCACCGTCGTGGGCGAGGAGCAAACAATCTGTCCGAGACTCGCTCAACATTCTGATATCGGTGGACAAAATTGGCCAACGAATGGTAGAACCGGTCTCAAGGCCTGTCCGTTCCGCCTGCTGTTTTTGGGCTCCGTCCCTGCTTTTTCGTCGCGTGGGAATATGCAGGAGGCCTAGGTAGCCAATGCCCCCACCCCCCTCTCGGAGCTGTTTCCTTTGTCGGCTGAGCCTTGAGCCGCATAGGACAGGTCGTACCAGACCCGGATTAGCAGCCGAAATGGTACACACCCACCCCCATCCCTGGAATGGGAACAGCAGCTCGATGAAGAGCCGCAGGACAGATCCGGGCTGAAGGCCTGTCGTTCAATGTGTGTAGGGGTCCCACCGCAGTCGACCCGCAAAATGGCGGCGGGTCGTCTGATGCGGGTGCTCACCTATCGCACACAATGCCATCTTGAGGTGCCCTTCTCGCCGGGGAGATTTCGACATAGGACGCTACTGGTCTGGGCCATAATGTTTCTCATATGCAATTTCTAAACCCCACATCATAGTGTACGATATTTGGGGCGACGGTGAAGGCCCTGAAAGCGGCATGGTGCAAAAGTACCGGCTTGCCACGTGCCCGGCGCGCGAGAGGAGGGGATCGCGCCATGGGTAGGTATGGAGGAAGTGCTACCTACAGGCCGGGATGCCAACTGGTTTGTCACAGTAGTTCATCGCGGCTTCATGGTTGGCCCAGTCATGTTGCATGTTACTCGTTTGATGCTGTGCAGGTAATGAGAAAACCGTGACGCTCGTTATCGACTAAATAGGTAGATAGATACCCAGGCAAAGATTGGGGGTACTCGGAATGAAATTCAGAAGTGAAGGTATCAGGTATAGTAGAACAAGGCAAAAATCCGCCAAAACATGCCCCCCAAGAATCTCCCAGTAAAAGAACAAAAGAAACACCATACTGCCTAAAACTCCAATGCTAGTTTGCGGGGATATACACTACTGCGGACTGCATCTGTCCTCCCGAAAAAAAAAAAAAACGATTAAATCATGGTCCCCTTATGCCTCGTGAGCTCGGGCGACGGTGTATTCCGCTGGATGACCAGCCTGGACTGGTCGTCGTACTCGTCCCGCATGTGCTCGCCCTCACGCGTCTGGAGCCCGTTCCTCGATAGCGGCGACTGGCCGGCGGTGACGTAGTGCGGCGCCGACGTGACCGTGTACTCTGTCTGCATGCGGATGGCGCCAGCGGGGATGGAGCTGGGCGTGGCTGGCGACGCGGGGCGGGCGACGCTGCTGGTGGCGCTGGGCGTCTTCAAATCCTTGAGCGGGATTTGGCCACCGCCGCCGCCGCCGCCGACGGAGCCTCCGTGGGCGCTGCGCGAGCCGAGGGTGACCGAGGGCCCCGTGCTGCGGCTGCGGCTGCCCTTTGCGTAGCTGGAGCCGTACCCGCCCGCGCCGCCGCCGCCGCTGCCGCCGCCGCCGCCGCGGGCGTAGCCGCGCGAGGTGACGTTGCCGAGGCGCGGGAAGAGGCGCACGAGGAGCATGCGGAAGGTCGGCATACAGGCGCAGATGATGCCGACGGTGATCTCGATGGTGGACCAGGTCGAGATCTCGAGCTGGTCGTACGTCGGGTTCTTGGGGTTCTTGCCCATCCGGATGAGGATCTCGAGACGGACGCAGCTCAGGATGGTGAATCTAGGGTGGGGGCAGCGTTAGTCGTCTGAGTTGTCTTTTTTTTTTCTTTTTTTTTTTTTGCCAACAAGTATTGGTAGGCATTGAGACTTACAGAGTGCCCACGGCAAACATGGCGGCAACGCCAACCTTCTTCTTCCAGTGCAGCTGCAGGCCCCTGAGCTGCCAGGTTGGGACGGCCAACATCCACAGGTCGAGGACGATGCTGATGACGGCGTTGGACACGACAAGGTCGTTGATCTCCATGATGCATTTGGAGTTCGACTCGCCGTCCCACTTGGTCCAGAACAGGCTGATGGGGGCGCACTGGACGACGTCGAGGATCACGTACAGGACCGTGACCAGGGCGTTGACGGCGACGGTGGCCCACAGGATGCGCTTGACGGGCTTGGCGGGGAAGATGCGCAGGTAGAAGAAGAGCAGCGACATCTTGAGCATGCCGACCTGCACAAAGTAGAAGATGGTCATGGCGAAGAAGAACTCGAGGAAGATGTAGATGTGTTCGACCGGCACGATCCAGATGTCCTTGCCCAGGCCGTTGGGCAGGGTGCCGTTGCAGGTGATGACGGCGCTCGGGATGGTGATGGCGGCCGTCAGGAAGATGAAGAGGTCATCCCAGCCGAGCTCGTGCGCGCCCAGGGCGAAGTACTTGAAGCCGATCCGGCTGAGCACCAGCGCCCAGGCGACGACGGCGAAGACGATGGTGACGACGTAGTACCTCTTGGACTCGTCACGGGCGGGCACGCCGCAGTTGGCCTTGGAGACGCCCTGGAACCGGATCGACTCCTTGACGGTGCAGTTGGCCGCCACGCACGTGGCCACGTCGAGCTGCAGCTCCTGGTTGGAGCATGTGCACTTTCTCTGCTCGGCGGCGGGTGTCACCGTGGCACAGAAGGATCTGGTGACGCCTAGGGCTAGACATTTTGCCTGTGGTAGGATGCGCATTAGATACGGCCGAGGTCCTACTACACCATGGCCATGTTCAGGGGATCGCGGCTTACAGCACAAAGGGGCACCGCTGGTGCTGCTGCTGCGGGAGTGCTAGAGTTCGTTGTGGGTGGCGTTACGGACGGCGTCGTTGACGGCTCGGCGGTGCGCTGGGCTAGGCCAAGGGGCGCTAGGGCCAAGACAACAAGCCTGGAGAAACGCATGGTGGCGAGGCTGTGTTGTGCGGGCGCGAGGTACGGTCCGGATATGAAAGCGGGTGTCCAGGAGTTTGGGAGAAGGCGCCGATCACCAGAGGTGGCCGGCGGCGTGCATGAATATTAATCCCTCTTGCCCTCCAGGGCGGTCTCTCTCTGTGACAGGCTGGCACACATGCACAGGGCACCGCCTCGTGGTAGCCCCTCTCAACCCCCTTCGTTGGGCGCAGTCAGACGGCGGCGAGCCAGACAGACCCTGCAGGAACGCACACGCCAGTGACGGGCGTGTGCCGTTGGCCCAAGCATGGCCGGGCGTGGTCCATGATCCCCACTTGCCACGCGATGGACATCTGCAGAGAGCCCCAATTGCATTCCCCAAGACCCTAGGCCAGAGGCGAAAGGAGGTGTGCGCGTGGCGGGGGTGAACGTTGAAAGAGAACTAGGGGTGGAGGATCCCTGTCCCGGGTCGAAACAGTAACGCACCCGGATTTCGCACCCATGTGGCTAGCGTGCGATTGGTGTGCCATTACCTGAGAGAAATAAGAAAGGAATACCTTGACAGAGCCTATTGGGGTCGGCTCTTTTTTTGTTCTGGAACGCCACCCCCGGTGTCTGGGCTTCCGTGTGGGGCACACCTTTCGTGATGATGGAAAGCGAAGGGTTCACTCTACCCAGGCATGAGGTCCGTCCCGTGTGATACCCAGATCGCATCTATGCCTTGACGGGACGCACTCATCGCTTAAGAGGGAGACTAGTACACACCGGGTAGGTAGGTATGTGATGATGGGCATCTACACACACATGGTACCCATCTGCGACTTTGACGAGAAGGGGCGGTTGCAGTCTTGCTGCCGGCGAGCGGGGTGGTTGCGGTGGCGAGCAGCCGCGGCGGCAGAACCTCGGAGGTGTGGGTGGACGTCTCTAGCGACAAACAGTACTGTGCACGAGGCAACCTACAGGACAGTCTCCGGAAGGGTCAGCCCGCCCGACTGCGAGATGTGCCGTGCGGGAAGCCTGGCGCAGCAACGGAGAAGAGGGGAAGCCGTGTTGGGGACGCGGGAGGAGGTGAAAACGAAATAGATTGGAACGAAAAGCGAACTATCGCCAACCACTGGCTCGGAACGCCTGATGCGACCGAGACGGAGGCCTGCAGTCTCCACATGGTGTCGACACTCTATCACTGAAGCAGTACCGGTTAAGCGAGAAGTCATCCAGCGCGGCGGAACACAGGGTGTGCATGCAGGTGCACGACTCATGGCCATATTCCCAAAATTCTATGCCAAGGCCGATGAGGGAGAGACCGAAGAGACAGAAATAGAGGAGAGGGAAAGAGAGAGCACGGGCACGCAGGGTTAGCAGCAAGGCCAACACGCCAAAACGAAAAGGGCAAGAAAAAAAAAAGCCACTGCTGCACCGCCCGGCCAAGGACCCACTTGACAGCGGGTCCCCATATTTGCATTAATGGGCAGGGACTAGCAATAGAACGGTATATTTCCGGAACGGGCTAGCGCCATCGGCCTTGCATTCCTTTTGCAGCACCTGCTCAGAAGGCTCGCAACCACGCTCCAAGCCCACAGTAGCAGCAAAAGTCCCCGATGCCCTCACCTCTACCTCTCCAGCATCTCGGCTACCCCCGCCGGGCTACCCCCGCCGGGCTGGGCCCCAGTCCGAATCCCCACCTAGCCACCACGCCCGACGCACACGCAGGATAAAGGGGCCGGGGACGCAAGCCAGCGGGGTCGTCGTCTGCCCTCTCCGTCTTGTCGTCCTCGCTTCATCTCCGACTGCCCAGTTTCGCCAGGCCTCATCATCCACACTGCAGCTCTCGCGCCCGGAGAAAGCCACACCTCCGTCGCCGCCTGAAGAGGCTCGACGCGTCGCAAGCGGGGATCGTGAGATGGAGAGTGGAGGAAGGTTGCATTGCGTTGATTACATGAGGTTGTCCTCGCCGACATTGGCAGCAGGCCCTCGTAGCCGGGGTCACGTCCCGTTCTCCGGCGCCCATATACGGGACGGCTAGCTCTCACCAACCCTCCGCTGTTGGTCTCTCTCTTTCCCTTCCTCACCAGCGTGCCATCTCGCCCCTCACACTCCTTTTTCCGGTCTGCAGCAGACCTGAACCGCCAGTCATTTCGGCGTACCAGACAGAATCTTGTCTTGGCCTCGCCTGTCGCTCCTTTGATACCTGGCCCGCGCGATATCGGCACCGCTGCTTCGCCAATAGATCTCCCTCCCCCAACACCACCCCTGTCGCAGCGCTCCATTGCATCATGAAGGCCTCGATCGTGATTGCCGCCCTCTCGGGGTTGGCTAGCGCGTCCACGCGCGTGCCGCCGCGCTCTCCCGCAGGCAACTGCCGCTGCCTGCCCGGTGATGAGTGCTGGCCATCCACGTCCGCGTGGGGCAAGTTCAACTCGACGGTCAGTGGCCGGCTCATCGCCACCGCCCCGCTCGGTTCCGTGTGCCACGAGCCCAATTATGATGAGGCCAAGTGCGCTGCCGTGCGCGCCAAGTGGACGAACCCGGAGCTGCAGTAAGTTTTTGCACTTTACTTCTTTGATTTTGCTCAAGTCTGGTTCCGGTCCCCAGACCGCAAGGTCCACCCCAACATGGCAAAATTGCAGGACGCGGTAGACGGGACTAACCTCGCATGCTAGCATCGTCACCACCTCCTCGCCCATGGAACCCTTCTTCGCCAACCAAAGCTGCGATCCCTTCACGGACAAAAATCTACCCTGCACCCTGGGCAACCTTGTCAGCTACTCTGTCAACGTTTCCACCGCTGCCCACGTCCAGGCCGCGCTGAAGTTTGCCCAGCAGAGCAACATCCGGGTCAACATCCGCAACACGGGACACGAGTAAGTCGCTTAGACACCCGAACCCACCACACACACCCCTCCGTCACCTGCCAGTCAGTGACGCTGACTGTCATACTATCTGCCCTTTTTCAGCTTCCTGGGGCGCTCCACCGGTGCTGGTGCACTGTCCATCTGGACCCACAACCTCCAGAACATCGACTTCATCGACTGGAAGGACGCCGGCGCCGCCTATGAGGGGCCTGCCGTCAAGGTCGCCGCCGGCGTCCAGGGCTGGCAGGTCACCGAGGCCGCCCACGCAAAGGGCCTCGTCGTCGTCGGCGGCGAGTGCCCGACCGTCGGCCTCGCCGGTGGCTACATCCAGGGCGGCGGCCACTCCGCCCTGAGCACCTCGTTTGGTCTTGCTGCCGACTCGGCCCTCGAGTTCGAGGTTGTCCTCGCCAGCGGCAAGATCGTCAAGGCCAACCGCAAGTCCAACACTGACCTCTTCTGGGCCCTCCGCGGCGGCGGCGGCGGCACCTATGGCGTCGTCATGAGCGTGACCGTGGCCGCCTACCCCAACAAGACCGTCGGCGGCGCCTTCCTCTCGACCGCCTCCAGCGTCACCACCCCTGAGAAGTGGACCCAGCTCATCTCCCGGTTCCACGGCCTCATCCCCAACATGACCGACGCCGGCGCCAGCGTTGTCTACTACGCCAGCAGCGCCATCTTCGCCATCCGCCCCGTCACCGTCTACGACGCCAACAAGACCTACGTCCAGGACGTCGTTATGAAGCCCGTAACCGACCTGTTTGCCGAGCTGGGAATCCCCTACCAGGGCGGCTTCACCGAGCTGAGCTACCGCGACCACTACGACAGGTACATGGGTCCCCTCCCGACCGGCTGGATCACCATCGCCAGCTTCAACTTTGGCGGCCGCCTCATCCCGCGCGACGTGCTCGCCGACCCGGCCAAGCTGTCCACCTTCAACACCGCCCTGGGCAAGCTCCACGCCGGCGGCGTGCTCGCCGTCGGCACGGCCGCCGCCTACAACGTCCGCAAGACCGACATCGGCGCGACGCCCGTCTGGCGCACGACGGCCGTCCAGATGCAGCTGACGACCCCGTGGGCCAACCAGGCCGACTGGACCTCCAACCTGGCGTCGCAGGAGCGCATGACCAAGGAGTTCATGCCCACCATCGAGGCCGCCACCCCGGGTGGCGGCTCGTACCTCAACGAGGCCGACTTCAACCAGCCCAACTGGCAGGAGGCCTTCTTCGGCGCCAACTACGCCCGCCTCCGCGACATCAAGTGCAAGTACGACCCATTCAACGTCCTGTACATCCTCAAGGGTGTTGGCAGTGACGGCTGGAATGTCGCCGCCGATGGCCGCATGTGCCGCGCCTAAGAGGGTTTGCGCTGTCTGCAGTCGGTGGAGGGGATGTCGATAAATATGTATAAACCTGTCTCCCATGGATGTGTCAACGACTGGAGTCGGGGTGGTACCTGATGTGTTACGATAAGATGGTATATAGCATTGGGGTGGCAAATTCGATCTCGTGCATTTCTACTTGGTCTCTGTTTCGCCTCCGTTCCTCGTTACAGCCACGGGGTGTTGAAGCTTTAGCCTTGCAGGGTGACGATGCCTTCCCACTCCACTTCTCAAGTTGCCCTCGAGTCAAATGTCCCCCCGATGAACTACCGCGCTCAATGGGCTGGAGAACGGAGCAGTCATGGCGTGGGGGGCGCATACCGAGGTGATCGGCGTGGTTCGCTATTACTCAGCACCATCACCCAGCACCCCAGAGAAGGTCCATTCCCCCTGGCCCTGACCATGATTCGTCGCGTGCATTTTCGCGACTCCACTGTCGAACTGACACGAGCAACGAAAAACATTCCCAGAGATGCGGAACGCTTTCCTGAACTGATGCGGACCTTTTTCTTGGCAAACTCAAAAAGAAAAAAAAGCAATAGAGTTTCGCGAAGTGCGCGAATAGGGACCCTGTCCGCCAGCTCACCGAAGCATCCGGGATGGGAGGGGGTGGAGGGAGGGGGAGGGTGCCGAATTTGAAACAGCAAACCCCTTCAAGGGAACAAAAAGAAACCCGAAAAACAGCTCCTGCCGCCGCAACGGGATGTCAGATCGGCAGTAGGAGCTACCCCCCTTCTCCTTCCCCCTTCGCGTGGGCGCCTTGCAAGACAACATTTCCTTCGTCAAGGCCGCGCCCGGCCCTCGCTTGCTGCTACTACGCCGGACGGGTGCGATGCATCGAAGCACAGACGCGCGGTTAAGGATGGGGATAAAAATAAGAAAACGGAACGGGTCACGACGCTCGATGCCTGTCTCGGTCGCGCCGGCCGCGTTTGTTTGTGCGTAGCGAGAGCATAACGTGGCGGCCACCGCAAGCCGGGGGGGCAAGCGAGACAATAGCAAGAAGAAAAAGGGCAGTTGGTTTGTGTAACGCCCTCCCCGCACCAACGCGCTCAACGGCGGGCGGGCGGGAAAACCATGACGCCAGCAGATCGGGGAAACACTTGGGGAAGAAAGAAAAGAAAAGAAATGGAATCTCGTCACACCCCCGCTAGCTCACGGCCTGGTCCCTGACCGACAAGGGGGATGGATGAACTCGATTCCTTTTGTGCAAACTGCCGATTAGTCCAGGTGGCGGGTGCACACCCCAAAAGCGGACAGGGGGGGAGCTTGACGTGACACCGCAGTCAGATCTCGACCCTGCATCTGCATCTGCATCTGCATCTGCGTCTGCATCTTGAGCCCCTGTGACGAGAAAGCTGCAGGTGTGAGTAGCATTTTTGTTTGCCCGCTTGCAGCAACGGATTTGACTTCTGTTTCGAGTTAGGCGTGGCAAAACACCGTTGTCTCGATTGACATAGACTTTGAGGGTAAAAAAGAAGAAGAAGAAAAACAAATCCCCGGTCTCAGGTGGGAGGAGACACCAGGATATGTGATAACGCGGGTTCAAGGCTGTACAAGGGAACGGTCGGAAACACAACCGGCGACACCCGACGAATGCAGAGTAAGAAAAAAAATAGTCACGACTGCAAGCCATGACACACCTCCGCGGCGTTGCTCGGTTTGCTGCCCCGAGTTTTACCCACCAGCAACTAGAAAAGGGGATCAAGACGATGGCCAAGACAGATTGGATGACACGTCCGACCAAGCCTACGAGTAGCGTTCGGATGGCCGAAAACATGTCACAATGGGGGACATCAATGCACTTAGCGCGCCAGGCTCGATTCCACCCAGAAATCACCAGCCTCAGCCCGACACCAACTGGCCCGCACGGGATCGCAAGCGCATCAAATAGGTACCAAGTGACGTACCAACGTTTGCACTAAATAGGAAAATAATTGTTTGTTTCATATTCCAACACATTGCATAACCGCTGTGTGTGCGTGTTTGTTCAAGAAAAGGGGGTCGGATAGCTGTTGATCCCGGAAGTAGTTTCTCCGTCTGGTGCAACCTGGCCGGCTTCCCCCACGCCAGGGGCTGCCCTTCTGGATCGGCAAGGCTGATGGCGCCTTGGATCGATCGTTCCTGCGATCCCTCATCGGACCTAGGCTAGTGCACTTGGTGCCGTTGACGTGGTCGGTGCTGGTCGGTCAAAGGTTGATCCCACCCAGGGACTTTTGCCAAGGAGGATGGAGTGACAAAGCACAAACGCTATAGCACGTAACCCACCATCCACTTTGGAGCCCGGAAGGAGTGAGCCGCCGGCCTCGCACCTTTAAACCCGCCTCCGTCGACGCCATTAGCCGGGACATGCAATCGACTCCTTGACGTTCACGACGGACAGTGGTCGCAGACCATGACGACAGGGTCAACGAAACCCGTCGTGCGACCGGCCGGCTATGACGCGGGAAAACAGCCGGCTGAGGATGTCATTGTCCCCCCTGTCTCTTCGGCGTGCGGCTTTCAGCCGGGCTACCAACCTCACCTGGATGAATCACACATCCCGCGGCAACGGCAACCTTCTCGTGCACAGGCACGCTCGTTGGGAGGGGCGCCGCTAGCCGCCAAGATCCGCACGAGCACCGGCGGCTGACAGGGCCGACAAGAACGGCCGGTAGGCTCGCCCCTGGCGTGGACGGTGGACGGTAAAGCCACCGTCACCTCGAGGTCGGTATCTGCCAGGACCGCAAGTCCCGACTGTGGCGGAAAGAGTGGCTGCGAGGACCTGCGGCAGATGCCCGGACTGAAAGGGGCAGACCGGGGTAGGCCGGGGCAGAGGGTTTCCGGCTTCAGAGGAGTATGGCGCTCGCGGAAGTCGTCTTGGTGGGGGAGGGCGTCTGCTTTGTTTTGTAGATCGAGGTAATGCAGCGATAACACGAGGGAGTAAAGGGCATTCGACAGCGACAGGTGCAACCATCCCGCCACGCTGCATGGTGCTTGATGAGGTAAACTGAGACCTGCGCGGACTTGGAAGTTGCGGTAGGGCACCCTCTCAAAGCGGCAGATGCAAGCCGCTGCTCCTTACCAGCTGTTGCTATGGCAAGACACTGCTCCTCGGGCGGTAGGATGCTGCAAGAAATGTCCCTAGTCGACGATGGTCTCGGAGGTAGAGTCGCAATCCCTTTTAGCACCCGATAACAGATGTCTAGTGACCGTCATAATGATCGCGTTCGCTGTCGTCGCCGCCGCCGCCGCCTCTGCTGTCCTTGGAGACATCGGGCTGAACTGACGGGAAGGAAGGAGACAAGGGGAAGAAATAACAAGCCAGCCGGCGACGATACCGATGACAAGCTACGTTTGACGTGACAAAATATAGTACGTGTATACAAACATACAGCCAAAGGTATATCAGTAAACTTCCTGCACCGCACCCGATGCCTAGACTAGCTTTTTGCAACTCGGAATGGCGGGAGTTATCCAGCTTGCCCGATTTGATATAGCTCACTTTCCCCTGCGCCAATGATGAATATTCTTAGGAAAGCTGTCTGGCTGGCCGTAAGCAGCGAAAGTGCCTGGTTGCCCAAACTGGCTGCCCAAACATTCTCCACGGAAATCACCTTTGCTTGTTGGCTGCCGTATCCGGGTGAGGCTTTGATGCCGGGTTCTCCAAGCAAGGGGTTGTAGTATCTTGACAAAAACAGCGGTAAAGAAAAGCACGGGGAATCATGAGCGGGAATGTCGGCTTTGCCAAACACCAAGCGTCGATGAGGCCCTTGTCCCTTTATTGGGCCCTTTTCCTTGTTCACCGCCGGCGTGCAACACGAGGCCATCGTGTTGTTCTTTGACTGTTCGAGTTAGTCGAGTCAGGCGCGTTGCTTTGATGGACGTCGGTGCGAGCAGACGGGCAGGGCTTCCCCTCAATTTGGGCTCTATTCTGGCAAAAACAACGGAACACATACTAACAGTACACGAGCCCGGAAATTGGGCAAAGGCATTTGGCAGGGAAGCTCACCAGCCTTGACCAATATTGTGTGGGGTTTTGGCAACCGACGGCCCAGGCCGCAAGATCGCATTGCGCGCCAGAGATTGAGCTCCTTCCTCAATCGGACATCCTCTCAGGGCGACAGATCCACCAAACCCACCCTCCATGGCGCGCTTGCTCGTATTCCCGCCCTCTTCCTGGAGAACACACCACCTGCCGCGTGGGGAGCCAAGGCCGACGAGATGATGACCTACACGCCCGAGCGGCTAAAGGGGTGATGTCGTCAAGCCCTAGATGGAAATATATATATATGGAGGGGATCGCCGTGGCGGAGAGGGCTGATGTGATCTGCTCCCCCAAGCCAAGCTAAGAGGCCACTCCCCCGCCACGATGCAGCTCATCCAGTCCCTCCTCCTCGGCCTCTGCCTCACCGGCAGTGGCGCCGTCGCCGCGGAGCTGCCCGGCCCGCACATGAGCCCGCTCCTGCGCCGCGGCCAGGACGGCGCGCCCGAGACGGCCCCCAAGAACGACACCATCGCCCCGAAGCGTTTCATCGTCGAGTTTGACCAGGACAAGGCCGGCGGTGACGCCAGACAGGCCGCCAACGCCCTCAAGTCGAGCCTGCCCAAGGGCTGCCGCGTGCTGCGCGTCTACTCGAGCGAGGTCTTCAAGGGCGCCTCGGTCGAGGTCGAGGGCAGCAACGTCGACACGCTCAACGCCCTCGACGCCGTCTCGCGCGCATGGAACGCGCGCTACCTGACCCTGCCCGAGGAGTCGCTCGTGCCGCAGCAAAAGTTCGCGTCGTACAGCGAGGCCGCCACCGCGGGCCAGCTCAAGAACTACTCGATCCACCACATGACGGGCGTCGACAAGCTGCACGCTGCCGGCATCAAGGGCAAGGGCGTCAAGATCGCCTTTGTGGACACCGGCGTCGACTACAACCACCCGGCTCTGGGCAGTGGCTTCGGGCCTGGCCACAAGGTCGTCGGCGGCTACGACCTCGTTGGCAACGGGGACTACCCCAGGGGCCCCAAGCAGCCCGACGACGACCCAATGGACCAGGCCGGCCACGGCACCCACGTTGCGGGCATCATCGCCGGCCAGGACAAGACCTTTGTTGGTGTGGCGCCTGAGTCCTCACTTCTGGCCTACAAGGTTTTTACTGCTAACGGCGGCGTCGACGAGGACACTCTCATCGACGCCTTCCTGATGGCCTACGAGGCCGGTGTAAGTGAACTTGTCTCTTGGGGGATGTTTCGGACGCCGCTGTTGCTGACCATGGTTACTACTACTGCTCTAGGCCGACATTATCACCTCCTCCATCGGCGGCGTCAACGGTTGGACGGACAGCGCGTGGGCCTCGGTTTCCTCCCGCCTGGTTGACCAGGGCGTCGTGGTGACCATCTCGGCCGGCAACGATGGCCAGGCGGGCGCCTTTTCGGCGAGTAGCGGCTCTTCGGGAGAAAATGTGCTCGCAATTGCGTCCATCACGGCCGACACCATCGCCTCGCCCATGTTCAACATGACCTTCACACTCGACGGACAGAGCAACTCCACCATGGTGGCGTACCGCTCCGAGCAGAACTGGTACCCCTCCAAGATCCAGGGTTGGCCAATCACACCGCTGTCTCTCAACACCTCGGTCCAGGCCGACGCGTGCCAGCCCCTGCCGAACACGACCAAGAGCCTCGCCAACCAGGTGGTCCTTGTTCGTCGCGGCGGCTGCAACTTTGACGTGAAGCGGGTCAACCTCGAGCGCCTCAACGCGACCGCCATCGTGTTCTACAACGATGACATGCCCCTCGCCATACCCCAGCGGGCCCCGTTCGTCATCCCCCTCAGCAACATGACCATGATCACCAAGGAGGCCGGCGAGGCCATCATCGCCACTGTCAAGGCGGGCGGCAGCGTCACGGCCGACTTCAACCTCAACCCCAACGACCACCACTACACGGGCGCCAGCTTCTTCTGGGGCGGCAAGGCCGATTCCTTCACCTCTCTCGGCGCCACCAACGACATGTTCATCAAGCCCGACGTTGCCGCCCCCGGCGGCCAGATTCTCAGCTCCTTCCCCGGCGGCGGCTACGCCGTCCAGTCCGGCACCTCCATGTCCTGCCCCTACGTGGCCGGCATCGCCGCCCTCTACATTGGCGCCCACGGCGGCTCCGCCGACCGCAAGGCCCGCGGCGGCGCCTTCGCCAAGCAGGTCGCTGCCCGCATCCTCTCGTCGGGCGACGCCGTCGCCTGGTACGTCGACGACGGCAACGAGAAGGACTTCCACGCGCGCGCCTCGGTCGCGCAGGTCGGCACCGGCATGGTCAACGCCACCAAGGTGCTGGGCTATTCCACCCAGCTCTCCTTTGCCCGCTTCGCCCTGAACGACACGGCCCACTTCAACCGCGACCACAGCGTCGACATCACCAACTCGGGCCCGGCCCCCGTCACCTACTCGTTCGAATTGGAGGAGGCCGGCGCCATCAACGCTGTCCAGATCGACGACGGCGAGCACTGGGGCGCCCCGCGCATGTCCTGGTTCGAGGAGCTCATCCAGCAGCCGCAGCAGGTCCGCCCGGGCGTCGAGATGCCCGCGCCCCTCACCCTCCAGCCGGGCGAGACGCGCACGGCCAGGTTCGCCTTTTCGCCACCGACCGGCGGCGACCCGGCCAGCCTGCCCCTGTACAGCGGCAAGGTTCTCGTCAAGGGCGACAATGGCGAGACCCTGAGCGTCCCCTACATGGGCATGGCCGCGGACATCGTCAAGGAGCTGCCGGGCGTCTTCGACGTCAAGCCGGCCTACGAGCGCTTCACCTCTGGCGTCGAGGGCGTCCCCGTCGAGCAGAAGGCCAGCTGGACCTTCAACACCAGCCTCGCGGCCCAGGACTTCCCCGAGATCTACGTGCGCCTGGTCTGGGCGACGCGCGAGCTGCGCATCGACGTCTTCGAGGAGGGCTGGACCGAGGACCGCTGGGCGTACCCGCCCGCGGTCGGCAAGGACGGCTTCGTCGGCGCCGTCGCCACCTACGCGCGCCCGTTGCTGCGCGCCAAGTTCGACCCCGAGCGCATGAACGCGAGCGAGACCATCTCGACGCCCCTGCGCAGCCTGCCGCGCGACGTCTCGGGCAGGCCCGGCACGACGTTTTGGTGGCTGGGCCAGATGGCCAACGGCAGCCATATCAACCCCGGCCGCTACCACCTCCGCGTCGCCGCGCTCAAGCCCTGGTCCGACCCGCGCAACTCGACCAGCTGGGACACGTGGACGTGGGTCCCCAAGATCGAGGTGCTCCCGCTGGGCGCATGATTTGTGGTTGGGATTGATGGTCTAGTCAATATAGTAACGATATAATGTTTTATTACTTAATCTAATATATTCTTGGGAATTTCCTGGTTCGTTTCCTGTATCATATGCTACAAAGCGTGTCTGCCTGTGACCTTGTAAATGTGTTGCATCTGCTCCCTCGCCGCCAGCCATTGTGGAAAGTCAACCCGTAGCGCGAGCCTTGGTAGATGGCGGTCACGACAGTGTCAAGGCGCGCATCCCCTCAAGTGCGGTTGCCCTACCGACTGTGCATCTCCCGCTTTGTCATCAGAATAAGTCAATAGAAACATATAAACAAGTGCGTTTCTGCAAGTCAATCTCCTCTTTGGGAGGACAATCGCGCTTGAGGGGATGAAGCCCCCTTTTTTTGGCGGGTGCTCTGCCACTCACATGCCCCGCAAATAGTTGGGTCTTGTTCGCGTAAATCCGCCAGCCGAAGAGTCCTGTGTCGATCCCCCCCCCCGGTCCAATGGCAGGTTGGGGCCTGTACTGTGGCTTCTAGACTCAACACCGGTAGCCGTCACAGTTGAATTGTGCTAGCTGGAGTGGTGTCGGGAGTCTGGATACCTCCTTATTCTAATTACACACCCTGTACATCGGTGTAAAGGTTATTTGTACGTGTGCACGGCGTTGAATCGTGTTGGGGCTGTGCCCTAAGGGCGTATGGGGTCCTGGCCTTAAGACGCGCCAATAGCGCTTAGGCCGGGACCCTCAGCACAATGCGGTGGGGGTTTTAATATTTTGGATTAATGCGTGGAAACGAGGAAGCAGCTTGGAAAAAGAGGGAGGAGAAGGGCGGGAATAAAACGCGAAGAAAAAAGGAAGAAAAAAAGTGGCAAAAAAGAAAGAGTTGAATCTGGGTATACCCGAGGGAGGTTCCAAAGATTTTTAGGAAGGAGTCAAACTACATGTGCTCAATGCATGAGGGGAACTGTTGAGCCGGCCTGCTCCTTCCTGTCCGAAGTTTCCCGTAGAATTATTATATGGGCGCGCAGAGCCTCACACTGATGGGATGGAGGTGGCTGGAGCCAGGATAGTCCCTGAAGCCTGCCGGTCACGCGAGAGTTCGTGCCTGTGCCTGGCAGATCGTCTTCCCGCAGTGGGGAGGCATGAATTAAAGCGTAGCTAAGAATAGAGTCAAGCACCGTTGGATGGGCCGAGTCACTGCCTACCCTTTCGCGAGCACCTCCCTTTGACCTGCTCGGGTTCGGATCTACAGCCGGGGTGGATGCCATCCCAACTATGTGCTAGAGCTACCAAAGGTAGCCCCACGGCGTAACCCGGAAAACGGAGCTCACGAGCCAGACAATTGGTCGCTTAGCAGCTGGTTTGATATCACGGTCGGGAGAGGGGCCTCGCCAGACGGGCTCTAGGTATAAGTATCCCTCACCCTCGTCCCTACTTGGCGTTCTTATCTTCTCGTCCCACCCTCACCAGCTCACACAGCAGACATCCACTCCTTCATATGCTCTGCTAAGCGACGCTACGCCTTCATTTTAGTCTCGCCCCCAAAAAAAAACCCCCCATCGCCTTCAAGATGCAGTTCAAAACCTTCGTCCTCCTGGCCCTGCCCGTGATCAGCGCCCTGGCTGCCCCTCTCCCTGCCAGCAACGAGATCACAGCGCGGGCACCCAAGAGAGCCAGCAAGCCAGTCACCAAACCGGCACCGAAGCCAGCGCCTGCGCCCAAGCCTGTGCCCGTGCCGGCACCGAAACCAGCCCCAGTCCCAGTCCCAGCCCCGGCCCCGGCCCCAGTAGACAAGCCCAAGCCCGCGCCTTCTGCGCCCGCGGCAGAGAAGCTTAAGCCTATACTGTCAGCCCCCATCAAGCCTGCACCGACTGCTCCGGCGGCCAAGCCCGCGCCCACCGCCCCCGCGGACAAGCCCAAGCTCTCCGCCGCCCCGTCCGCCATTCCCACTGCACCCGCAAACAGGGCCCAGCCCCCGGCAGCCCCGGCTGTGACCCCCACGGCCCCCGCGGACCGCAACGAGCCGCCCGCCCCGTACGACGTCCCCGTCAGCAACAGGAGGAAGCTGGCCGGCCAGTTCGTCGACGCGCTAATCCTGAGCGGCGTCGTGGACGTCGCGGCCACCAAGGTGTCCGAAGGCCTGATCCTGGCCTTCGACAAGGTCAAGGACGCGCCCGACTTTGACGCGGCGCGCAAGGCCTTCACGCAGGACGCGGTCCGGGAGCTGTTCGACGCCAACCCGGACCCAGCCGTGTACCAGGCCGCCGTCTGCTACAGCTCCGAGTTTACCGTCGCCGACCCGGCCGCCGTCGCGGGCAAGACGAGCTTGGAGCTGAAATCCACTACGGGGGCGCTCAGGACCACGTACGAATGCTTCTACATGGGCGCGCCAAACACCTTCACCGCCCTCGGGGACGGCGGCTTCGTTAACCTGGCCATCCAGAGCAGCGACCGCTGCAAGTTTGAGGGCAAGGTCCTCACGTGCGCCTGAGCGTGTCAGGCGTGAACCGGGCCTGGTGGGATAAGGGACAGGAGTGGATATTTGGGATTTGCATAGTGGGTTGGGCACAGCATCTGAAGGCGTTTGTTTCGGCGTTTTCTTTTTATTTGTATATATCTGCACATGCTTTGGCGTTGCTCCTCGAAGTTCATGGCCGTTGTCACTTGTGGTCACCTGCATGGGTACCGGAGGGACTGGTCTTTTGTACGTACGTTTCCCTGCCTTGGACATAAACATCACTAACATTTTCAGTCTGACATGTTCTGCACTTCTCTACTGTGCCTTTAACCCGCCACTCACCGCTTAAAGCGTCAGGTGGCGCTTAGCAGTGCCTGTTGGCTGACCAAATGACATTTAGCAAACAGATCGAGGAAGGTGTATCAGCAAGGCATGGGCGGAGGTGAGACATTTTGCGGCTGAGCTCAGGTATAAACTCTTGCTAAACGCACCCGCAAGATTGTGTGCTTCCGCCGCGACATCCTCAATCATTAATACTGGATAGCAGCCAAGCTGATATGGACCTCCGCATTCACCCCGGGCCTATCTCCTTCTAGTATTGGCGAGCACCTCGCCCTGCGACGACGAGCCGCTCCTCTCCTTCTCCGGGCTCTTCTTGCTGTGCACGTCGGGGGCGCTGCTCATGATGCGCGTGTTCTTGGGGTCGTCCTGCCGGGTCTCGTCCCGCCCGCGCGCCGACCGCCCGCCGGTGCCCGCCATCTGCTGCAGCGTCTGCTCCTTGCCGCGCGTGCCGTTGGGCTCGGTGACGGCCCTGGGCTGCTGCCGCGCGCCCGCCGTCTGCCACCACAGGCCGCCGCCCACGACGGTGAGGGCGCCGATGGCGAGGGGGAGGCGGGATCGTGCTGCTGAGGCCATGGCTGATTGGTCGGCTAGGATGTGGTGCGAGCCAGGGAAGGATTCTGTCTTGATAGCGTCGGAAATGATGTTGTGATACGTTTTTGTAGGGACTGTGCTTGCGTGATGGAACTTGCGGCCGAATCCGTTGGCGATGTGGTCAGGGGTCGCTGCTTGTATCCGCGTTTCTAGTTGTTGTGTAAGATTGGATGCTGCGGGAGGGAAGACGGAGAAGGCGAGAGGTCCTGGTATGAAGCAATCCATTTTCGCCCACAAGGAAAATGCTGATCTCATTCTTGGGGGTAGCGCTGGCGGCGGCGGGTGGCCGTGGCGGGATCACGATGACATCATCTAAGGGCCTCGGCATCGACCAACGTTTTGCCGCTTTAGACAAATGACCTTTGCTAACAGTGGGATTGACTGTTCGTCTGCATTTGTAGTCCGATCTTTGACAGAACAGCTGAGCTTTGCAAAAGCTTTCCAGTCAATTGGATTAGTGGCTGTGCTGGGACTCGGACTAGCGTGGCAGAAAATGCAAAAACGACATTCGTAGCAGGCCGGAAAAATTCCACACCGCACTTCTTCTCATCGCCTTCTGCCACATCCCATATCTGATATTCGGTCAAATATTTTTTAGCCATAGTAAAGTCGACCAAGGCCATGCATCTTTTTTTCTTTTCCCTTTTCTTTTATGCCTTTGCGCAAGCCATTGGGCCCCAGGCCGTGCTTGCACCAGCACCTCAGCCCGGCTATGCAGATATCCAAGCCACGAGGGAGTTTTGGATGCGTCGCGCCATCGCCGTCCTCGAGGAGCAGACCGGTTCGCCCTGCCCGTTCGCCGCTTACGGAGCCGTCATCGTCAACCACACCGCCAACGCCTGCCCAACGGCCGGCTCTGACCAGCAGACCTGCCCACCCCCCGCCGGCACGCTCGTTTGCTCCGCCGTCAACGCCATCCGGGCGACGGGCGACCCCACGCTGCACGGCGAGGTGGCCGCCCTGCGCGCCTGCGCGGCCGACCTGCAGCGCCCGCCGCACAACCTGTCGCCGGGGGCGGCCCAGCGCGCCCTCCGCGGCCTGTCGCTGTACACGACGGCGGAGCCGTGCCCCATGTGCGCGGCCGCAGCGCGCTGGGCCGGCCTGCGCGAGGTCGTCTTTGGCACCAGCATGCCGAGGCTGGCCGCGCTGGGCTGGGCCCAGATGGACATCCGGGCCGCCGAGGTGTTTGAGAGGAGCCAGGGCTTGGGCGTGGAGACGACGCTTGTGTCGGACGTTCTGGACGAGGAGACTGATGTTTACTTTGCGTGGCAGTTTGTGGGGGACAGCGCCCAGAAGCCGGCATGCCCACGCGGGTGCCATGCCGCCCGGCGCGGTGATAAGGGCTGGGGCTGCCAGCCTGCTTGATCTATCGTTGAACCCGAGATTTTGGCTATGATGACGCATACAGAGCAGATATCTCAAAGTGTGGAAGGCTACTCGACGAACCCTCCGATTTCTCCATGACAGTGCGTTTCCTCCCGCCTTGGCGAGGTCGTAACCCTTCAGGGCGAATTGGTTGTATCGGTCGGGTATGCCCAAACACAAATGGAGAAATTTACACACAAGTCTGAGCCTGAGCTTCATTGGGCGTTTGTTGTCCATATCCTGTTTTGTTTTGGATAGACTGTTTTGTCATGCTTCTGTATTGTCGTCACCTGTGTTCTTCACGAATAGTCATATCCGCCCCCCAGCCACAGGTTTCCCCGCACGCAATTCGCATCACTTCAGTGCTTTCAAGGCGCTCGCTATCACATCCTCAAGCGTGTGCTTTTTGAGGCCCAGCTTCTCGTTGAAAATATCTCCTTCCAGCTCCAGGTGTCCGCCGTACCGGCCCGTCAAGAAGCCGGTCTCGATCAGGGCAAACGTCGCCCCGACGTTACCCCCCTCCACCAGCTTCTGCTGCTCCTCGATGAACTTGACGCTGTCCAGCTTCTCGACTTTCCAGGGCTCCCCGCCCGTTTGGCGCTCGAGCTCGGCGACCATCTGGCGCTGCGAGACGGCAAAGTCGCTCAGCAGCACGTTCTGGTTGCGGGTCTCCTCGGGGAACTCTGAGAGCGCGCGAACCAGGGCCAGCGCCGTGTTCTCCTCGGTGGTGCAGCTGCACAGCCCCTCCCCGTCGTCCCACAGCACGGCGCGGCGCTCCTTGAGGTGCAGGCCCAGGAACTCGTGCGCCAGGCTCCAGCGGATCCACATTCCGCAGCTGACCGACGTCCACTCGATGCGGCCGGCGGCGGCCAGCTCGCGCAGGCGCTCCTGGACCCTGCCCTTGTCGCGGAAGACGGTCGACAGGGCCTGGGCGTCCTTGCGCATGTTGTTGAGCCCGTACTCGGACGGCAGGTAGCGGCGCACGCCGACGGCCACGGCGGCGTCGATGAAGCGGAACTGGTCGATGACGCTGAGCGAGGTCATGCAGTTGACGATGGCCTCCTGGCCCCTGAAGGCCGCCTCGAGCTCCGCGGTCGGGTAGTCGTCGGCCACCTTGATGGACCGGACGCCGTCGGGGATGGCGGTCTTGGACGAGGCGCGCTGGAGGATCGTCACGGTGAAGCTGGACTCCTTGAGCAGGGCCTCCAAGACGATGCTACCTATGGACCCGCCGGCGCCGACGAGGAGGATGTTCTTGAAGGCGCTCATCTTGGCTAGGGTAGAAACGATGTGTGCTAGTTTGATGCCGGGTATAGTTAAAGAAGTGCAAAGATAGGGACTATATTGACGGATGGCTCCCTTCAAGATACAGCTTTTGATGGCATGGGTGCGGTCTGCTATAAATATACCGGCCAACACATGGCCCGCTGGTATGCAATGGACACCAGTCCCCCGTCCGGACCGTGGATGGGTGTTGCGATGCTATACTCGGATAGCGAAACATATTTGATCACATAATCGCATCTGCAAAGTTGCGCAGGAATGTTGACAAAGGATCCTCTGCGCTCCATCCTTTGTTAGCGAGCCGCAGCCGAGATAAGTTCAAAGCCCGGTCCGGTGACGGAAGCTGGAAGTGGGATCTGCTCGGCTCTTTATTGCGCACATTTGTTCATTAATCATGCATGGATTTCGAACGTTCAGCAATGGCGGCATCGTGGGGCCCAGATGGCTGTTTTGGTCGTTGCCGATTGGGTGCGCGTCAACGGGAGCAACCGTCGCGGGTGCCTAACAGGCGATTGACGTTTGGCTCATGCGTGTGGAATACTGAATACTTGGATCCGCACCAGCGCGTCTTCTGAGCTTCTAGTGTTTTGTACGCGCCTGGTTGCATGATAATCCTCGTCCCAGGTATTCTCGACGCGGGCAGTATTCCCTGATTGTCGGATGACGTTCATCGGTGGCATGGAGAGGGATCGCGTTGCAGTTCGGAGTGTGACGGACTTGCTGCATTGGATGGCCAGGAGGAATACTATAATAGAAACGAAAGAGGCCCAGAGCGATCTAGAACAGGTTTGCTGGTAGCATGATTTGAGAGTCTCCAGCATCATCAATGGATGCCGTGCGACGCAGAGACAGCAGAGCAGTTCCGAATTGGTTGCAGATCAACTCGACACCACTGACCCGCGATGCCCGAGTTCCCGCACGGCCGCTGCTGATTGGCTGGTGCGGCAGCCAAGCCTTATAGGCGGGGCAACCAGATTAAGATCCCTGGAGACGTTGGCAAACCATGTTTCGCCAGAGCTCCTTCTGACATCATCGGCCTGTGCTCCAGAAGGTGCCGCTTTATGATGACGCTTGTCCCAAACACTGAAAGCCTCTTGGAGAACCATAAGCCATGTCTCGTCCAACCGTCCCATCATCTGCTGGCCCATCCTTCCGACGGCGGGGAAGAAGAGGACGATTTCATTCCAGGAGTCGACCCAGAGACGAGCTGCGTTGACCCCAACCAGTTGAGCCCGACGCAGGGCCTGTAAGCCTGACGGCGCCTTGGCAGCGTAGCCAGCGACCACAGAAAACAAAGACCACCGATCCAACATGTCGCCAACCGCCGACTTCGAGCAGGAGGCGGGCGCCGGCCGACGGCTCTACACAAAGCCACACTCGGGCAGGCGGCCGATCCCCACAATCCATGGCTATAGGGAACACCGCAAGGAACTGGAGGGGCAGCTGAACGAGACGGAGGAGGCCCAGCACGAACCCGAGGACGACTCGAAGCCGAAGCGTGCCTTCAACTCGGTCAAGGCTATTTTCAAGGAGGAGGAGGGGCCCAAGTCTGGCCACGACCCGTTCCCATCGGTAAATCGCAATCTCGAGGACAGAAAGAGGAGGGATGCGGATGATAGCGGCTTCTCAAGTGGCGACTCAGAGGGACAGGAGAGCAGGGACACCGAAGGACGAAAAGACGACCAAGATCACGGCAGGAGCAAGAAAAAGAGCAAGGATGACAAGAACAAACAACAGAAGTCAGCCACCGAGGCCGCGGCGTCGGCCATCGACCCTCGAGAGAAGCGCAAAGCCATGAAGAAGACAAAGCGGACGGGTGGCGGCCGCGAAGTCACGGACCCCGTCACACACCTGCCCATCATAATCCACGATCACACCGACAAAGACCTACAGTCCGCCGAACAAAACCTCCCAGAGCCAGGGACCGACCATCGAACCGCCAGGGGCCTCCGCGGCGCCACCAAGTCCGACGAGGAGCTAGATGTTGAGCAGAAGGAGCTCCAGCAATCTTACAATGGCATGGTCAAGATGTTCCCGCCGCCCGACTTCGACGAGCTCAGACGCGAACTCGAAAACGTATACCAGCAAGCACTCATTGCCGGCCTTGCCATAACGGCCACGTTGACGGCGACCGTGGTGTCGTTCTTGTGCAAAGGGCCTGTTGAGGGCCCCAAGAACATAATCGGGACACTCTATGGCTACCTATCGAACACGGCTTTTGTCTCCATCTGCTGCGCCATAGTCGCGGCGGGCATCATAGGCGTCGGCACGTGGGTGCGAAACAAGGTGGCCGCCCTGTTCGACGACGAGACGTGGGACGCGGCACGCCGCGGAGAGGCCGAGGTGGTGGGCTCGGATGCCGAGCTTCCGGAATCGACGCAGTGGCTGAACAGTCTCTTCTCCAACATCTGGCCCCTGATAAACCCCGACCTTTTCGTTTCCATGATCGACATGATCGAGGACGTCATGCAGGCCTCCCTGCCGCGCGTCATCAAGATGGTCAGTGTCGAGGACATGGGCCAAGGAAGCGAGTCGTTCCGAGTCCTCGGCATCCGCTGGCTGCCCACCGGTGCCGCCTCGCAGACGGTCACGCCCGAGGGCCAGCTCGAGAGGCCTGAAAAGAACACCTCCAAAGATTCCAAAGATGCGCTCAACTCGGGTGGTGGCGGCGACGAATCGCAGAATGCACCGAGGCGCAGCGGCGACGGAAGCGATTGCGAGAACGATGACATGGCCGTCCAACTCACCCAGCAGGAACAGCAGGACCAGGCCGCTATGAAGCAAGGGTTGGAGGGAGAAGAAGGTGACTTTGTCAACCTGGAACTGGCATTGGCATACCGAAGTCGCTCCTCGGGCAAGTCCATCAAGAGCAAAGCCAAGAACGCCCATCTGTACATCAAGTTCTACCTCCCCGGAGGTCTTGCTGTACCCGTCTGGGTCGAGCTCAAGGGCTTCATCGCGACGCTGAGAGTCCGCCTCCAACTGACACCCGACCCACCCTTCATCAGCCTCTGCACCTTGACATTCCTTGGCCAACCCCGGGTTAGCCTGTCATGCGTGCCGTTATCCAAGCACAGCCTCAACATCATAGACGTGCCCCTGATCTCGTCCTTCGTACAATCTAGTGTCGATGCGGCTGTGGCAGAGTATGTCGCTCCCAAGAGCCTGACGTTGAACCTGAAGGACATGCTGGTCGGAGATGACTTCAAGAAGGACACCTTCAGCCGCGGCGTGGTTTGGATCTTCATCAAGCAGGCTCGCGGGTTCAAGCAGGGCGACAGCGGACTGGGCCCTTTCAACGAGGCGTCGAGCGATTCCTATGTCACAGTCTCCTGGGGAAAATTCGGCAAGTCCGTCTCGTCGACTCGAATAGTCATGAACGAACAGCAACCAGACTGGCACGAATACGCCAGCATCCTGGTGACACCCGAGGAGCTCAACGCGGAAGAGAAGCTGCGACTTCAGCTGTGGGACTCGGACAGGTGGACTGCCGACGACGACCTCGGACGGGTTGAGATTGACCTCAAGTACCTCATGTCCTGCGAAGACACGAGGAACCGCATGCAGGATCGTGAGGATAAGTTCAGAGGCCAGGATTCCAGCGAGATGCTGCCGGGGACGCTAACCTGGTCTGTGGGGTACTTCACGAAGCCACGCATCGGCGAAGAAAAGCTGGCCAAGCAGACGGTCAACCCGGAGATCACAACAAAGGAACAGCTCAAGGAACGCGTTTCGAAGCTGACAGAGCGCAAGCTCAGGGAGTCCGGCGCCGACCCCCACGACGATGTGGTCCACCAGCAAAAGGCACAGGACTACAAGGAGATTGAGGACAGTATGATAATATCGGCGCCCCCTTCCGAGGAGCACGTCTCGGGCATCCTCAGCATCCAAATCCACAACATCACGGGCCTAGAGGTGCAACGCCTCAACCGGCGCGATCGCGAGGCCATGAAGGACTACGCCGAGGAGAGCGAGCAGGAGGACGACATGCCCGACAGCTACTGCACCATCATCCTCAACCACAAGAAGATTTACAAGACGCGCACCAAGCCCAAGAACTCGAAGCCCTTCTTCAACGCGGGCACCGAGCGCTTCATCAAGGACTGGCGCACCACCGAGGTTATGATCGCCGTGCGCGACTCGCGCGAGCGTGAGGACGACCCCCTCATCGGCCTCGTCTTCTTGCCGCTCGCCAAGGTCTTTTCCAGGCGCAGCCAGATCCACGAGGACTTCCCTCTCGTCGGCGGCATCGGATACGGCCGCGCGCGCGTCAGTCTTGTCTGGCGCAGCGTCGAGATGAACCTGGAGCCTAACCTGATAGGCTGGGACTACGGCACCCTCGAGGTCTGCGGCCCTGTCAGGGAGGCGAGCAAGGACAACCTCCCTTCGGACCTGCGCCAGCACCGCATCAAGCTGCGCACCAACATGGGCAAGCTCAAGATGCAGCCGCGGGGCAAGAGGAGCAAGGACAAGGGAAACGCCGATACCGACAGCGACGGCCGACAGGAGTGGTGCCCGAGGGAGAAGCGGCTGCGTGAGAACGCCTTCCTCCCCGTGCGCAGGCGGTACGCGTCGGCGCTGGTGATCGAGTTCCGCGAGTCGGCGATTGGGCCCGACCGCACGCCCGCCTTTGCCGTCATCTGGCTGCACGAGCTGACGGACGAGGAGGGGCGGACGTTTAAGCTCAAGGTCTGGAAGGGCGGCAAGAACAACCTGCGCCGCGCCGAGAGCTGCTGCGACTATGACGGCATGCACGACGGCGAGGAGGAGCTGGGCGAGGTCGAGCTCACGCTCAAGTTCTGGAGGGGCCTGTCGGGCTACCACAAGAGCTACGCGTCGCAGAGCAAGAATGCGGACATGCGGAACGTCATGGAGTGTCTGGATACCATTACGGATGAGGGTTTGAGGGACGATGAGGGTGATGAGACGGACGATACCGAGCCCGATAGCGAGGACGAAGACGTTGGTAAAGAGGGAGATGATCAAGATGCACCTGTGGACGGAGGCGAGATCGATACAGACGAAAAGGGTGAGCCGGAGGAAGCAAACAAAGAGACGGCGGATACGAATGACTCCAAGGCAGACAAGGAGGCGGTGGCAGCCAAGCGAAAAAGGCTGCAGGTGCACACAAACGACTCCTCGAGCGGGTCTGACTCCGACTCTGACAAGGACAACGACGGAGACGACAGCTTCGGCAAGGGCGGAGACGACGACGGCAGCGATAGCCGGGAAGCGTCTCCCCTGAAGCGGCTCTCGCGTTTCAAAAAGATCAAGAGCATCTTCCGGTCGCCCGTCGACGGCGGCACCAAGGCGGTGCTCTCGGTGGCGACGGCGGGCCACGACGGCGACGGCGGCGGCGACGGCGGGGTGCGCGGGCGGCTCAAGGACTACAAGGACCACCACAAGCAGCTGCACCGCAAGCACCGCGGCGTCATGCAGTGGCGCGCCGCGCGCCAGGCCGACCACGTCGGCGGCAAGCTGAGCCGGCTCAAGGGCACCGTCGGGGGCATGTTCAAGCACAAGGAGAAGGATGTCGGGATCGAGACGGAGGTGTAAGGGGGTCGGTAACTGGGCTATGATGATTTTGGTAACATTGTCGACGCAGGAATGAATAATACATAGTGAATCCTTCTGGCATCCTAGCCAAGCATCAAGCCTGCCCATGTACCTCCCGAAACTTGTCCAACCGCTCCGAAACACCACGGCCGTACTTCTTCTGCATCCCGGCGAGCCACTCATCGCCGAGCTCTGGAAGCAGGGGCTCTGCCCCATGCTCGAGCAGCATCTCGGCAGAAGGCCAGAAGCCCCTTACAACTGCCGCGTTCAGCGCGCTGCCGTACACACCTCCTCGTGCGTTTGCATCAGCTCCCTTGGCCAGCAATAGCTCAACCAGCTCTAGCCAGCCCGAGTGCACCGCTGCTTGTAGCGCCGAGCCGAATTTCCCCCCTTGCGCATTCACGTTGATGCCAGGACATCTTTCCAAAAGGAGCTTGGCGCCCCGCAGACGGCGCTTCGCACACGCCGACTGGAGCGGGGTGCCGTATTTCCCAGCCCCGAGGTTGGCGTCGGCGCCGTGGTCCAGCAGAAACCGCATCCTGTCGAGGTCCTGGTCTTCGGGGTCAAATTTGGATGCCTGGTCTTCAAAGTCGGATTCGGATGCCTGGTCTTCGGGGTCAAATTTGGGTGCCTGGTCTTCAGAGTCGGATTCGGATGCCTGGTCTTCAGAGTCAAATTCGAGTGCCACCTGCAGAGCGGTGCCGTACCGCCCGCCCCCCGTGTCGTTGACGTCGCATCCGCCGTGGTCGAGAAGCAGCCCCATCACCTCCCGGGGGTCGTTTTCCTCCTCCTCCTCGTCCTCGTCCTCCTCGTCCTCCTCGTCCTCGTCCTCCTCGTCCTCCTCGTCCTCGTCCTCCTCGTCCTCCTCCTCCTCCTCCTCCTCCTCCTCCTCGTCCTCGTCCTCGTCCTCGTCCTCGTCCTCGTCCTCCTCCGCCGCCGCCGCCGCCGCCGCCGCCGCCGCGTGCCAGGCGCTGCCGAAGCGGCCGCCCCGGGCTTGGACGTCAGCACCGCGGTCGATCAGAAGGCGCACGGGTTCGAGGCGTCCCGAAAAGCACGCCGCCTGGAGCGCGGTCCCGTACTCGCCGCCCTTGGCGTTGACGTCGGCGCCTTGTCCAAGCAGGAACTCGATACCGTTGCGCCAAAATCCCCTCGCGGCGGCAGACAATGCATTTCCGCATTTACCTCCAGCGGTGTTGACGTCGGCACCCCTCGTTACCAACAGCTCGATCGTGTCCCATTTGCGTTGATGTCGGCATGCGGCTTGCAAGGCGTTGCCATACTCCCCCCCTTGAATGTCCACCTTGGCGCCCTTTTCCAGTAAATACGGGATGAGTTTCTTGCCGTGCATATAGTTCGCGCAAGCTGCCTGCAGAGCGGTCTCGTACTTCCCACCTCGTGCATTGACGTTGGCGCCTCTCTCGACCAACAGTTTGATGAGACTGATGCCGTTCTCCCAGTATGGAACAGCGCAGGCAGCCTGCAGTGCACTGCCGAATTCCCCACCCTCGGCATTGACGTCAGCGCCCTTGTCCAGCAGGAGCTCAACCGCCTCGGTCACGACCATGTTGGAGACAGCTGCTTGGAGTGGGTTGCCGTATCGGCCACCTGGCATGTTGACGTCAGCGCCTCTATCTAACAATAACCGAAAATTCGCTTCGCAGTTCTCGAGATCCGATGCTGCTGCGTGTAATGCAGTCCCTCGGATGCCGCCATGCCCGTTTATGTCGGCGCCGCTCTCGAGCAGAAACTCCAGCATTCGGGTAGGGTGGGAGCCATGAGCATCCCGCACAGCATACACCAGAAGGGATTCCGCCTCGTTGGTAGCCGACCATTTCAGATCGGCCCCGCGGCTGACAAGCAGTCGAACTAGATCGAGGTGATGATAAGATACGGCGGCTTGTAGAGCAGACCTTTCACCGTAGTGCGCATTGATGTCAGCGCCACAGCCGAGCAGGAGTTCCACAATCTCGACGTGTCCGCGCATAGCTGCTGCACACAATGCGCTTCCAAATTCTTCGTGCTCATAGTTGACAAGGGCACCCATGTCTAGTAGGAGCTGGACGGCAGCCTTGCTCCCTCGGTATGCCGCATCCGGGAGGGCAGCATCCAATTCCTCCTGCGTCAAGTACTTGGAGATGCCGGTGCTTTCACAGAGCAGCATATTTGTGAGCTGGAAAAACCCAAGCTGGGCAGTGAAGCGCTGCGGTCGCTGCAACATGGAACGGTAGCCGATTTTTACCATCCCGTAAAGGCCGAACCGGCACCCTTCGATGCTTAAGCGCAGGCTGTTGCTCTGGATGCCGAGGGCACGTGCAGCGGCGTTGATGACCTCGGCCGGCCAATCCTCGCGCGGCACCATTTCAAGATGATGCGCCCATTGACGTGCCGCGTAACTTTTCAAGCTGAGGCGCTCGGCTTCATCATTAGTCAGGGTGCTGCGGTAGAGGTGGTATGAGAGGCACGAGTGCGCAATGTGCAGGTGGGCTTCGATCTCGCTGAATGAGTAGAATCGCTTGGCCCGATCCGCGGCAGTCCGGGCAGACGTTAGGTACTCCTTTACTGAAAAATGAGCCAGCCGTACACAAGTTTCCATTTTCCAGGCAGCTTCGTTAAACCATTCGTAGGCAACAACAAGGCCAGATACATATTTCAAGAAGGCTTCGGGTTTGAACAGTCGCTCGGCATCATTTACGGGGATGGCACACTCTGGGCGGAGGATGAATATCTCGGCGAGCTGGTTGAGCCGGAGCGGCGCGTTCGATGAGGCGAGCCATTTGAGCGCGCTTATGATCTGGGGTCGGAAGTCCTTGTTTAGGCTTTGGAGAATCCTATCGTATGTCGCATCAAGCCCAGGAGGGATGTTTTTGAGCGCCGCACGGATGGCCGACTTGGAAGCGAGATCCCTGAGGGCTTCGAGCTGGCGAGATACGTATAGGAACCTGGGACACCTGTTAGTGACGGCGCTGCGCTGAGTATGTAACCGAATCGACCCCATTACGTACATGCCGTCCGCTTTCTCTAACAACAAGCCCTTCGCGTTGGCTTTGAGGTGGGGGGGCCAGGAGTTGTAGTCGGCGGATGCGAGCATCGTATCGATGTACAGACCGATATCACCGTTGTGTTTCGATTGATTTGTTGTCAGGTTTATCGCCGCCCCATGTGACCTGGAGAGGAAGGCGCCCATCGCTGCCTTGATGTCTGGCTCCGGCCGGCTGGTGCAAATGATGTGGAGATTGCCTGGCATCGGGGAAGTTATACGGCCGAGGCTGTCCAGCAGCTTCGCCCGTTCGTTACCCAAGGTCGGGCACTCGTCCAGGGCGTCAATAACGACGAAAACCGCAGAAAACCCGCGTGTCGTGGCCAGCAGTGCGGTCTCTAGGGTCTTTGTGTCTGGGCGCCCACCCCCGTCCTTGTATTGGCCGAGTCTCTTCACCGGCAGAGGAGTGTCGGGCCTGCTGGCACAGAGCTGCCTGACAAGCGACGCGAGCATCACGGACAAGCTCTGTTTCTTCGAATCGCTAAAACTAAAAAAGAAGTAGGCGATGGCGGCGTCGGGCTCGGCTGCGTATTCGTCCTTCAGGTGCTGGATTACCGACGAACTTAGGACTGACTTCCCCGCACCAGCTGTTGATAAGGAGGTAGGTATCTGGTCAGCGGAATAACGGTAGTGGAGGTGATAGCTAAGTACGGACGTACCCTTTCCATGAAGCCATAACAGAGAGCCTGAAGATTTCTTCCATTTCTCGAACTCCGCGCTGCCATTAACCAGCCAGTCGCCAGTGCCACTCTTGTGCAAATCGCGTGCGGCGTTGTATATCTCAGTGTGGTCGCTATCACAGAGCCATCCAAGGAGTCTCCTGCGCTCCGCGTCCGCCCGAGCTTGTTCGACCGCATTCCGAAGTCCGGTCAGATCCGCGCCGATCGCTTGCAAGCTGTGTGTGCTCTCCTGGTGTCGCGTCTCGAGCTTCTCGCACTCCTCGTCGTACTTCTTATCCCTCCAGTCGTCGTGCAGGGCAGTCAGGACGCGTACCTGATCTTCCACCCCGTTGAACAGCTCATCCCATCCGTCCCATTTGATCATGTCCCGTCCCAGGCGAAGCGCTGTCGACTGCGAATAGTAGCAGTAGGCCTTAGCTTGGAACTTGAGGATATGGAAATACAGCTCTTCCAATGCTTCCTTGTACTCGGTATGTGATGGTAGAGACAGCTCGTGTTGACCAGCCGTTGACTCGTAGCGCCGGAAGTAGAGATCTTCCCATATGCGGCTCCGGACGATGATAGTCGAGATATACCCCAGCCCTTTTGCGAGGGTAGCGTCCTGTTCGGCAGGGTTCGTGAGGAGCTGTCCATCGTTTTCAACTAATCGTCAGCCCTCGCTCAAAGTGATACCACATTTCGCAACCATCGACTTACCGGCAGCAATAGACTAACGCCAGCCCATGCTATGGAGACGTACGGGTTCGAGCTCGTGGCGTCGGTGATGTACTCATTTGCAGAGTTGACAGCGCTCAATACGGGCCCCACAACTTCTTTGACCTGGACTTCGGAGCTGCCGAACTTCAGCTTCCACACATCCCTGTTAACCTCGTCCATCTTGTACTTCAGAATGGCCGCCATCCGGTCTCGTCTGTTGGCTTTGGGGCCGAGGATCAAATCAAACCCAGCCGTCAGACTCCCGCAGAGCCTGGCTTCATAGTCCGTGACGAGGTCCGCATCTTCCTCCCGGAGGTTTTCGTATGCTGAATTCCAGAGCTCGCGGATCGGTTTGTCACTCGCTCGTGTGCGGACTGGGACAGATTGTGACAGTGGATTCGAGTCTGTCGCGGTAGCGATCGAGTCATCTATGCCTGGAGCGGGCTCCCGGCTGGGATTAGTCCCTGGTTGGTGGCTCGGGCCAGCCGTCGCAGCCGCCGAGCTCGACGGATCCTCTGGCCCGTTGTCCGATGGGTTGGTGTTGCCATCGGAGTCCCGGGCCCAGCCCCAGAGCTTTTGCTTGACCTTCTCCCTGAGCTTGGTACCACGACCCATTGTTTGCGGTGCCTGTCAACTGGGTGGCTCGGCAAGGAAGAACGGTGGATGTTGTGGTTGCCCGACGAGAAATCGAGACATTGAAGCCCAGCGAACTCCGAGCCTTACCTCCTCTGGGTCGCATCATGCTTGGCCAATGGGAATGATGTATGCCCAATTTCCCCCCAACTCACGTGCACAAGGCAGCCACTGCGGCATATCGCCATCGATTGGTCCTAAATCCTGTCTTCAGGCCGGCTACTAATCCTGCCCCACAGCCGCAGGTCAGCCATTTCGATTTGAGCAATGATTTACTCCCTGTCGACAGACGCCCGCTATTCGCAACGACGTCATCCCGAGCAAACTGGAGGTGCGTGGAGGCGGCCGGATAGGAAGAAGTCCCCAGAACCCATGCTCGATGTGTGTATATGTAGCTGGCTGAGAGAAGGGGATCGGCGGGCGGCTTATAACGGTACGTAAGGCGATCGATCCCGTTCCCGAGCCAGGCGCCCAAAATGGTAGCTCCGCCGCGGTCTGTCTGATCGAGTCTCGGGGCTCGGAGCCGTTTCCGGCCGCATTATTGGCATGCGATATACAGCCCGGCGAGCTGGGCGGAAATCAGTTTTATCCCAGTCCTTACCCTGGTCCATGACATAGCGTGGACCCTTTGTGCATTCGGCAGCATAAGGATCCTTATAACGGGTAGCCAGGAGTAAAGGCCTGGAGCTGAACTGTGCATTAAAAAAGGAACACGGTGGAAAACAAAGCACCGCGAGCAGATTTTAGGTATACGGATTAAAAGATGGTGGCGCACATAGAGCAGGCTAGTCCATGTACTATTGCAAGAACGGGGACGCCTCAAGGACCAGGACGTTCCCCTCTGAGTCACAGGGACATAAGAAACGAAGCGCGATAACAAAAAACGAGCGTTGAACCCATCGCCCCTTTTTTCGAGACGTAGGTTAGAAGCCCCAAAGCAGCAGTAAACGGGGTGACAGAAGCGAGCCTAGACGCGCTTGTCGTCGGCCACGGTGACTCCCTGGACCTCGACGCGCTTCTCCTCGTTGCTCGCGCCGCGTTCCATCTGGGTCTCCTTCACAATCTGGTCCAGGTCCAGCACGGGTGCGGCGTCGGGCCCGTCGATGAGCTTCGCGAGCTCCTCGAGCGTGGGGCCCTTGGTCTCGATGTACTTCCACCAGACAATGAACAGCTCGAAGCCGACCCAGCAGGTGTAGATGAGGTAAAGTTTCTGTATCGAGAAGTGTCAGAAAAGTCGCGCTCGGCCAGCTCAGTCTTTTGTCACTAATAAACGCCCACTTACCCAGGTCTCGCCCTTGGAACCCTCGGTACTTCCAAAGGCCTGCAGAGCAGGGGCGTTGGCCAGGTTGTTGAATGTCAGGGCCAGCTGGACGACGATATTGAGAACCATCATTCCCTTGGCACGGAGCACATAAGGCAGAATCTCCAGCGCGTATCCGATCAGCAAGCCCGACCAAGCGATGGAGTAGAAAATTCCAAAGAGCCAGATGAAGAAGATGAGGGCGTTTTCGGCACCGGGCGAGTCCTTGGTCTCATACAGTGCGCACGAGAGCGTCCAGAGGATCAGGGTGAAGAACATGCCAGCGGTTGATGTCAGGAAGGTAGGACGGCGGCCAAACTTGTCAACCATCATGGCAAAGGTAAGTGAGATGAAGAGGGAGAGAAGTGAGTTGCCAGTGCTCAGCTATAAATATCGTCAGTTAGCACCTACTCAGATATGATAAGCCCAAAGGGCCGATGGTGGGACGGTAATAAGAAAAGGCCATACCCCAAGGCGCTGCCTGGCATCCGCGATGCCCGCATTCTTGTAGAGAAGGGCGCTGTAGTTGGATACGATGGCATTGCCGGACCATTGCGAGAACAGAGCCATGGTGAACAGGAGCAGAAGGCGGTAGCGGTTGCCAGGAGTCCGGAAAAAGTCCATGTAGCTGCTGTACTTGCTAGCAGCCTGCTCCATCTTGATGGTTTCGCGGATCTCACGGTATTCGAACTGGACGGTAGGGTGGTTCTCGTCTCCGTTGCCATGGTATTTGGCAAGCATCGCGAGGGCCTCCTCGCTCCTGTCCTGAGCCACCAGATAACGAGGCGACTCTGGGACCCCTGTAGCCACCGTCCCCGATTAGCCTAAGCACACGGGCAGATGGGAAAGCCATGTCGAACGGGAGAACTTGCAGTAAATGCCGAGGATCTGGATGATCGAAGGAATGGACTGGAGGATGCAGGGAACGCGCCAGGACCAGTCGTTGCCGTAGGACTCGGTACCGAAAGCGGTAAGACCGACAACTATTTTCTCGTCAGTGCTAAAGAGGACGGCGAGCAGCATGAGGAGGAGGTTGCGGTCAGGACAACTCACGGACGGCGCCGACGTTCCACAAGCAGTTGTACACAGTGGTCAGGCGAGCGCGGTGTTGCGGGTGCATGATCTCGGTCAGGAGCATGGGCGAGCACATCTGAGAGAACGAGTTGCCAAAGCCGAGCAGGAAACGACCGCCCATGTGCGTGCCGAGGTCGTTGGCGACTCCCTGGATGATGGCACCGACAGTAGTAATGACAGCGCCAATGACGATGGGCCACTTGCGGCCATAGCGATCGGTCACCTCGGGGCTGTTGATGGGTGGTCTGGTCAGCATGCCGTGGCGCTGGAAGAGTGACCCTGGTCGACTTACACAAACGGAATGGAGATGACACTGCCAATCTGGTACATGGCAACTACAAGACCCAGGAGGCTCTTGTTCTCGCCTTGCATCCCGAACTTGTCGTTCCAGCTGTCGAAGTTCTGGATCGAGTTCAGAAGCATTCTGTAGTTATGGGGAAGATGAACTTGTCAGCCCAAGTCACGCACACAATACTCTTGCAGTTACAGAGGAACCTACCCATCGTAACCGGTACTGGCCGAGGCAATCGACAGAATGAAGGCATACCAGGCCAAGGACCGGAGACCCGGCTCCGCGTACCAGGTCACCCTCTCGAACTTGGGAGCCTCATCCTGCGCCTGAGCCACAGCGTCACTATTGGGCTTCTGCTTGAGTTTGTCGAGCAGCCCCATGACGACTGTTTGACCAGCGGAAGGGGAACGGTGGTTGAGAGACAGCGACGGTGGCTGCTGGTGTTAGACTTCCACACAAATGGAAGGGCGATCCCGCAGCAGAAGATGTTGCTGGAGAAGAAAGTCTCTCTGGGGAGAGAAAAGGGGTTCGAAGGGGATCGTCGGGGGTGGATCGCTCGATCTTTTTATCTTGGGCGGAGAAACGAAGGGTACCTACCGAGGAACCAAGGTTCACGCCATGCACCACATCCCTGGGCACGTAGCTTCCGACCTGGGGCTACTGCTACATGGCCCCACGGGGACGTGTCGGCCATGGTTGCGGCCCAGGCGGGGCCCCGCGAAGATTGTCACGATTGGCACGGTTGGCACGGCCGGGTGAATACAGGACCCAAGGCTGTCACGCATTAAGCCGTCGAGAGAAGGGCGCCAGAGGCCACAAGACCGGTGGGGAAGCGGCAGGGTCGCAGATGGGCGCCCAGCATGCGCCAGTGCAGCACAGGGGCCGGGTTTTGCGGGAGACGGCAAGGCTAAGACACTTGGTACGGAGCAGCTTGGGCAGTGGGCCAATGGCGTCGCTGACGCCATTTAGCCGGAATACATTGCCAAGGCTGTGGCCAAGGCTGACCTCCCGAGGGCTTGGTTGGAAGGGGGAGATTTGCCAAGCAGCCGAGCGCGGACGATGCGGTCCTCCGTTGGATGTGGGCAGGATCGAGCGTCCAGACCGTCAATCATCTGACCTTGCCGCTGCTTGCAGTGGCGACCCTCGGTTAGGTCCCGAGCAGAGAAGGATTTCTCACGAAATGTACGAGGGATCTCGCTTGCTGGCGAATACTCTTCTGACAATAACAGTGGCGGTCTTGGACGGTAATAACACTATAACGAGCATGTGGGCGACGAAAGCCTTGCCACTTCTTGGACGTTCGCTAGCGCGCCATGGCGGCGGCAAAACAGTGAGAAGGGCACAGGAATTCGGCTCGTTGGGAGAGGATCGCGATGATTATTGTCTGGGAGCTGAAATGAGCCAGTGGTTGGCTCGCCTTCGTGCTGGCTGAGCGAGGTGCGGCATCGCAAGGCGTCTTTGGCGCCACAAGCCCGCGGCAGTGAGAGTGGCAGACACGCGAGCACGGATGTTGGGAGCGAATCCTTCAGGCAGTCTGGTGCCCACAGCCCATGGCCTGACGGGGGAGGACATGGGCTGTGGAGTGTCGGCCCTCTCTTCCATGGCCGCATGGCGGTCGATAACAGCGGGCCGGTCAGGTCTTGGGAGAAAAGCTTAAAAGGCTGGGCTCTCCCCGTTTCTGGCGAGCCAAGTGCTGCGCCAACGGGCTTGTCCAACGAGCAAGGGAGCAGGCGTTGGCGACTGGAGTCGAGCTGGGCGGAGGCTTGTTTTGCTGTCGCCAAGACTCGCAAGCTCGATGCAGCGGGCCCAGCGGGCTTGCGGGGTGGCCAGCTCCACGTGATCCACTATGGGCGGTTGAACGGTTAGCGAGCCGGAGAAATACGCCCGGCCAACACGCCAAAGGGACCACAGGGCCAGCACCCCTACCTAGGGTATCGCCTGAGCCAAGAGACGCCATTTTCGTTCGACACGCGCCCGCCAATATTCCATGGTCTCGCACGCACCCAGGCAGCTGCTCCCTCGCAACACTCAGCTCCATGGGCGGGCCGTGTGCCTAGCGCAGTTCCCTTCTGACATTTTGGCGCCTCTTGTCGTTCTTGTCTTGACGCCCAGCCGACCAACGAACCAACCGCTCAGGTCCAGAGCTGAAAGAAAGCCTGGGGAAGCTGGCAATGGTCTGGGCAAGTTGCGGGCCGCTCACAAGACGCCCAGCCGCGTTCCTAGCATCCATGGGCCGAGTCGCACAAGTTACAACAGCCAGAGACAGTTGAGCACAGGCTCGGGTCAGAATTGACTTCCTGGCAGGCCCACACAGCCGGCAGATGAACGGATCGTCTGCTCATGCTCCAACCCCGCAGATCGTATGAGAAGCACCTGGCAGACTGACGGTGGACAGCAGGCGAGAGCATCAGAGGGCAGTTGTTTCTCTCGCGGTAGGAGACTGTCGATATCTTCTTGCTTCAACCGAGGCCATAGTATCCAGGCCAGATTCTATATCTTCCGACCTTGACACCCAGTTCGAACTCCAAACAGGTGCCATAACGCGAAGTCCACGATGTCCTGCTTCGCAACCCTCATCCGAGCCACGGGAGCTACCGACACCGACACCACTTCAACGGGAACCTCACCACCCGCCAGAGTCTGAGTCGTCATACTCTGAACCGCCAGACTCTGAGCCATCAGATTCGGAATCCCCAGACTCGGAGCCGCCGCCCTCGAAGCCGTCATCCTCGAGCCCGTCATCCTGAGAGCCCCCAGACTCCGACCCGCCGGGGTGGGAATCATCGGATTCGTCTGTACTCGGATCTCCAACGTTCAAGAGCTCGCAATCCTCACATTCTTCCTCCGACGGAAAGTCCACCGAGTTGCCGGGAGTCGGTGGGTGCGGCTCCCGCCCTTCGGGCCTTTCGGCGCACCGCTGGATGTCTTCGGACATTTCACTACTGCAGAGGTGACAGATGATGTACCTGTAGGTGCACATTTCGAACTGGCTGCAAGACCCCGGTTGATTCGTAAGGTGAGCGGTTAGCACATATCCCTGGATTCGGTAACTGCTTCTACGGATTCGCGGGGCATTGGGTCGTTATTGGGAGAATATTTATGTGGCACGGCACCCGTGGTGACTGTGTTATACATGGGCAGCCCGTCGTGGGGTGGTGTAACTTGATGCTCCCGGCGACGACTGTGGACGTGAGCCATCGCCCCTGCAAGGAGCGTTCGTTAGAGTGAGCAAGCTCTGTCGGACGACATCCAACTCCAAGGCCTCCTAGTTCGGCGCCACGATCGCTTCCTCAGCCTCTACACTGCGGCCGCAGCCTTCAGTTGGACGTAACCAGACAAAACACGGACGGATGGTGACACCCGGGGCAAGCCGGAACTGTGTAGACTCAAACAAGTCGTTTCGATTTCTTCCTACATATTGTAAACGCAGCTAGCTACAAAACTTCGCATCCTCATAACAACGATAGTAACACCGCATTTCCAGGCCCATACCGACAAAAACAAAAACAAAACCAGAATTCTAGCGCGAGAAACGCGGCATATAGCCCCGGATGGCAGGGGATGCCACGGCGCGATAGCCACGCGACGGATGTCGCCTTTGTTGTCAAGTGCTGGCGGGCCAAGAGAATGGCATGCAGAGACCCTCGTGCCGACTCACGGCAAACCCGCTGCAGTCGGCGCGGACGCTCTTGAACAGCGAGAGCACCCCCCTTGACGGCATCCAGCCGTGCGTCCGGAAGGTGACGCGGGGCTCCGACGGCGGGTGCCAGATGCTGAAGCTTTCCCACGCGTGATCCCACTGCCCTCTTCCAAAGTAGTAGACGCCCCATTCGCTCTGGCGGCTCCCTTGGTCGCTGGGGTCCAGCTTCGTGAAGAGGGCGGCGCGCTCGAGGTGCTCCATCTTGGTGAGGCACCTCGCGTACGCCGCGAGCAGCGGGTTCATGACTTGGCCGTCCGGGACCACGCGGAAGTAGGAGGGTTCCTCGTACCTCGGATAGGGCTCCGCTGGCAGCCAGGGCGTGTCGGAGTCGGCGGGGGTGGTGGCGGTGGCGGTGGCGGCGGCCCCCTCGAAGAGCTCGGACGCCTCGTACGTCGGGGGCTGGTGGCCGACGATGCCCGCCGGCAGAGGCTCGTCGCTGTCGCGCCCTTCGCGGCCTCTAAAGTACCATTGTCCCGACGGGCTGTCGGGGCCGAAGTAGACGCTCAGGCGGCGGATCGAGCTCCAGTACGGGAGGCCCGGCATCCGGCGGCCCAGGCCGTCGAGGGACGACAACGCGACGGCGCCGGCCGGGGCCGCCCTGGTGGGCCAGAACAGCTCCGCGTCGACGCGGCCGGCGAACGCGAGGAACACAAAGTGGGAGCGCGCTATGAAGTCGTGGATCGCGGCGCACAGCGGGTCGGCGTTCGTGCCGTCCGTCATGTCCAGCAGCCTCAAGTCGTGGCTAGGGAAAGGGTCCAACATGATGAAGAGCTCCTCGGCCGTGGGACCCATGCCTGGAGAACTGTTGATGGCTTGGTAGAGCTCGCGATGGATCTTGCGCCGGAGAGAATGAAAGCCCCGGCAGCGGACATGCTTTTCGTCAATCTCGGCGTGGGCCAAGTAACAGGAGCGTAGCTGGATAAAGAGGTCGCTGAGGGCTACGAGGGAGGCAGGGTGCAGCTTACGCAGCCCAATACCGCCGTACTCCTCTTGGGAATCAGGGGCGGAATAGACGAGGTCTCTCACACATGAGATCTTGCGCGTGGGCAAGTTTCTCAGGCGTATATAAGACATCTCGTTTCGCTCAATCACAGTGTACTGTCCGGTGGCATATCCATCTTCCTCGTCCGACTCTTGCTGGGTGCCACGGGGTGTATGAATGTGAAACCTTAGGCGGATGCCGCGCTGGGGACCAGTGCCGTCCGTGGCGGGGCCCCATCTCGCAAGCATGTCGAGCAGCCGCAACATGGCTTCAGAAGCAGTCCTCTCATTAGCCTCCCGGTGCGCTTGAAGGTCCTGGGGCAGACCCTGCGAGTCGTCATCCAGCTCGGGGACCTCTATGCTGAAGCATAGATCACAGAGCGCTGCGCGCCTATCGTCGCCGTACCTGCCAAACATGAGGTTCTCGAACTCGGCTAGCTCGGTGGCATTGATCGAGAGGTAGCTGAAGGTGATCCTCTCTGCCGCAATCCGGAGTTCGTTGGACAGTGAGGCCAGCCCTACAAGGCAGGATCGCGACCTCACACGTTCATCTTGCAGTTCCCGCGTGGCCCAGTGGCTCTTGCTCGTGGGTCCGGGACGGGGCTCCGTGCCGAGGTAGGAGGCAATGTCGTTGAGGACTTCTTGAGGTAGTTTGTTCATTGTTGACGGCCAAAGTCGATTGCTTGTCTAGAGGTGCTTCTCGGACTGGACAAAGGTTGATGCTTGTGTTGTGAGCACTAGATCGACAGGGTCACCAGATCGAGGTGTCACGGGACTCTCTCAGGTTGAAGTGTTGTAGCAAGCGCCACGATTCGCTGAGTGAACAATCGCGGGACCGGGAAGACTGCCCGACACAAGGCAATAATAGAGAGGGTGGAAACGTAGAGCTCTCCGAGTTCTTGTGGTTGTTTGTTGTTGTGGCGAAAAGGATTTTCGTATTGGGAGTGGAAGATATTTGGTGTGGGATCCAACCAGGGCCGCAATGAAAAATAAAGGGAAGGCGCGGTCCAGCAGTCAAAACAGGAACGCAAACAGGGCCGCTGGACCAACAAACGTTGTATATGAACACGGATTGCATGACGAGGCGAACCTACGCAGCTATTTTATAGATAATGTAAAACAACGCAAAAACACATTCATCTATCGCTTGGTCTAGGACACTGGCCTGGAGAGTGATAAGGACTAGGCTCATGATCTCATAACAAAAAACAAAAAATAAATCCATCGCAAGCATCCGGGGAAGGTGTGCTGCCATCACAAGCTCCGAAACACCTCGCCAAAGATTTCTCTGCTCTTGAGCAGGTTTAGCACCCGCAACCGCTCGTTGAACAGGTGAGCGCCGTCGCTGGCCTGGCCGCACGGGAGGTGGGCGGCGGGGGCGCCAAACTCCTTCTCCAAAAACCTGATGGCTGGGATGGATCCGCCCTCTCGGATATACAAAGGCTTCCTGCTCTTGGGAGCCTGCTGCTCGGCCGCCTTGGGAGAGGCCTCTTGGCTCCCGTTTACCTGCTCCTCCTGCTTATCTTTACCCGCCTCAACTGCGACACTCTCCTCCTTGCCCTCGTCCCTGCCCTCCTCCCCGTCCTCGCTGGCGGACCCGTCCAGCCCCCAGGCCTGGACGACGGCGCGCTCTAGGGTGCGGAAGATCTCGTTCGCGGGGTCGCCTAGCCAGGGCTCGGCCTGGTTGTCTATGCGGATGCTGAGCGCGTTGTCGCTCTCGCTGGCCCTGAACTCGCCCTCGAGGAACTGCCGGAGCGCGGCCGTGACGGCGTCCACCTCCTGCCCGGGCACGAGCCTGAGCGAGATGTTTGCGCTCGCGTGGCTGCTGACGAGGCTGCCGTCCGGGCCCGACACCTTGTAGCGGTGTATGGTGAGGTTGGGCTCGCGCCAGCGCGCCATCAGGCTGCGCTTGAGCTGCTCCGGCGGGCCGTTCTCGGGGCTGCGTCGCATCAGGATCGCCGCGATGGCGTCGTAGCGCCTCTCCTCGTCGGCCGAGAGCGGCAGGATACCCTCGTAGAAGCCCGGGATGGCCACGCGGTTTCCGGGTCCCTTGAGCTTGCCGAGAAGGAGAGTGAGGTCAGAGAGCGGCTCTGCCATCATGTACGAGCCGTCGACGCCCGAGTGCAGGTCTGGGTGGCGCGAGTCCACGCAGACGGTGGCGTGGAGCACACCGCGCAGGCCGTACGTAAGGCAGGGAGTCTCGTCATCGAGCCAGTAGCTGTTGGCGAGCAGGATGTAGTCTACGTTGCCAATAAGGTCCTTGTGTCTTCTGACCGTCTCCTTGAAGCTTCGCGATCCAGACTCCTCCTCGCCTTCGATGAGAAAGACCACGTCCGACTGCAGCTGTTTGGCTTGCATAAGGTCTGTTATGGCATAAAGAGCGGCAATGATAGGGCCTTTATTGTCTGACACGCCGCGCCCGTACAAGTACCCGTTTGTGCCGGTCAGAGTGAACGGGTCACTTGTCCACTTGCCCTCGTTAGCGTCGGCCGGGACCACGTCGTAGTGCCCATAGAAGAGAATCCGCTTGCGTTTCTCGGCGGGCTCAAGATGCCCCGAGAACTTGGCGTATACCACAGGGTTGTGCAGTTTGTCGTTACTAGAGAGCATCTCAACCTCGGCTCCCAGCCGCTTGAACAAGGAGCAGAGAAAGGTAGCACCTCTACGGCAGTCCTCGGCGTATTCTGGTCGGGAAGAAATGGTTTTAAAGGAAACGAACTGCTGGAGTGACTTGAACATGACGTCCTTGGTCTCGGGGGCAGCGTCTTCTGAGTCCTTCGCAGCGTCATTGTTCACCCTCCAGACACAAACATTGTCGTCATTGGCACCTGTTATGAAAAACCTCTCGCCCTTGTACGAAGTCACGGCAGACGAAAGAATTTTGCCGTTGTGGGCAGGCCAACGGCTGAGACACTGGTACTTCTGGCTGATCGTGTCTGGGCCAGATGGGCTGTCATGAACTGTGGTGTGTTTCTGAGCAGCCATGGGTTAGCCAGAGAAGCTCGTGATAGTAGGGGAAGATAGATGAACTCACTGTTGCCGAGCCGTTAGCTGCGGCGCTCCACAAGAATCCCCATTGCAGCTGTAATGTCATGACATCTGCCCGGTGCGCCTTGATGACGCGCAACTTCTGCTTCGTGTCCAGATCCCATAGCTCGATGACACCGTGAATCTTCCCGCTGTAGAGGAAGGACCCGTCAACGGCCAGAGAAAGGACCGATTCACCCTCATCGATGCCCAGCACCATGATCTCCTGGATCCCCGTCGTCGATGCGTGTTCCTCGGATCCGTTGGCTGCCGCCTCCCGGGACCGGAGGCGCCAAAGCTTGATAGTGCCGTCGCCACCCCCGGAGATCAGCACGTCCTCGTCGGGCTCCACGCGGACGGTGGGCGCCCGCGCCATCAGCATGCAGTAAGCGTAGCCATAGTGCGCAAACTCGTGAATCGACTCCTCGTCGATCTCGAGCACCGTCTGGGCGCGGGGGATCTGGTCCCACCGTTGGTCGCTACGGCGCGGTGTGCTAGAGCCGCCGACGGCCTTGGAGTCGAAGAAGCGGTGGTAGCGGCGGTCGGGGTGTTTGGAGGACTCGTGCAGTGCGCGGGCGGCAGGGTCGTTTAGGCTGACCCACTGGATGGTGGTGTTCTGGGCGCCGATGTAGACGGTGTCGTTCTGCGGAGAGTAGGCGACGCTAAAGACATCGCCAACGTCGTGGGGGCTGTAAATCTCGTATAGGCGCTTGAGAGTGCGAGGACACCAGACGCTGATGATGGCATCGCCGGCGGAGGAGAAGAGCAGCGCTTGTGGCTTTTCCGAGCTGGCGGCTTCTGCTGTGGGCGAGGATTCAGACGGCGGCTCGGCGCAGGCGGCGGCGGCGGCGGACGCGCTGGAAGCTGTCGAGAGGGTCAGGCAGAGCACGCTGCGCTTGTGAGCCTGTATCCTATGGACCAGCTGGAAGGTGTCAAGCGACCATGCCAGGATCTCGCCATCGTGGGTTCCGGCAAAGATGAACTCGTCGTCGACAGCAATGGCGAGGACGGAGCTGTCGTGCTTCAACTGGTGAATGCGCTCGGGGGCAGGGGGGTGTTCTTTGGCGTCACGTGCTGCCGCAAGGCTCGTCATCGGTGGCATCGCGGCTTCTGCTGGGTGTGAATGGGCGAACGATTAGCACTTCTGGCTAGCCCTGTAGCGTATACATGTGGGTTTGGTCGCAAAGAAGCGTATGTAATGGAATTGCTGGTCGAGGGAGAGAGGTTGGCGGGTTCATGGCGACTGGAGATGCTTGCAGGGGCGCGACGTGGAGTTCAACTCAATGCATGTGCCACGGGAATGGACGCATAGGGAGAAAGCACGCCTTTGACTGTGGAGGGGCGGCTCAATTGCGCCTTGAACTTTCTGGTGTCCATCAAGCTCAGCTGCCACGTGCTTCAGGGGCGTGTCAAGCAGTGCATTTTCAGGGACCTTCCCCACTTGCACTGGCAACTCGAGCCTCTGCACAATGAGAGTCATGGCCCGCATCCAGGCGGTCGCTGTGCGGAGCTTAGTTCATGTGATGGATGCTTACCTGAGCCGGCTTCCTGGCGGGCCACGCCGTTGGCAGCGCCATTGCTGGTCGCCTTGAGTTTCTCGTGGTTGTAGACTTCATCGTCTCGAATCTTGCGACAGCCGCGGCAGCCCGTCTCGCTCTCCTCCTCACGGTTGCGATCGACAAGGGCAGCGGGGCCGTGCCGTGGTGTGGTTACGACCATTTCGCAGATGCTGTTCGTGTCGGATGCGAGCGAGCTTCGGCGACCTCCTTGAAGCCTCCAGACAAAGTCCTTGGGACACCGCTGGGGACGGATTGCGACTGGCTTATGTAGCGGGCCCGTAAGTCCGTTTACCGGAGCTGTCATCTTAGTGGCGGTGGTGGTCGAAGCGGCAGTGTCGCAGCGCCTCCCTACCACTTGCGGATGACGCGAGAGCACGGAGTGTGGCATCATATCCAGCACAACGGCCCTCGTGCTCCCGTCCCGTCCCAACTCCTTCGAGGCAGAAAGCGCCGAATGCTGATTGAATGACTGACTGGCTGTCTGGGTATTGCTGTTACCGAACCAACCAAGGAGATTGGCGATTCTCACCGCTAGAATAGAGGAGCGAAGTCGGCCAGGTGCACACGCAGGGGTGGGAGGCTGCTCGTGTTGAAGGTAGGTATAAATGCAAACCCAAAGAAATCCAGCGCGCGCAGGTGTAACAGCTCCCTTCCCGCGCGGGTAGACGAAAGATTAGAGTCAGGTTGCGCCAGTTCCCGTCTGCCGATACATCAATATTTTGCATCTCTCAGGCACCTGGGCTGATCCGCCGTCGGGGCATTAGCACGCCCGCTTGCTTTTGTATCGCCGCCGCTCTGCTGGCAGTCCCAGAGCTAGGGGAAGCCGAGGTCCAACCAACAAACGAAGACGACAGATGCGATGTGCCTGTCCCAACGCAGCAAGCGCCAAGATATGATGCGCAGCGCCAAATTGCTGCCGCGTCTCCTAGCCCCTTTCTTCCCGCGACTAGAACACAGTACTCGCCAGTAGTGTTGAGCAGTAGACGCCTCTCGGGGAATAGTGTCCGACTTTTGGGTACGCGGGCATGGTCAGCTGTTCCTATTCCACGGCACTAGGTCACACCGGACGCCTCCCCCTGCGGCCGTGCCAAATCAGATGCTGTTCCTGAGAGTAGTCACAGTAGTGCAACCTGCGTGATGGGAAACCAGGGCGGTGGGCGGCTTTGCGTGGCCACCGATCTTAGTCTTGTAGTAGGGTCGAGATCAGGGCACACCGGTAAGAAGGCCGACAGCCGCGAGAAACATTGTTGGGCACATCTCGTGACGTCAATCCTGAATATCACATCAAATTCTTCAGTTGACAGCTACCTACTGACTACTATGTCTAAATGCCTTAATGGCATAACATCCTCATGTAAAGGCTGGACTACTTCATTTCGCATGTTTGTTGCAGCTGAAAAGCCGGCCCCAAAAAAGCACACGACATCACCAACAAGTGGGATGCAGCTGACGCTCGGACCACCAATGACGGTGATCACCCACATCCTATTTGCGGAGGCTCCCGAGAGTCTCCACATCCTTGTCGCCGAAGCTGCATTTTTTTTCTCAGCCAAAGCCAAACCGACAACCGCATCATCGCCACTATCCGGAACCGTTACCCCGAGGCACGCTCCTCTGACGACACGACGGCTGGCAACTCGTACCGGGAGGACTACCGCTCATAGTAGGCGGCAGAGCTGTCGAGATTCATCCCGCTTGCGACTGACTGGAGCCGCGATCGCCACCCCTCGCCCGACGACCGCATAATCCTCCATCTCCCCGCCACCTTCAACTCAGCATAATGGATCACACCCGTGACCCTTGCCCATGGGTCATTCTCAATGACTTTGGCGGCGCCTTCTGCATGGGCGTAAGCATCTCAAGCCTCCTGGGACATCGTCTCTGGGACTGTTGGGCTACATGGTAGCATGCGCTGAACCGTCTCAACTCTAAACAGGCTATCGGCGGCACCATATGGCACGGCGTCAAGGGCTTCAGAAACTCACCGTACGGCGAGCGTCGGATTGGCGCCCTGACGGCGATCAAGATGCGCGCTCCGGTACTGGGCGGCAACTTCGGCGTTTGGGGTGGTCTCTTCAGCACATTCGACTGCGCCGTCAAGGGCGTCAGGAAGAAGGAAGACCCATACAATGCGATCATCGCCGGTTTCTTCACCGGCGGTGCTCTTGCTGTCCGTGGTGGTTACAAGGCTGCGAGGAACAACGCCATCGGCTGTGCCGTGCTACTGGCCGTCATAGAGGGCGTCGGTATCGGGTTCCAGAAGATGATGGCGGGGAGCACAAAGCTTGAGGTTGGTCGAGATTCCCCGGTGCTTGAGATGGTATACTACTCTTTGGCGGTACAATAACTGACACTGTACAGAACCTGCCGCCTCCCCCAGAAGGCCAGGGAGCATTGGCTTAAATCACAACAAACGCGAACACGGACCAAAATTAGCCACTCTACTCTTCCTTATACGTGCCACCGTCGAATGCCCCCGGGCGGTGGTCTCTTGTACATCTTTCGGGTTCGGCACGGTCTCTGCATCTTAAACAGGGCAATGGGCGGGCGTTATTACAAACTGTACACTAGACGGGGGAGAGGCTTGCCCGGAAGCCAGGAAGGAGTTACGACCAACAAAAAGAGCGACTCAGCTACACGATTTTCACCGGATGCGATCTACCGAAATAATTCACTGGATCAACCACCGCTTCTATCCTGTGTTTTATCTAACGCTATGAGATGTGAAATCGGCCGACGGACCGTCGGAACCACTAACCCAACACCCATGGCTTATAGTACAGTCTTCTCGCCGCACCAATGTCGAACATCCTCCGTGGTACCTTCGGCTCCGTACCCAGCAGCGCCAGGGACGTCTTTAAAAACCTGGTAGTGAGCATTCCCCGCGTCATCGATCCAGGCGCGGTACATGCCGCCGCAGTTGTGGTCATGCGAAATCTCGGAACGCACCTCGACCGTCCGGCCCTCGGCGTCGCTGACGATGGCCACCTCGATCCCGATGATGCCGCCCTCGCCCTCGCCCCTGGCGCCCCACCGGTCCCCCGCGCTCCGCTGCAGCTCGCCGCCGGGGCCCGCCACCGCCGTCAGCGCGGCGGCCGACGGCTCGGTGCCGAATCTCGCCAGCGCCGCGACGGTGCGCAGCGCGGCGGTGCGCATGAAGCTGTCGCCGTTGCCCGTGCCGGAGCCCGCAAAGGCGCGCACCGTGGTGGTGGCGGTTCCGCCCGGCGCCGCGATGGGCGCGTACAGGAACGGCGTCGGCAGGCAGTCGGCCATCAGCGCCCGTAGCGCCGAGCCGAGTTGCACGACGGGCGCGTCGGGCCTCGCCAGGGCGCGCCGCCACGACTCCTCCCGGGCCGACGGCGACGACGACGACGACGACGGGTCGCCGCGCTCCTCCCACTCCTCGGCCCAGAAGCCGGCGCCGGGCACGGGCGTGTCGCCGATGCGGCCCGTCAGCTTGTTGGTCAGGCCGCCGGTGCTGGTGGCGACGCACAGCACTCCGTCCGAGTCGAGCGCCACGGCGCCCACGGTGCCCTGCGGCAGGTACTCGGTCGCCGACCACGTCGCGGGCTCGGCGCCACCGCTGGCCCGCTCCCGCCCCAGCGCCGCCACGTGCTCGTCCCACCGCCTCTGCGTGAAGAAGTACGACGGGTCCACTAGGGCCAGCCCGTACTGCGCCGCCAGCTGCTCGGCGGCGGGGCCGTGGAGGAGCGTGTGGCCCTGCGCCGAGGGGATGTCGAGGTGGCCGTCGTCACTGCCTCTAGAGGGAGCAGGAGAGGAGGCGCCGAGGCTGCTGCTGCTGCTGCTGCTGCTACTGCTGATGCTGGAGGGCCCGCCGAGGTCGGCGTCGCCGTGCTCGAGCATGGCGCGGGCGAGCAGGATGGGGTTGCGCACGCGGCGCAGGCCGGTGGCGCCGACGCCGCGCTTGGCCCGGCCGCGCGAGACCATGACCGAGGCCTCGAGCTCGTTGACGCCGTCGCGCGTGAAGACGGCGCCGTGACCGGCGTTGAAGAGCGGGTTGTCCTCGAGCTGCAGGACGGCGTTGACGGCGGCGTCGAGGGCCGTCGGGAGCCGCGAGTCCCTGGGGGTCGTCATGTACGTGTGCGTTTTGGACACCTGAGGGGCTTGGTCAACGCGGGAAGTAGACAGCAGAGGCCAAGTGGCCGGAACTCATACAATTGTTAGCAGCGCGGTGCGGAAGGCATTGTATCTGTCTGGCGGGAGGTTTCCCGGCGTGATATTCCCGGCTCCGCCATGGATGATAAGGCGCGGTGTTATGATCGGAGTTTGTCGCTTGTATTCCATGTTTGTGCAGTTACAGGCTTTTTCTTTATGGATTCCCTAAAGATCCCTCAGTCCGCGTGTCTAAAGCTAGCTAAACAAGAAGCGACAGTGTCTACACGACCGAGTCGGACTTAACGGCCCATCTATAGAGTCGTGCGGGTCGAGGTCGGGACGTCGGAGTCCAGCCAGCAGGGATTCCCCACCCTCTTATCTCCACTGGAGCTGCTCGGCCCCACTTCCTGTTCTCCCTGCACGTGATAGCGCGTTTGAGGATGGATGCAACCGACGCGCCTGCCGTTCGTCAATTCGTGACGTAGACAAGCTTCAAAGTCTGCGTAAGGACCCCGCCCGCCCATTTGCCCAGCATTCCATCGCTGCCTGGACTTCTGCCTTTGAACCTCTAGTCCTGGCATCATGAGCGACTACGGATCTGGCGATGATCTGTTCGACGGGGATGAGGCAGGTGCCGCCCTGGAACACACAGCCTCCAGCCAAATCCAGCCTGCCAACACCTCACCGCAAGCTCCACTGAAGCGCAAGTTCGAGGATGAGGAGGACGAGTTTGACAATCTTATGACTGAGGGCTTTTCAGCGATCGAAGATGTCAAGAAGCCGAGGATCAAGCTCGAAGCCGACAACGAGCCGCCGTGCCCTCGAAGGACCGAGCTGGCGCGCAAGATCCTCCGCCAGACATTTGGCTATGGCGGCTTTCGCCTGGAGCAGGAAGCTGCAATCTCTTGCGTTCTCAGTGGTAGGAATGCTATGGTTGTGATGCCCACGGGAGGAGGCAAAAGTCTGTGCTATCAGGTAGGTCGAGTCCTGCATCATGGGCCTGCGTCTCAGCCATGGAACGCTCCAAGATGTCAATAAGAATAAAAAAAAATCCTCTGGCTTGCTAACGCCGCATATCATAGGTTCCAGCAATCGCTTTCGCGGAACTGGACTCTGCTGATGGCAGTGTCAGGCCCGGCGGCCATGGCATCACCATCATCGTCTCTCCCCTTCTAGCCTTAATGAGGGACCAGGTAGAAGTGCTCAAGCGCAAGGGCGTTGCTGCTGAGAGTATCGACTCCACCAAAACTTGGGAGCAGCAGCAAGAGATCAGCGCCAAGATGCGGAACGGGACACTCCGTCTCCTGTACTGCGCTCCAGAGCGCCTGAACAACGAGGGCTTCATCGAGAACCTCAAGCATGTGGCTGGCGGGATCCGGCTCGTCGCAGTCGACGAAGCCCACTGCATCTCCGAATGGGGTCACCAGTTCAGGCCGGACTACTTGAAGGTCGCTCGGTTCGTGCAGGAGGTCAAGGCCGAGAGGGCTATCTGCCTCACAGCCACGGCCACGACCAAGGTCATTGACGATGTTTGCAAGGCCTTCGACATCGCCAAGACCGATGTCTTTCGCACAGCACCATATCGCCCCAACCTGCGCCTTCTCGCGAAACCCGTGAAGCTAGCCGATGACAAGTTGGATCAGCTCCTCTCATTTTTGATGGGACACAAGGGCCCGACGCTGGTCTACGTTACGGCCCAGTCACAAGCCGAGGCCCTCGCGCAGAAGCTAGTCAAAGCTGGTTTGCGTGCTGTGCCGTTCCATGCAGGCATGAAGACAGAAGACAAGGAAGCCAACCAAGACAAGTTTATGGCCGATAAGGTCGATATTGTTGTCGCTACCATCGCGTTCGGCATGGGAATCGACAAGCCCAACATCCGAAATGTGGTCCACTACGGCATCCCAGGCTCAGTCGAGGAGTATAGCCAACAGGTTGGCCGCGCAGGACGAGACGGAAAGCCTAGTAGCTGCATGTTCTACCTCTGCCCTGAAGACCTGGATGTTCGCTCAGTGCTCGCATACGGCGACACACCAACGCGGAAAGCCCTGGGGTCGGTGCTACAAAATATCTTTGACGACGAGGTCACGGCCCTTCCTGTCGACGGCGTCTTCAAACGCAGTCAATATGCCCAGACGAACGAATACGATATTCGTGCCAACCCTCTGTCTATTGTATATGCGATGCTGGAGCTGCGCTTCAAACTGATACGCGCCATCACCCCTGAGTATGGACAGTACAAGTTCACCACTCAAACCACATACGACGCCACCATCTCGAACGACAAGTCCCCCGCAGCACAGGCTATCGTCCAATTCTCCTCCAAGCCACAGAGAGGCAAGAACTACACCATGGACGTTCAGACCGCCGCCCGAGCCCTGAACATCAACCGTCAGGAGATCATTAGGAAGCTCAACGAGCTGCACGACAGGGGCTTCATCAAGCTGACAGCTTCGGGAGTGGAGAACCGGTACCGGGTCATATCCAAGAATTTGCCCCGGACGCCAGACCAGATCAATACTCTGGCGGACGAGATCTTTGCGGACCTGAAGCAGCGTGAAGCGGATGCAGTCCAGCGGATCGATCAGGTCATAGGATTGGTGACAGGAAAGCAGTGCTTTGCCCACGCGCTGTCGTTGCATTTCGACATGGATCTTCCAGACGACAAGAAGAGCTGCGGTCACTGCGGATACTGCGAGACTGGCGTCGCAGTTGTCATGCCCGACGCGCCGCCACGGCCACCGGTTGGCGTGGATCTCCTGATGGAAATCCTTGATGCCATCCCGGATCGCGACGACCCCCTACTTCTAACCAAGATTGCGTTCGGCATCACCACCCCGCGCGTGACGCGGATGAGAATAAGCAGAAATCGTTTCTTTGGGTCGCTAACGGGCCACAACTTTGACGTAGGGATCCCTGGCTCGAAGATCTTTTCCTGTTCTGTGCTTCTCGATGGACCTCCTTGGTTTTATACTAACATGGCCTCCATTTCTAAATCTACACCCTATAGGATGTCCTCGACGAGTTCACTCAGATCTGCAGCCAGGCTGGCGGCAAGACTAGCAGCATCAAGCGGGAGAGCTCCACACCGATAATCAAGAAGGAACCAACGAGCAGCGCATATTCGGGCCGACCGACTCAAACATCTGGTAGTCAAGGCTGGGGACGAGGTCGGGGCTCTGGATCCCGCCAGGCCTCTAGTAGTCGGGGCGGGGGACAAGGCCGGGGTTGGGGGCGGACGTGAAGCTCTTGGCTGCGTTCAGAGGCCAATACCTATGGCAGAAACGAGCCAAGCAATAAATATACTCCTCTTCTAACGCCGAGAGAGGGCTCGAGTGTCCACTCCCGAGGCGAGCCTCTATGATGGCAAACGCCCAAAGTTTGTCTTGAGGGATTTAACTCGCAGGGGTGGGCGACATCAGGCACTATCCGACAGCAGACTACCTCACAACAGGGCCGAGAAGTGTCCGCGAGCCCCGTTGGGGCTGGTGTCGCAAAGCCAAGATTCCTATCAGCGATGGCGGATCTTGCCGCCAAGATGTACGACCATGCGTATTGGAGGGGGCAAGCAACAATCTTGCCTTTTTGGATGGGCGTTTGCGCCCAATGTCCACTCACGTGCCCCTTGGCTTGCTTTTGCCGCCATGCTACCCTGCGGCCCGACCGCGGGCAAGGGGCAGCCGACCCGAAGGTGAGTTGAAACGGCGTACCCCCAGGCTGATCGGCGGTCGGGTCAAAACAACCTTCAACTGCCGCCGACGAAGGGGGCGGGCGGGCCCCGCTTCATTCCACATCCGGGATATGGTCGCGTGCTAATTCGTCGCTAATTCGCCGCAGGGCGCCCCGCAGTTGCTTGGGTGCGCCGCCAAGAGACGAAAATCCCCGTTGCTGTCGCAGTTGGGCGGGCGGCGGTGGCTGTGCAATGTCGATGATATCTCTTGGCCTTTATCCCTTGGTTCCATTTCATTATTCATTTCCCCTTGACCGACATTGTTTTCTATCTTGCCTTGGCAGTCACAGCGCAGCTATCGCCAAGCAACGGATATCTGTGGGAGAGGATCCACTTTGGTGGTTCGCGACGAGGAACTTGTCATGTTAGCGTTTTTCTGATGTTTTCTCCAGGCTGGCGATCTTGCCTCGGCCAGACTCGTCCAATATTATTGTTATGTCGACCGGTTCTTGCTGCGTAGCAGGGGCTATGTTCACACACGACGTCGTTCTGTCGGCGGGGCTCGTTATTCCGTGGGGGTTCTTCTCGAGCTGTGTTCCCTGCCTGTCCCCCCTTGGTCCGGGATATTGTCCCCCCTTCCCCGGCGCCGTGAGTTGGACCTGTTTGTTCCGAATTCCTTTGACCAATCCACAGCGAAGATGGCCTTGGCGCGCAGGTAAGCTACACTGTCGCAGGGTGGTCGAGGGGAAGGGTCACTTGCGCGACAGCTCTCTCCCGCCCTCTTGGCCCTCTAGTCGGCGACCTCGCCCGCCCGTCCGTGTCTCGATCTCGCACCGTCGCCGTTTTGGAGAGGCGCTCGGTGGCACCTGGGCGGGTAACGTGGGCCTGTCGGTCTGTCCAGGGCCGGATCGGGGAGAGAATGTTCTATGAACCAAGGGAGCTGGCGCAGGCGAGCGAATTGACTTTTGCGTTTCTTCTTGAAGCGCGATGCGTCATGCAATGATGGCGTTCCGTGGCATAGTTATGACACCAAAATACATGGCTGACGTGTGATGAGCGTTGCGGAGTGTCGCATAGAGCAGATCGTGATGGCTTTGTTTTCATGGTTTTCAATTGGTAGCCAATGGCTTTGTTCTAGCCCCCTCTCCTTCATGGTATCATCCACCGAACCCCAAAACTGAGAACAGCACTCTATTTCGCTTTCTGTACAGACAATATGAAAACGTAATGCTAAATATGGAAACATGACAGACAAAGGAGAAATAGGACCTCGGGAGATGCGTCACAAGATGGAAATTTTTGTAGCACAATCCCTTGTGGTTGCTTTGTGGAGTTGTAAAATATCATGTTCAGGCCTTGAAGTGAGGGGTGTTGAGGAGGATGCCCATAAGGACGCCGCCGATGGTGCCGGCGACGGGGATGGTCATGATCCACGAGAAGACGAGGAGGCCGACACGCTGGAAGTTGACGGCCTTGAGGGTGCCGTTGCACAGGCCGACGCCGACGGTGGCGCCCGTGATGCACATCGAGGTCGAGACGGGCAGGGCGTACTGCGAGAAGATGAGCACGGTGGTGGCGGCGCCCATCTCCATGGACGAGCCGCGGCTGGGGGAGTGGTAGGTGATCTTGTTGCCCATGACTGTGTGGGAAGGGTGTTTGTTAGTGGTATGGTCTTTGTGATGGAAGAAAACGAGTGAGAAAATTAAAAAAAGAGGTGAGCTTACCCTTCATGATGTTGTAGCCATAGGTGATGAGGCCGAGCGAGATGGTGAGCGACAGCACAGCCAGCATCCAGATGTCGACCTCGGTCTTGGCGGGGACGACCTTGCCGGTGCTCCAGGCACCGTAGATGACGGCCCAGGGGCCGACCGAGTTGCCGATATCGTTTGCGCCGTGGGCGAAGGAGGCGGTGCAGGCGGTCAGGACCTGGACGAACGAGTACGTGTGCTCGACCTCGTTGGGGTACTTGCGGGCGTGGGCGTAGACGCGGGCCATGCGCTCGCCGTCGGGGGTGCCGGCGATGCCCGTCTGGGCCGCGTGGATGTCGTAGTGCAGGCCGTAGAGGGCGCCGACGACGACCATGGCGGGCAGGCGCTTCATGAGGGTGATTGCGTTTTGGCGCTCGTAGACTTGTCCGGGGCCCATGGGGTTCGCGTGGAGCGTGCGCATGGCCCAGCCGAGCGGGCCGCGGTTCTGGCGCATCTTTGCGTGCAGGCGCTCCTCGCCCTCGGCGACGAGCTCCTTGTGCGTCTTGATGCAGGCGTCGGTCTCGGCCATGACCATCTGCTTCTCCGACTCGTGGTCCAGGGCGGCCTTCTTGTCATTGGAGGCGACGGTCTCGTCCTTTGTGATTTCGCCGTCATGCGAGCCAGAGCCGGAGGAGCCGGCGGGGCGCTGGGGCTGCTCCTGATGCTGCTGCTGGAGCTGCTCGTCGTGGTCCTCCTGCACGACGGCGTAGTTGCGGACCTTGACGGCGTGCTGGTCGGCGTCCTCGGGGGCCGGGCGCCTGAACAGGAGCGGGCCCTGGAAGAAGTCGTACCACTTGACCGTGTAGTCGCGCTTGATGACCTTTGCGTGGACGAAGGGGACGAAGAAGAGGGCGGACAGCAGGCAGACGCCGAAGCCGCAGCCGAGCGTGACCGAGACGATGTACCAGGCGGGCTTGTTGGCCAGGCCGAGCGCGGGCGAGCCCTTGTACACGACCGAGAGGGTGCAGACGGTGGCGGCGATGAGGAAGAAGAAGGGCGAGGTGTAGACGGCCCAGGGGAGCGGGTTCTTGCGCACGTGCACGACGAACTTGATGAGCGAGAAGATGATGGCGCCGAAGGCGGCCGAGGCCGCGGGGGCCATGGCGAGGCCGGCGAAGATCGCGCCCAGCCCCTTGCCGTCGTTCCAGCCCCACTTGACGTTGGCGGCGCCGGCGGTGGCGACGCCGACGCCGGCGACGGACGAGATGAGCGAGTAGGTGGACGAGACGTGGGCCGAGTGGCGCGTGCACCACATGACCCAGATGGAGGCGCCAGCCAGGGCGCAGGTGAAGGCGAGCATCTGCACGCCCGGGTCGTCGCGGAAGGCCGAGGCCGGGATGATGCCGTTCTTGATGGTCTCGGCCGTGCGCGCGCCCACGGCGATGGCGCCCACCATCTCGAAGATTGTGCCGAGGACCATGGCCTGGCGGTAGCTCACGGAGCGGGACGAGACGCTGGTGGCCCAGGCGTTTGCCACGTCGTCTGGGAGGAGGAGGAGGCACAACGTTTAGCATGGAGGGTAGGGAGAGGAGGAGGCGAGGCAGCGGGGCAAGGGAGGACAGGGCAAAGACTCACTCGCGCCGTTGTTGTAGGCATCGAGCATGGCAAAGAAGGTGCCAATGGCAAAAATGTAAGTGTACTGTTCGAGCACCATCTTGAAGGGCTGGCAGCCAGTGGCTGACTAGTGCGCAAGGCTGGGGAGGGTGTTGTCGGCTTGGGTTCGCTGCACGACCTGTTGTGGAGCGGTCGGAGGGAACGATCTCTCGAGATAGTCGAGGAGCTCTTGTCTGTGGTAGCGGACAAGAGTCGAGAGAGGTCTGCGGCACACCAGGAACCATCAACGGACTGGGACAAGGAGCGAGGCGGAAGCTTTTATGCTTCTGGCTAGGTCACTATCTGGCAACCTGAGGTGTGGATGGACCCCCCAACTCGGGGGCGTGGATGGAAGGCAATAAACCAACGGGTGGGGGAGGGTGAGGAGAAGGAGAAGGAGGGATGGGCAACGCACGGCCAGGGTTGCAGGGGGTGGCCAGTGTTTGCTGCAGCTAGATCGATATCAACGCCCATCTAGGACACCGACCCGCAACGCCCGCACACCCCCAGGAGACGCACACCTATGGAGGTACCTACCGGGTGGGTAGGCACCCAGGTGGCTATAATGTAGGAGTTACGGCTTGGCGGGCTGCCAAGCAACGGGCATGGTTTGGACGGAGGCGGGCCTGGACTGGGGGCTCCAGGCGAGCAGGGAAGGGCCTGGCAGGTTGAAAAAAAAAGCAAATAGAAAAAAAGTCTCACGGGTGTGGCGAGCGAGACCGGAAAAAGAGCAACACATCGGGAGAGATGCAGGCCCACGGGTTCCCGGGTCCCCTTTTCGCGCATGCTGCGTTCCCCACCGCGCGCGTGTTTCTTGCTGGATTTGGCAGTATCCGTCCTGCCTCCATCGGAGAGCCGGCTGCCTGCTCCTTTTTCCCTACCTGCTGGAGACCGAGAGAGACCGTTTTGGCACCACCAACACGCGCAAAGTCGAAAGCGGCGGCGGGGTCGGGGCGCCGACATGTCGACATGACCTAGATTGACTCCACGGAAGTCTGTTCGACCGGTCGGCTCCCTAAAAACATAGCAAACTCCCCAACGATCTCATCGCGCCAGCCCGCACACGTGCGCCTTCCCTCCAACCGTCGTTGGACATCTTGACCAGTCCGGCTGCCACACACACGTTCCAAGACATTTTTGCTGCAGGGCGAACGCATTTGCCGTCTTGCGAATCTCTTGTCCATCTCTTGACAAGAGCTTGTCAGGCTTGTCCCGGTGCTTGTCGCTCTTGGCCTCGGGTACATGAGCTGCTGGGCGAAGGATGGGAATGGCGTGCGTCTGTGGCTTTTTCTTTTCTTGGTCTTGTTGGTCTTCCTCCCTTCTCCCTCCCTTCTGGCTCACATGTGCCTCGGGGGTTGGGTGAGACGCGACGCAGCTCTGGTGTCGCTTCGCTTTTTCGCTTGGCGCAGCGGCGCAGCTGGGCGGCCTGCTCAGATTGCCTCGTGAATTTGCGGCCAGTCCGTGCCTATCAAGCAGCCTCGACACCCCACGTGGGCTCTCAAACCCGTCTCTTTGGACGACAAGGCCTTCCTGCCAAGCCCCTGGTCCTGCCTGCCGCCCCGCTAGCCGTGTGGGCCACCTTCCCCCAGTGGTTCTCCCCGCCCGCGCTAATTGGCCCAGCTCCTACCCGGATTTGGCGACCCCCACCCTTTTCACGACATCAAGCTGCGATTTCATTGTGCTCGTCTTTGCCTTTTTTTCTTGTCCCCTCTACTCGACCCCCAGAGCCAAGTCCAATGCCATTTCCCGCCAGCCGATGCGCCTCTCCGTCTCTTCCGCTCCTCGCCTGGCCAATCCGAACGCATGAGGCCAGCCACCCTCGCCAATCTCGGACGGTCTAGCCTGCTTTGGCTACCGACAGGTCGCCAACTTGCGTCTCGTCTGCATTGGATGGGCTCTTCCGTATACCTCGCCCTCGTAGCTTGGTCAATTAGTACTTCCTTTTTCAATACCAGAGTCTCGATCTGGAAGGCTTCTAGAATCCCATACGTAAACCCGCGTGTACTTCTCACGCCAGCTACTACCTCGCTGCTTGCTTCCTCCCACGATATGTGGAGCAGACTTTCTTTTGGTATTCACGATTTTTTGCTTCTTGCTTTTTTGCGAGCCGATCTAGCTTCTATCGCCACCGATAGTAATAGTGACCAGTCTAGACAGTCCCCAGCTCGCCACCGGTCCATCAACCGCCTGCATGGCGCAAGCGCCGCAACGGACTGGGACTGCGTCGCGGTTCAACAAGCTGAATTTATTATTTCGGGTTTTACAAGACCGTTATGTGCCGCGGGGGTAAGCTCGCGAGCGGCGGCGACATGTTTCCCCTGCACAGGAGTACTCCCGGGTTTCTCCTTTTTTTCTACTTCGCCCTCGGCTACCGGCTTCCAGGGCAGGTTTCGATATCTTCTTCAATACATATTGACTTCATGATCAGCATGCTAACGACATCGACTCCGTAAAAATCCTAGGTAGGCACCAGCCTTCTGCCCCCCACTGGTAGGGTTGGCGTGGCCGACAAATTGCTAGGGATGGGCCCTCCCCCTCGATCAACGGCTCACAGCCGATGGATCGAGCACGTGGGTTGGGTCTCCGCGACTTTTCCACTACAACGACTTCACCCGCAAAAGTCCGTAGGCAAGGCCCCTGTCTTCAAAACACCGATAGGCCGGGGAGCCCCATCCCTGGGACCACATTGGCCACCCGCAGACTTTTCGCTTCGTCCGCCAACAGACTAATGTGTGCATTGAGCCCATTCTACGGGCCCCTTTCGTTCATCTATTTTTCCCATCAGGGTCAGCACGGACGCCGCGTGGGGTGCATCTTGACAGGTGCGCGAGGGATCACACAAAGAACAAAGCTCAGAACGTGATGAGCACTCTGTCCCAGACCAGGATAGCCTTGACCCATGGCCCCCAAATACGCCACCCGGAACGATGAAAAGGAGATGAACCAGGACGCCCGAGTTTTCCCGCGCCGACAAGGAGAGAAATCCAGCATTGGGTCCGTGATCTGGGCGTGGCCCCAAACCTAGGGATCATCTCCTCATGACCCCCTCTTGGGCGCCCACCATCAGCCAACAAGTAAATCCCAAGCCGAAAGCACTGCTCGGTGTGTACCGAGCAGCTGAAAGGTCGAGAGACAATCACATCATTGGAACGGCTGTTCCGCGAGTGGCAAGACGGGATGGACAGGCATGGGGACACCATGCATATAGCATCCTGCGTATGCGTCTGGCCCGCATACCATCCCATTTACAGTGTACCTATTTGACTACGAAGCTTCGGCTGACCCGCAGGGCTGTACTGAGGCTGTTTTGAGTCGCATTATTTTTAATCACTCGGGTGGATGAGGGACGCCCCCATTTTCCCACCTCCCAATGGGGAGTGGGAAGTCATGCGGGTGGCCCCTTGGCCCTTCGGTCCCTCTTGGTTCTTCGGTCACCCCTGGGCCACATCGGCGGCCCCTTAAAAATGCCAAGACGGCTCTCTCGCCTTGGCCAATGAGAGGGCAGCAGCACGAGCATGTGCCCAGGCGGGACAATGTTCGCTTGCTGCCGCTCCAAGCATTTGGCTTATCCTAGCTGTGTGGGTACTAGAATTGGACGTATTGTTGCCTGCGAGGCTGGCAACTTCCCAGGGAGCGATTCGCCGAGTATCTCTTCTCCACACCCACTCTCGTAAATCGGTTCTCCTTTGCGTTTAGGAATTAAGTAGCAATCCCCAAAGTGTATGAAATCTCGCTTGTGAGGCTCCGCTAGACCTAGAGCCCTCTGGCGTTGGTATCCACTAGTAGATCTGAGTGCCGATGCCCAACGGTGGGAAATTTCCATGGCAGGGACTCCATTCCCAACGCCCATTTTCCAACCCACGGAAAGAGCTGGTCTTCCTACCGAACTACGCTAAACTAAGCTTTACAGTGCGAGCCAAACAAATGATCGTGAAATTGGTTGGAAAGGATATGCCGATGCCTTATGGTGTGCCTCCGTCGCGCTTTCGAATTCAATATGTGCCCCAACCTCCTTGGTTGCCGCCAGGGTGTGGCCCATGGGACGGCTAGCACGTGAATGCTTCTTACTGTGATGTGGTCAGTGACGGGATTAGGAAGGAAAGTCGGTCAGTAAAGTACACCATGACTGTAACTGGCTGTCAAAGTTAGGGTAGTGACCGGCAGTGCCAATTTATGTAAAAAAAAAAAAAGACTTTCTGTCACGGAGAAAGTCCCAGCCTACACCAAGACCAATAGCCTGGTATATCTTGACCAGCCTTCCGCTAGTAGCAAGCGAGGGGTTCTTCCTCTGTTTTCCTCGCGCATCAGCAATTTCTTTACACAGAATCAAACTGCCACACCTTAGCACTCCTAAAGCCCTTAGAACAGACAAGAGTCACTGAACAGGGAAAAGGGTTGAAATTTAGCTACCGCGGTAATTCTAATTAATTATTACATGAGACGTGTCTTCCATACGAAGTCCGGTGATAATTCTTATCCCTCCACGTGATTAGTGCAGCCGCAACTTGGATAAAAAGCCTGACGTCCAGTATAGCAAATCAAGGGCCCCACAATCAACGATCAAAGAAAAGACCATCAGGCACCCAGCTCCCCATTGTCATGTGCAAGAAAGAATCGAGCCCGCCCTAGAGGACAATGGATACTCGAGGCCTCAGCCGCACGCGGTTAGTGAACGAAGCCGGGGCTTACGACACAGTTTTGTCCGGGCGGATGGTGGGGAGCTGCCTATTTCTGGATTGACGGTTGGTGTCCCTGCTGCAAGTAAGGGAACGTTGAAAGGAGAATCAAGCAAATGGCAAAAAAAAGCGTTTGGGCGCTTGAACAGTTTAGGTCCGCCGCGGATTGGTCGCTGCATTCGAATTGCTTTGCCCGCACTGGAAACCTAAAAACAAGCAGATGGTTATCAATGTCCCTTGGTGTCTCTGCAGCCTGTCAATGTCTGTTGTCAGGTGACATCCCCCACCCCACTCCTCCTCCACCGCCTAGCTGTTCTTGAGTTGAGCGGATAGGTTGGTAGCACTCAAGGAGCCACATGACAATCCCGGTCACGGGCCCCCCAGGCCTTACTTATATATCAAATTTCTCATAGCCTCTACCTGCCCACTTACCTGACTGCTTACCTGCCTGCCTACCTACCTAGCATTCACCCAGGTACCTCGATTTTCCCCCTCTTCTACCTCTTCCTCAACCGGAAAATCGGATATGGCCCTCACCATGGATCCCCGGGTGCTTGGCTGGGATATATTTGCTCTCATCATTGAGGAACTTGTCGTGAAAATCGGGCCCTACAAGACTGTACTCCTGCGTCCAGTCTGCCGTAGGCTCTCCCGCACTCCCCCGCCCTTGCAGCCCTCCGAGCAAGTACTGACCGGCCCCATGAGCACAGGCGACTTCGACATAGCCGTCGTCCGTGCCCTCTGCTTCGGTCGGGCGGTCGAGTACGACGATGATGCTCTGGTAGAGATGTATCATCGACTGCCACACCATCTCAAGGCGAACATCTTTCTCGCAAGTCTGCCGTTATGCCCCCACGATGCGGTGCTCTCGGGTCTCGCTGCCACCATCGAGGCACTCGAACGGCTCACCGTTGATGCGCCGCCTCCGACGGCCGGCGAGGTTGACCGCTACGGGAAGCCAATGCACCACATCCATCTCGCCGAAGCGGTGGCCAGCTGGCTGCCCAAACACAAGGTGAACCGCGACAGGGGCGGCCACGCCGAGGAGTTAGTCGACGAGCAAGCGGCTGCGCAGAACACCCTCTGCGGCGCCATCGTCCTGGGAGCCCACGAGCTGGTCGAATCCCTTCTCGACGCCGGGGAGGAGGTGACGCCGTCGTCTGGACGTCGGGTCCTGGCCCTCGCCCACACCGAGTCCCCGCTCTTCGGACGGCCGCTACAGGTCGCCGCGGCGTGGGGCCGCACGCGAGCGCTCAACCTGCTGCTCGATTGGGGCGTGCCAGCGCGTACCGGCGCGAAATACATGTGCACAAGGAGAGACTACGTCCAACAGGGGCGTGTCCCCTCCCTAGTGCCAGACACGCACTTTAGTTTCCGCAACCCGCGAGCCAGCGCGCTGGTCGCTGCCGCGACCGGGGGTCACCGGGAGGTCGTCCTGCGGCTGATGGAGGCCGACTACTACTCGCCTCTGGACAACATAGAGTCTCTAATGGCGATCGTGGCCTGCGTCCGAGGCGGGAACCTGTCCCTCATGGAGCTTCTGGCGGAGCCGTATGGGGGTCTCATGAAGGTAGCGTACGAGCTGCCGATTACTCTCCTGGTTGAGGCTTGCCGTTATGGCCACGTCGACATCGTCAAGCGACTGCTGGATATGACCTTGACGACATACAGTTTCTTCAAGGACGACAGACTGCTCTTTGATCCGGAGACGGGTCCCAAGGGAGCTCTCCAGGTGGCTTCGGCCCAGGGAAATGTCGACCTGGTCCGGGTCTTGCTCCAGTGGGGTCTGAGCCAGTCCCGGGCCGACGCCAACAACTGCCTGGCCCTCGAGGTCGCCGCCAAGAGAGGCCACCAGGGCGTGGTCGACCTACTCCTGAAGCGCGAGGACGCCGCCCCGGAGCGCGTCGCTGACGTCATCCTCGACATGGTGGACGGGCACCACGAGCGCCAGGTGAGGGCCATGCTGGCCAAGAATCCGGGCATTCTCGACGTGCACCCCACAACTTTCCCGTGTGGCCCCCTCAGGACCGCGATTCTCGAGAAAGCCATCCGCACGCTACACCCCGGACTGATCAGGATGGCCGTCAGCGAGCTGGGTGTGTCGCCCAGTGAGGCTCTGGGCGCGCCGCCGTCGGGTGAGACCACAACCCCACTGCAGGTTGCCAGGCAGATGTCGTCCAGGTGGATCTACGACCTGCTTCTTTCGCTGGGGGCCGACGCCGAGTCAGATCCTTCCAGCAATGACCCAGCCAGGGCCGATGACTTTGAAAAGCCGGTGATGGTTTCGAGGAGTGGGGTGAGGCTGGGTCCAGAGACATGGGAATGGACGGGAAAGTATTAATGGGCGCGGAAACTCGACGGGCAAGCGCGATTTGAAGATCTGCCCGCCTACGAGCCTTCCTACCGAGATGACGATGAGGAGGAGTCTCAAAACAATGAGAAGGACGATGCGAGAGGGTTTTCTGGCTTCTCCGTCGGCCGATGTCTGGGTGGTTGTATCACGGAGGACCACTACGTCATGAAATTCCCCACGGGTGACTTTCTCTGAGGAAATCTTGTCACTTCATCATTTTCTTTTTTTTGTTTTCGCGACGAGGCTGACCGCTTCCGCGATCCTTTTGTACCTTTACTATCACACTTTTTGCGGATTGCGGGCGTGTGGGGTCCCCGCCGCAATCCGGTGGGATTTCTGTATCTTCAGGTAGCTGACTGGTGTCTCTGTCTTCAATATTTGGAACAGTCTTTAGGGTCCCCTTAAGGAATCACGACAGTCATTGTGGGTAATCGCTGGAGGTGGGATCGTCGAGCGGGAAACGGCTAGATTGACAACACGACAGCACTGGTAGTGGTTTGGGGGTGACAGGTACTACAAACGACGGTAGGTGGAGAATGGGGAGAGCAAGTTGGTGAGTGGCACAAGCGAATAGATGCCGAACTTTTAACTATCGGCCCGTCGGGCCACGCGGGTTCCTTTTGGGGGGCGCCCAATCCCGGTAACTTTATCTCATTGTTCCTGCTGCTGTTACTGCTCCTGTTCCTGTTACTGTTCCTGCTCCTGCTCCTGTTCCTGTTGCTGTTCCTATTGCAAGGATAATCCTACACCTTCCTGTTGCTGTTCCTATTGCTGTTCCTGTTGCAAGGACAATCCTACACCTTCCTCTTCTTCCTCGTCCGCAGCCCTCGACTAGGGCGCCAAGGGGAAGCTGCTCCAGGCCTGGCGCCAGCTTGCGCCTCCCCTCGGCCCCTTGAGAGGCCAAATTCGATGAAAGATGTCAATCGCCGAGTACTCGCGCCAGATGCAGGCATGGGGGGACTGTACGTCGTAGGCCCTGTCGCGAGCCTCTCTGGCCTCTCGTCCCAGCTCTCTAACGCGGATGGCGGCGTCGTCCTCGGCCTCGTCGTCCCTGACCCCCCGCTCAACCAGCCACGAGCGGCTCAGGTTGGAGACGATCCGGCGCATGGCGTAAGGGGCGGTGCCGTGTATGCCAAAGGACCAGCCGCCGTCGGGGTGCAGCTTGAGCCAGCGGAGCCGCGCTCCCTCCTTGGCGCCGCAGATGACGTGCCAGACGGACCGCGCCAGCGTCTCGTCCGCAGCGGACTTTTCGAGCGCCTTGCGCACGTCGCCGCACCGAATGTAGGAGGCCGACCAGAAGGGGTTGCGGTCGTAGCCATCAAACAAGGAATAGTCTTCTTCGTAGTCGGGCGTACCGGACTCGGCGGAGGGCGGGACGGCATGCGGGCTGGAGCAGTCAAGCCTGAGGAAAAGGCTGCGCAGGCGCCTGAATTTGCCGAGGCTACGATACAGCTCGGTCTCGCGGGGGTCGGACTTGGTACGCCGAATGGGGACGGCTAGGTGTTCTAGGCGTGGGCAGGCCGCCTGGATCTTCATGATGTGGTCCTTCCTCAACACCATCGACATAGGCCCGGGCTGCGGGCGTCCATATCTCTCGATTGGGCAGAAACCAAAGCTCGTTAGTGTCGGCCCGTGTCGCGATAGTATACGGTCCAGTATTTCGCCCGTTAGCGGACCGGACACGTCCAGCTCTTCGAGCGGCTCCAGCGCGCCGAAAAAGCTGCTGGTTGTTTCGTTGTGATCGGGACCAGCGCCGCTGACATCATGCTCCAGGTGAAGGCGAAGAGTCTTGAGCTGAGGAAAGGAATGGTTGAGAGAGAACCACTCGAGGGCCTCGGCAGACACTCTAGACGGGGCTTGGTAGCCGCCGCCCACGTCCAGATGTTGCAAGTGGTCAAAGTCGATGCGTCTGTCCCATTTCTGGAGGGAGCCGGAATTGATTGGGACCAACCCCGCGTGGGACCAGTGCGTCAACGAAGCCTTGGTCGCATTTCCACCATCAAAGCCCGGAAGTCCAGGCCAAACGTGCGTAGGCGCGAACATCCCGCTGAGGGAGGTTGATGGACTAACGCCGACGAGACGAACCTCCTTGAGATTCGGGGCGAGGCTAGCGATGAGGTCCATTATAACATTCTCGTTGAATTTGTGTCGGGCTTGACGCTCGGGATGAGTGTACCAACATTTTATGCTGTGCAGGCATGGAGAAGTAGCGAGGGCCATCTCATGGGGGTCAGGTTGCTCCAGAGTGAGACTCCACAGGTGAAAAGAGAGTATATGCAGCTTGCATCTTGGGTGGTGCTTGTGGACGGCGTCTAGCAGGCTAGGTGGGAATTGATTGCTGCAGTCGTAGCTCAGCTTCGCCAGGTGCGGCAAAGATTTGACTAGCCCAACCAGCGGCCTCCATGCAGCATCCTCCTCGGCGGACACCATGACTGCCTCCTCGTCCGAATCTGTATATCGATGGAGAATTGGCATATCGGCGCCAAAGATATCGGCAATTCCGGTCCTTCGGATGTGCTCCGCAGAATCCCTCGTCCGTTGTCGGGGTGTTAGGTTCAGGAAGCCCTCGATGTGGAGGTGGCGGACGAGGTGGGCGGAATCAGACAGGGTCTTGGACCCGGCATCGATGCGAGATCGGAGCGTCTCAGGGTCAGAGACGGCGAAGCGGATGTCCCGTAGAAGGAAGGGCAGTGAGGCTCTGTGCCACGAAGAATTGGACATCGCCAGTGCACAGAGGCTCGGGCGGTGCGTTGCGCCAAGGCTAGCGGCGATCCGCTGGAGGACCTCCAAAGGGAGGTCATCGAGGGAGATCGTGGCTGTCTTCATTGCGAAGTTGGGCGCGCTTTGCTGTTGGACTTGAGGACAAAGAATGGATCGAGAAAGAATGAAGGCAACTGGGATAACAAGCCTGTGCTTCTGGAAGGGATAGCTCAGCCAAGTCAGACAAGGTGGGGAAAAGTGGATCCCCAAACCTCAGCCAAGGCGGGGGGTAAAAATGCGTATGCGTTGCATATGCAACGCATAGGCAATAAATTTAAAATTTTAAGATAATGTAACATAAAATATATAAATATTTAATATAAATATTTATATTTTTATTACATTTAATCATATTTGTTTTTATATATATTTATTATTTTGTTAAAATATAATAATTGCGTATGCGTTGCATAGGCAATTCAATAAACACCTCAGCCAAAGTGGGAGAAAAAATAGGCCGTTTAGCTACATTGGGGGATTTTTTAAGCCCCCACGTTGTCTGAAGTCTACGCCCACCTTGGCTGAGCTAACTACTCGTGCTTCTGAGCCCCGCACGCCCACCACAAAAGAATGGCAGTTTTACGGGAGGCCCTAAAGACCACGTGAAATTGTTAATGCCGTAAGCTTTCCTCTTCTTATTAAACATTCCTATTCTTATTTCTGTCTTGTGGTGTGCGTGCCCCGCTCAGCCATATATCTTGATTTAACTGCACGTGCTGTGCGGCCCCCAAATCGATGCCACCTGTTGGTCTCATTTAACATCGTGGCTTCATCCGGGGCTGTCACAAAAGAGGCTATCACCAAAGGCCGGCACATTGTTCCAGGCCTTGGCACGGGAGATCTGCACGGGCACCGTGCGGAGCACCGGTGCCGCACAGGGTAGATGCTTACCGAGCACTCGTCGGCAATAACAGGGGTGCGGTAGTGAGTACGGCACCTACAAGAGAGAGGATTACTGTATATAAGGAGGGCACAGGGCCCCCGGCCCTGTGCCCGTCCTCCTTTCTCTTTCAGAGATCTAGATCAACATACAATAAACCCTATCTTGCACCGTTTATCCGTCACACCAAGCCTACCATGGCCAAGCTGCAAGTGATGTGCGAGATGGCCGAGGGAGTCCCCAGCGAGGAAACCCAAGCAGCGAAGGTGTTGATAAGCGACCCGGCAAGCTTCAGGCTCGTCATCGAGTCAGGGCGAACTATCGTCAAGCCCTAGCGGCGAGCAGCCGCCGGCTGAGCACGCGCTTGATGGGGCCTTGGTTCACAGCCACCACACGGCGAAGACTCGAGCGGGAATGAGAATTGGCGAGAAACACGGTGGGTCTTGGTGACAAGGGGGGCAGATTTCTCCAGCAACGTAACTGGATCGAGTCCGTCATGTTCTGGGTGGATGTCGCCTACAAAACGGGTGAGTTATTCCGGGAGCTTAAGAAGCAGAGGGCAGAGCCTATCGTGGCTGGGTCGTAATTTGGAGTTGGTTGGACACGCTGAGGGAATCGTGGCGCGGGGGTCATGAGGTGAGGATTAGGGATATGTAGGTACTGGAAGAGAACAGGTCTCGTTTGTGCGAAAGAAAGAATTAACCTAGATCAAGACTGTCACTCTCATAAATCCTCGCCTTCGCTCTCGAATCCAAAAAGGGGCCCCAAGAGGAAACCCCAGCTCTGCTGCCGCCGCCTGACATCTGCAAAGTTCGGGCTCGTTGAAGTCACAGAGCCCCTTGATGAGCTACCACCGGCACTCAGGGATGCCGTCGGCAACAAAGCAGGCCCCCGAGCAACAGTACCGTTCTCCCCGCCGCCGCCGCCTCGAGTGCCATTGCCACCCGACACGAGCAGCTCGACGCCCTCGCACTCGATGCCCTCGTAATCGGCCTCGCCGCCGCTCCCGATGGTGACCTGCAGCCCGCAACCCATCCAGGCGCGCATGACCTCGCCCGCCGCGCACTCGAGCGAGCCCGCCGCCGGGTCGGCGCACCGCAGCTCGGCGTACCCCAGCTCCGTGAGGTTGGCGACTAGCGCGCCGTCGACGAACCACAGCGGGCTGGCGGCTTCCCGCCGCGACTCGACGACAGCGACGGCGGCGTTGCCGACGGCGCCTGCGCGCCCCACGGCGCACAGGCGGCCGGACGCGCCGACGGAGAAGAGCGAGGCGCGCGACGGCCCCGACACGAGCACGACGGAGCTGCCCGACTGCCGCAGGCGCCAGCCGTCGATGAAACCGCCGGGCTGCGACGCAGACAGGCCAAAGGCCGCGGCCGTCTCGCCGCAGGTCTGGTCGACGGTCGCTGTAGAGGAGGGAGTGGTGGTCGGGGTGGAGGTGTTGCGGAACCGAGGCCCGGCCGTTGTGTTCCAGAACCGCGCCGTCGTGGCGTTTAGGGTGGGTGCGGTCGTGTTCCAGAAGCGGGCGGTTGTGGTGGTGGCGTTGCGGAAGCGCGGTGCGGTTGTGTTGAGGAACGGCGCGGAGGTTTTGTTCATCGGTGCCGCTGTGGCCGTCATAGTGCTGTTTTGGAACAGGCTGGCGGTGGAGTTGGCGAGGAGGTGGAAGGTCGTGTTGGCGAATGGCGCGGACGAAGCAGCAGTGATGTTGGGGAAGGCGGACCAGCCTGTGGGCTTTGAAGAGGGTCTTGTCGAAACGCCATCCGCCGAGGACAAAGTGGCATTGATGTATCTTCTGGGACCTGTACTGCTCTCGGTCATGGATTTGCTGAGGGTTGAGTTTAGAGATACGATGCTGGTGGCATTTATGAAAGACGCCTCCTCTGCCACACCAGCTGATTTGAGCGTTCCGGTCCTGGCAGGTGTAGGTGTCCCGCTTCTGCTGCTACTAACAGATCCTGCCCTAGACGAGTGTTTCCCATCTGCTGCGACCCCCGATTCCGTAGACGATGGAGATGTCAGCCTTGGGGATGCGGACTCGCTCGTGGCCGTGGAGCTGAGGGTTATAGCCGGCGATGTCTCATTTCTCCACGTGGTAGAGTTGGCGTATCTAGTCCGGACTGACGTAGACGTGATGAATGCCGTCACAAAGACGCTGGATGTGGTCAAAGGGACGTGGGTGGTTACAACAGTCGGTGTGACACCGAGACAGGAGCATGCCGAAACGTAGGAGGACGGCGATCCACACTCGGAGACGTAGTTTGGGGCATCGGATGGGTATGCCAGCGGCGCGGAGCTCGGCGAGCCATCTGCAAGCTGCGTGAGAGCCTCGCGTCCCGCCAGCCACCGCCTCCAGGGCTCATCGACAGCATCGGGGCTTCTGATGCCGGTCTCCGAGTTTGTCGGGCTCGTGGAAGGGGCTGACGTCAGGGTGGTGTTCCTAGTCGCCGTGGACATGCTAGTGACGCGCAGGGTGTGGAATACGGTGCTTGCTTCTGGTGTCGATGTTATTTGCAACGCGGAAAGACAGTCGGCGGTGCCGTTTCTCCCTGTCGGCTCGAAATCTTGCAGGGCTGAAGGGTTGGCAAAGGGTGGTCAGCCATTGTCTGGTGTCGTTTGGCTCCGTTGGGTACTCACCACGCAAACAGCTGTCTGTGGTGCATGTCTGGGCAGCTGCAAGCTCCCAGATCGGCACAAGCAAACAGAGGAGACGCATTTTCCCTGTCACGGCTGCGGCCTTCACGATAGCCGCTGAATAAGGGTGGAATTGGCGGGGTGGCATCTGGCGACAAAGGCAGAGTAGAGGGCAATCGCCCTCCCTTTGAAGGTCTGGGGCCTATGGCGGGCAGCAGTGATTGTCTGGGGCGGAGCATTATCAGAAACGGGGTGGTCTAGTGTGATGATGTCGTCGCTCTTAGCTGGTGCCGCCTAAGGCCGCTGCTGGCCAATGACGGCAGGGAGAGCCGAGAGCGGATGCGACATAAATCAAGGTGGAGGATGCGGGCAATCTGCCGTGGCTGCGTGGGGACATGCAAGGGGGCCCCATCGACAGATTTCCCGTCTTGGCACGTCCGTTTGTAATCGGCCACTCTCACTGGCTGTACTGCTTACGCTGGGCTCAGGCAAGCATGCCATGAACTAGATAAAGGATCGAAGCGTCCTTATTACAGGCTCTCCTTTGTCCGTTTCAAGCCCCTTTCTCGTTTGCTATTGCTTTCCCTACCTACCAGAAAAGAACGGCGTGGAAGAGTGTTTTGGCTGGACGAAGCAAGAGCACGCATGCTTTGTTTATTTTTCTGCGTGGAGCCGGAGGTCCTGCTGCAGGACCTCTCGCAACCGACCAATCATGTTCTTTCTTCCCACACTGGCATAGAAAACTCGACGTCTTCAACTCGGGAGAAGAACGCCTGAGAACACAGCTCTAGCTGAAGAGAAGCCAGACCTGACCAACATCCGACGGCTTGCACTAGTCGTCCTCCGCTGCTACAGCACGTTATAATACACTCGCTTCTCACCCGACTTTTACGGTTGTGCCTTCTGCCATTTTCCAAGTCCAAGCTCTGCGGACAGTTGAAGCACAGGCAATCGCAATCCATCAGCTCCTCAGCCGCGTGGTTATTGCCCTTCGCGCAGATATCACGACCATCATCTCGTCGTCCCGAGCCGCCTGCCGCCACAATGTCCTCCCAGCCCACCTTCAACTACTACTCCGAGCTGGGCGTCGACCCGTCGGCGTCGGCCGCCGAGATCAAGGCTGCCTACCACCGTCTTGCCCTTCAGCACCACCCCGACAAGAACCAGGCAAACAAAGACGATGCCACCGTAAAGTTCCAGCGAGTACGCCATCACCATCGATCCCGTCTAGACATCGCTATCCCAACCCCCGCTGCAGTACGCTGACCACGCCTATAGGTGAACGAGGCGGCCGAGGTCCTCATGGACGAGACCAGGCGCCGCAACTACGACGCCAGGTCCCAGGGCGCCCAGCACATATCGCCGACAGCTGCAGCCATGCGGGCCTGGGTCTGGGCCAACATTGTCGAACCTAGCTTGCGTGAGCAAGCTGACCTCGAGCGCGAGCACGAGGCCCAGGTCCAGGCAAGGGCCAGGAGGGCCGCCGAGAACGAGGCGCACCGCAAGGCCAAGGAGAAGGCACTCCGCCAGGCCCAAGAGATCGAGGCGAAGAGAGTCGCCGATGAGGAGGCCCGCCGCGCCGCCAAGGATGCAGCGGCCAAGGCCGCGGTCGAGGAGAGTGAGCGCCGCAGGGCCGACGAGGAGGCCTCCCAGGTGCGGGCCTGGGTCCTCGCCGGGGCCGTCACGGACCAGCAGAAGCGGGAGGAGTGCCTCCACTCGGAGTACTGCGCCAAGACGGTGCAGAGGAGGAAGGTCAGGTGCGGCTGCTGTGCCGTCAAGCGCGGCATCGTCGCCTTCGTGTGCCCGTACTGCGACGAGACCCTCTGCTCGCTCTGCGTCCAGAACTTCACGCAGGCCAGGAAGGAGCGCATGGAGGATGAGGATGCGGGAAGAGTCGCTGAGAGCTGCCAGACCATTTAAACCTGCCCCTATCGTATCTATTTGGGCGACGTTCGTCATCGCGGGGATATGGTACCCGCCAGGACGAATCCCCAAGTTACATTTTCTTTACGATGCCATGGCAGCGAGACCCCGGAACATTAAACGGTTCCCAACTGCAACTTTGTATTTATCACAATAGCCAATTTAGATCCATTCACACACATCCTCCCTTACCACATTCCTCTTCCTGGTGGATAACCGTGCAGGCCCGATAAAGACGGATCGGAAGCCAGCATGGCGAGATATCCTTGTGGTAGACCATCATCATCATTTTTATTTGTATTTTTTACTCACATTATATGTGTATAATGGGCATAAGAGAATATGTCTCAGGTACGGCGAATAGTCGGCTTTGTAGGTAAATGGTTCATAATTGTAAGGCTCGCGGAAGCCCAAACGACCCGTTTAGGCCGGGGACCCAATGGGTCCGTCTTTTGGGTACCCATTGGGGCCCCAACAAACCCAAGGACCCGTAAACGGGTCCCCATATGGGTTTTTGGGTCCAAGTCGGACCCAAAACCCACGGGTCCAAATGGGGACCCATTTACGGGTTTTCGCCAACCTTTATTCCTTGACGTAGTTGATGCGCTTAAAGCTCTACTAACACGCTCAGCGCGTCCCCCGATAAAGCGAATAAGGACCTGATAGCACTCCCTTTGCTAGCTAACATCTCGAAAAATGGACCGATGCAACTGTAAAGCTTTTAGACATCCCAAACCCAACTGGCACAGGTCGATAATCAAGCCGCATTTCTGATACCTGTCTATTATAGCGACAATGAACATCAGTTTAGGGAAACGCTCTCATGATTGTATTAAAGAAGCCCGAGCCACCTTGTCGAGAGCCGGCCTGTGCAAAACCCTCTTCCGAGCCGTCGTTTTGAAGGAGCTTCTCTTTTTGTTAGCCGTGGTGGCGAATCCTTCTGGTTTTTCCAATTATGGTGTCGGTTGGTTTATCTCTCGATCTCATATCTGGCTTGGAACATCTCATCGGGTCCAAGAGGTAGACGTTCCGTGACAATAAACTCGGGGCTAGAGTCGTGTCTCTGTACGCGGGAAATGGGCGCTCGGTCGAGGGTTGTAGGGGTATGCTGGCTACTGGATCCTAACAATGATGCTGACACCCATCTCAAATAGAAGCCCCTTTGTGGCCGGATCGACCAAGCGCTGTTTGTGAGCGAGCTCAGGCAAGAACATCTCCCTTGTTCTCTCCAGGAAGGTCTCTGCTCGGAGATCGGGCTGCATGTGCTCCCCAACCACCAGCTCGCCGCCCTCCAGCGTCCCAGAAGCGCGATCGTCAAAGCTCCCCTCCATGAGCTCCTCGATGTCCTCGTATCTCGCCGGAGCTGATTTGGTGTCGGTGGTGCTGTCGACCCATCCGTGGTCGAGGACGAAGTGTAACCTTCTCAGCCCGGCAAGATTTACCAGTCCCTCGACCGGCTCGTAGTCCTGGAACTCATTCAGAACGGCCAACGGCGTCATGGCCACGTATTTGACAGTTTCGAAGTACTGGTGGCCCAGTGCCGCTGCCTTGCGAGTGGCGCGGACGAACCCTTCCACGTCTGCGGCGCTCACAAACATGGTATCGACCTCGGGCTTGTAGGCTCGGATAGGGACGTTGATCGTGCGCGGGATACCCGCCGGCCCTGGAGAGCGCAACTCGGTAGTCTCGAAGTCAAGGTGGCGAGCCACCTCGCCCCGTGCCTCGCGGCAGACATGGCTAGCGGCTGGTATGGGAAGCCGGACGGTTGGCCCAAGTGATGAGACGGATTCGTCGCTGCTGTCTGTAGTAGTGACAGGCCACAGGATGTCGTAAAAGTCGTCAAACTCGAAGATGTAGGTGCGTCCGCGATATAGATGATCATCGATGGTCATTAACCAGATTTTCGTTCGAATCCCGGGTGGCAGTCGAAGCAATTGCATCTTTTGGGCTTCGTTATATATAGTAACGGCGTACGGAAAGGCTGGAGTTAAGTTTGCGACTAGTAAAAAGGACTGGATTGTTCAAGTCGCGGGAAAGGCACGAACTGCAAAACCATCTCTGGAGGAAATTTCGGAAGCAGCAGTCAGCAAGGGTGGATGGGTATGCATGAGCGTGGGGCGTTGCAAGAAAAATAAGCTTATTTTGACTGAAGTGTGGATCAGGCACCATCCCGACGGAAGTAAACCCATTTCGCCACGCGCCTGTTCTTCACTTTCCGCACACAGCCATCAACCACCCCAGGGTCTTTCGTAGCAGTCTGTGCTCTAGCTAAGCTTGGACGACGCGCTACGGGAGTCAAATTCTCTGCAAGTCGGCTGCAAATCCTTTTGAGTCGTCCATCTGGGCCATTTCTCTCAACACAACCCCGGAAACGGAGTTTAAGCGGGAAGCTTGTAGCACTTGTCTTTGGCCGGCATTTTCTCGTTCGAGTCCCACTGCCAAATGGTAAGATTCAGTATCCCTCCGTTGTGTTCAAGGACCAATGTACTTACGTGCTCGTGGACGCAGCCGTCAACCCATCTCCATCGGTCGACGACGCCGTAGGAAGCGTACGACATGTTGGTGCTGGCGTCGAAGCACCAGGACGTGCTGGACTCGCTTCCGACCTTGCGGCCGGCACAGAACAACGGCCAGATATTTTGAGGTCCATCCCGATACCCAGGATTGTGTTGCTACGGAGGATTTAGTGGTTTGCCTCCTTGAACGAAGACGGAAACCTCACCTTATAAACGTTGTCGATAAGCGAAAACATCAGCCTTGCATCCCCATCGACCACGAATGCGCGGTAGAACTGGTATGCGCGCTTGGCTGTCTCCTCCACCGTGGTCGCGGGATTGGGCTGGCAGAGCTGCGGGGGCGACTTGAGGGAGCAAAGGTTCTCCCCAGGAGCAAGGTACCCCTCCTGAGCCGGGGCAGCGACGGTGATAGTCGGTGCCAGAATGGCTGCGGCGGTGACGACGGGGAGGCGCATGTTGACAGCAGAGGGCAACGGGGGCGGGGTTTGAGGTTGTGGGCCACCGCTGCTCGCAGGCCATGGAGCCCAGGCGGCGTTATATACCAGCGAGCAGGACAAAACAAGGAAGATGATGAACTTAAAATAGACTGATGGAGATATCCGAATTGCGACGCGGATGAATAGCAGCCTTTACCCAAAAGATGGAATGATATTTATCCACCTTGGCCGGCCTTTAAACCCCAACGCCTGGAGCTGTCTGCCATAGGAACCGGCAGTTCCTGGCCAATTGGCTTTTGGCTAATTAAGCGTTAGAAATTGTTTCCCCATGATTCCGTTTGCAACGCCGCTTCCCCGCTCCTTGGTATCCAAAAGAGTTGGCACTTTGGAGGGGGTGCTAGGGGGAGGGGGACAGGCAAATGTAGAAGTATGACGGACAAATGGTGCAAGATAGGTTCTTTTGTAGGCTTATCTAGATCTCTAAAGAGAAAGGAAGAAGAGGGCACGAGGCCTAGAGCCTCATGCCATTTTTATATGCAATGATACCCCTCTTGCAGGCGCGGTACCCACTACCGCCGGTGCAGCCTAGGTGCCCGTGCAGATCCTCCCTGCCAAGGCCTGGAACAGCGTGCCGGCCCTTAGTGATAGCCTCCTTTGTGACAAGAGGATCGAAGTGTTGGGTGCCTGTTCCTCCACATGGGCTTGCGAGGCTGGGTTGAGGAGCTATAACTACGAATAAATCACCCACTGCAGGAAGGGATTAGAAAAGGAGAGAGATAGTGATAGAAACTAGGCCTAGTTGTTATTTAAATGAGTGACTTGAAATGAAAACATTTCTGTTTGCGTTTGTCGGCAACGCAGCGCATCCCCCCAGGTGCCTTGCAATCGATCATTACCATCCATAGGTCCACACTTCCGTGTGACTATATCGCAGGGGTGCTCCTTTTGTTGCGTCATCCATTTTACTTGCGGCCAGGGCAGGTTACCTGGAAGGCGCGGATGGGCTCAGCCTGGGAGAAACCCCAGCAGCCGCTGTTGGTGACTTGGACGCCGCCGCCGCAGCCGCGGCCAGAGAAGTACTTGGCTGTTAGGAGGTGGAACAAACACGGGGTTAGCTACGTCCTCAAGGCGTTACAGTTTGTATAGTAGTGAACAAGGAAGAGGAAGGGAGAAATTAGATGACAACAGATGGACTAGGGAGAAGAACGTACTGGAGCAGCCGCCAAAGTTGTCGACGCGGAGCGAGTGCCAGTCGGTGCCGTCGTTGAGGATGCACCAGTTGCCGTCGCCCGTGGTCCAGCCGAGAGCGTTGCCTCGGCACGAGGTGGCGAAGTAGGTGGTCAGGTGCCACGAGTTGGCGAGCAGGCTCACCGAGGTGTCGTTGCTGACGCTGACGCCCGTGGCGGTGCCGTCGAGCAGCTGGCTGAGGAGGACGGTCGGGGCGGGCGCCGGGACGGCGTCGTCGACCACGGGCGAGGCATCGCGCGCCACCAGGGAAGGGGCGGCCAGGGCGGTCCCGGCAAGGCCGAGGGCGGCAACGACGGCGGTGAAGAATTGCATGTTTAGTGCTGTTGCGGGGGGAACCGAATGTGTGGGGAGATGGGATCGAGGCAGTTGAGTGATGCGGGCGCTGCTGGCTGATGATGTTCGAAATATCGGCTGGCAACCTGGGGATGCTCATGACTTTATATACTCCTGGTGGTCCTGCGAGGCTGCGTAGCTGAGCGCGCCTACCTGTCATAGTGTGACAGATTAGAGAACTGCGGCTTCCTCTTTCGAGTGTAGTTTGCTGACATGAGCCGCATGGATAGCCAATCAATCAACTCATGGCAATAGCCCCCAAACTTCACGATGAGGTGGAGACGCTTTTGGTACCTGTTTCTGCAGGCTATAAAACCTGTGTCCAAATGGAGCTGGTCTCTGGATGTACCTCTTACTTTGAATGTTGCACCATAGATTTCTTTACACATGTTCCTAAACACATCCCAACCCCTCTCTAGCACGTCCGATGTACCTTGTCGAAAATTACCGCTTCTTTGACCAGCAGCCGGACATTTAGTGGCCGGCTAGAAAGTCTTAGAAAGTATCTCGCACATGGAAGAAGGGATGCTAGTAACATTAGGAACTCATATGTTGCCTCCCGCGTTGTTGTTCGCTGCGCCGTTGCGGATAATAATCATCGTTATTTACCGATCCTCAAATCACGAATCCTCATTTTGCATGCTTGTCTCTACCTGCCTTTTCTGGACTGGCCGCTCACCTCCAAAGTTTTATTGAAAAGCCAATTGCAGTTCCGCGTCCCGAGTCGCTGCTGCCTGCCCTACCACCCACTTCACTACGGTAGGTAGTTCAACCTAGCGCTGACCACCCACAGCTCAGACTAAGAACCCACTGCCGAATCTAGGCTTTCCCCGCCAGGATTGCGGGGGCGTTCGCTGCTAAGCCGCACGCAGGGCCTCCCATTTTTTCGATCTGCATGTTGTGGGGCTAGCTAGGTGTGCTTTGATTGGCGGAAAATCGTAAGGCTCGTAAGTTCCATAAACGTGATTGGCCGCAACTCCCGCACGTGAGACTGCCTCCTCATACTAACGCAGATCTTGCACGGAACTCGCCGCATTCGCCGACGGGTTTTGTTTGCCAAGACAAGTGAAGTAACATGCGGAGCAACAATTCTGTAGCACGGCAGCGAATATTGAAGTTCCAGAGCGGGCACCGGTCAGACAAAAATCAATATTCCGCATACGGAATACGCATATGGCCCGCTTTCATGCCCACTGCGACCAACTGGCCCTAGGCGCGTCTGACAGGCTAGGCTCAGAGGCTGACTGCCGGGTCAGCCATGGGCCTCTCGTTGCCACGATGGCACCGCTATCAAGGCTTTTTTTTGTTCAAGCGGGCATGTAGCCCATCAAAGGCCGGTCGGCTGGTACTGCCGTACGGCGTTTGGCTCCATCACATCTTAGAGTATCGTGTCCCATGATGACCTTGGCCTGTATTTGTCGTGGGTTATGTACCCGGCTGAGTGCATGCCTCCACTATCATATGCATGCTTCCCTTGCTATTTTAGTCATCTACCTCGCTGTGTAATAAAACCACCGTTACCATATCCGGGCCTGCGGTTCATGGGGCGGGGTAGAGCAGTAGGTTTTCTCTCTGCTCGCTCGCTTGTCGGCGCCCCTTTGTCGCAGGGCTCAGCTGATTGAAGCCAGCTACCGATTCCATCTCTTTCTTGGCTTTGCAATGAGGTGAGCCAAAGCCGTGATATCTGGGGAGACTGTGGGCTTTTCTGGCCTTGCAGCTACGAGCTGCTTGATTTGGTAGTTCGTATTGAGCCCGGTCGTCGCGGAGTTGATAGCGGCCCAATTGTACTGATGCAAGCGTTTGTTGTCGCAAACGGATATAGACTAATTAGGGCCTTCGCTTTTGGCTTGGCGGCCCGATTGGTTCGTCACATTTGTGTTTTGTGCACATTTGGTCAATTGGTTCGTTTGCGATACCGGTAATATCCCCAAATCCGTATTGTGTGCTGACGGGCCGCACGCTAAGAAACCCGTTCGCCGTCGGCTATCTTGCCGCGGGGTTGGTGGTGGGGCCGGGCGCTGCGCCGCTCTCTCCGCTGTCAGCCTCCTGCACGGCGGCAAAGCGTTGCCTAATACATATGCATGGTTCTTTTCCTGCCCTCATAGCGCCGATCCTCTTCACTCGGCCCCTGGATGCCTCCACTCTGCTGCTTCACTGGCCGCTCCATAAAGGCCAGACCGAACTAAGAAGGTACCTGGTCGCTGCGCCGCGGCAAAGATCCCCTTTAGATCGAAGACCCTCATCAGATTCTGAGCTTTTCGTACCATGAGGCCACCCGCGTGTTCAGTCGGCCGGGGGGATTCTCGACCGCGTTGGGCATGCTTACTGGCAACTGTTTGATCGATGACAACAGAGCAGGAGCGCTAGGAGTCTGCCCGAGAAATGGTCAGCTTTCTTTCCCTAACCTGGTCCAGACGCGGACCCTGCTGCCAGGATATTGCAGACACGAGAACATGGGAGGGTTGGCTGGGTCGGGGGTGGCCCTACAGGGCAGCGCACAGATTTGGTCAAGCACCGCAACATGAAGCTGCTACATTGCGGAGCAAACGAAGGCGTGGCTGAGTCGCTGCACCCTTAACCGCGCATTTGGGAAAAGAAGGGAAAATCACGGCGATGTGGCATTGAGTGGGGCCTAGATCTAGAAGTTTACGGGCATGGGTGACATTGGATCGCGCTACATTTGTAGAATAATACCACGACGTCGTGGCGGTGTCTGCCTAGGTACCTATGTAGCCTAACATGCGAGAAGCCCCGTCAGCTGGCTCACCAAGAGTGCACGCCGTCCTTGTGAAAAATTTCCTTGCTCTCGCCCTCGTCCCTAAACCTTTCAATACTGCGCAAAAGTGTGCGGCCCGACTCTTCTTGATCGCTGGCGGCGCCCCAGCTGGTGCAAACGTCCTCGCTCGTTCACCTGCGGTCTGACACCACGTAGCCACACATTGCAAATGCCCTGACCTCGCTCTTGGTATAGACCATATTTTCAGCAACGCTTGAAACGTCCAGCGCCGCGTTGCTCACGGCGTATAGAATACCAGGCCCGACCAAAGCCTATGTGTGTCGCGGCCATCCCGGGCGTTTTGGCGATGGAGCTGGCGGTGCTCTAGGTGTACACAAAGCGCGGGTCCGCCGGCCGCGCCTGAGGCTGGAACCGTCGCGCTCGGCGTGTGTCGCCTCGGGCGAGATCGGCGCCGTGGTGCACTGGCACGTGGGTTACGGTGACCTCGTAGCCGCCAGCCTCCAGAGCACCGCCGACCTCCTCTCGGCCCTGTCCGCCGCGCCTCGCATATATATCGGGCGGCTCCCTCGGCCCGGCCAGCGAGACGGTCGACCAGGTCGCCGACCTCGTTACCGACGCGGGAACTACGCGCAGACCAGGCTCGTTTCCGAGGTGCTCGTGCGCCGCAACGCGGAGAGTATGGCCGCCGCGTCCGCCGGTATCCCGGCGTCCGTTGGTGCTCAAGCCGGGCCCCGTTCTAGGCGACCGCAGCTCAGGCGTGTCCAACCCTAACGATTTCCTCTGGCGCCTTGTGGGTTCGGGCGTCCGTATTAGCGGCCATGACGCAGACGAGGCCGAGGACGCCGGCGCATGGCTGTTCGACGCCGGCAACGACCAGATTATCAGTGTCACCATGGGTGCGTGCATGCCGCCGGTGTCGGGCACCGTCAGACAGCCCATCCGCCTCGTCCTCGTTAGCGAGCTTTGGCGGATCCTGGCCCGGGACCCGGAGCTCGGTTTCGACCTCCAGTCCATGGGCCGCCGCGACGACTGGCTGCCCAGGGTCGAGCGTGACATGAACGCGCGCGGGCCCGCCCACCACATCTCCCCTGCCTTCCGCCTCATGCAAAGCAGGCAGGGTACCGTGAGTGTGCGTCGCATGCCCGGCGAGAAGACCTTCTTTCCCGAGGCCGAGGTTCGTGAACGTGACAGGCGCAGCCTCGTCCGCCTCAAAAAAACGTCGGCTCCTTTTCGACCGGCGGGGCGGCGGCCTCGCAGCCGGATGCTGGCGTGCTCAGTCGCGGTGGCCGGAGGTTTGGCGACGCGACAACGTTGTGAGTTTTGCAGGGCAGAAATGTGAGATTATGCTTGAGGGCGGAATTCGCAGTCTTTGGGTTTTCGGACTGTGCTGGAGCAACAAGTCAGCTGAAGCACAAGGAAAAAAAGACAGGGAACACACGAGTTAATGTGGTATGTGCCACTGAGGCAATGATTTAGGATGCAGAGTTTCCTTGTTTGTGTTTATTTTCGTTCGGGTTTCCTAATCGCTATGGTGCTTTTTGGGCTCGTTCCCATCTTCCCCATGATTACCCCGAATTCTCCAATTGGTTCTCCTTGTGCTCATCAATTCCCTCACAGTTTCGACATTCCACCCCTTTGGAACCGCCAAAAGGTCATCGGCAGGAGCTCGAACTGCGCCCTCACCCTACCAAAATTCGCCTGGTCGAGAACCTGGTAAACCTCGGGCACAAATTCGCCGCGTTGTCTCGTGCGGGGCCTTGGCTCGACATCTCCGCGGATCAGGGCCTCGAGCTCCAAGGCGTGCCCAAGCATCCGCTCGAACTTGAAGACCAGGAGGCGACGCGCTTGGGGTGTGGTCGGGGGGGCAGGAGGCACCATGCACAGGATGCAGGCGACAACGTCAAAACTGCAGAGGTGGCACAGCCGGAAAAAAAAGAATGGTCAGCTCATGGATCGGGGGTTCAGGGAAGAATACTGGCTGGGGAAATGTCAGTGACACTCACGCGAAGCATATCTTGTCCTGTGTTCTGATATGTTCGGCAGGTGCCAAGTAGGGATCGAACCGGTGCAAGTACATGCGATCGTGGCGGAGGATCAGGTCCAGCAGCCGCTTCAGCCCCTCGAAAAGGTTTCTGGCCTCGCTGTAAGGGCCCTCCAGCTCCGGGCATTGCATGCGGATGAGGTGCAAAGCCAATGAGCGGCGGCAGTCGAAATGTTCGGGCTGCGGCCCGGGCAGGGTGACGCCATCGAGGCCCATCAGCGAGTGGTCAACCAGGCGCGGTGCCGAGTTTTGGTTGCCCATGGTTGCCAACTATCGGTGAAGCGCGAGCTCTTGTTAGTTTCTTGTCAGGGCAGATGAGGAGGGCGTTAGGTTTAGGCGGTGTGTGGAAATCAGACCTTGTGCTTCTTGTGCGAGATGGTGGTGGGAAGGGAGGGTTGTCATGATGTAGGCAGGAGAGGTTTATCGTGATGTAGGAAGAGAGGTTGTTGTGATTTAGGAAGGGAGGGTTGTCGTGATGTGGGCAGGAGAGGTTTCTTGTTTGGGCAGAGGAGGGGGGCGTTGGGTCAAGGCGTTGGGAGGAATTATACCTTGGTTTGCTTCTGCGAGATGGCGGCGGGAAGAGGTGGTTATCGTAACCAGGGAAGAGAGGGTTGGCGTGACGTGGGTAGGAGAGGGTTGGTGTGATGTTCAACTCATGAGAGAATGGGCTCCGAGCACGTTTGGGTGGGTATTTAAAGGTAGGAGACTTTCCAAGCGGCAGAAAGGAAAAGAAGAACGGGCGGTGTCAGGTGTGGTGGCAGGTTAGGTGAGGGAAGAAATGGGGGAAGCTAGCGTTTTTCTTGCTAGGTGCAGTTACCGGGGGAGGTGAAAGCGACGTGTAGCTGCGGGGGAGCTTATTGCTAACCAGGTAATGCAAAGAATCTTCCGCCTTATTTGCTAAACCAAGAGAGAAAGAAAAACCGTTTCTTTTTGAGCATAAGTGAATGTATGGTAGCGGGGCTTGGGTAGAATGGGTGCTCGAAAGTGGAAGTTTTAGCTTACTGGTGCTGGTCCAGTGAAATCAAAACAAACTTCGAAGCACAAAATTTGTGCCCAAAGTTTTACGAGGAAGAGTGACATATTTGCAAGTGGATACAATGGGCGAGAAAGTGGCAAGAGGGATGAAACGGACAACATTTCACAAACGCTGTTTATCTTCCGGTCCTAGATAGCTTACATTTTTGCGAGATGAAGACGAACCGAAGAATAGGCCGTTGCGCCCTAATATTCCACAACCATATCTCAGAGCTTTATGACTACCGCGGGATCAACTGCAAACATCCCACAAGGAACTGGGCGCGTTACTGGCTGGCACATTGAGGAGCAGTCAATACCAAGATAGTTGTTGCTGGCCTGCTGAGGACGGCAAGCAGAGATTGAGATGACGCATGCTGGCCTATTGTCAGACATTGGCGACCCCAACTGCACCAGTTCCCCGCACAATTTCGTGCTGTAGATGCTTCCGTTGGAGCACGGCATGTGCTGAAGACTTGGCATCATGGGTAAAAATGGAGGCGGTGGCACGACATGAATAGAAAAAGCCGATGGATCGCGGGGCATGCTTACCCATCAATTGCCCTCCTCACCCCGCGTTCGCGTGCCGTCGCTCACGACCAGACTTGCTCGTCCCAGAGACAAGATCACAGCTAACTGAAGCCTCCCAACTCGTCTAACCTGCTCTGCTTCAACACACAGGGTCAACCTATCGCCCCTTTTGCGCCACTATTTCCCAGCTCTCTGGGTCGACATGTCAATCCCGCCGCACGACGTCGTCCAGAGGGTCACGAACAGGAAGGCCCAGTACGCCCGGTTCGCCGACACCAAGCAGTGGGACAAGTTCGCCGGGCTCGGCCTCCCGGACGCCAGGTACAGCTACCAGGACAGCTCGGGCGACGTGGTGGCGCTGCAGGGCAGGCGCGCGGCCTTCGACAACCCCGGGTCGTGCGCGGCCTTCTTCGGCGCCTTCTTCCGCAAGCAGCAGTCGCTCCACAACATCAGCCTGGCCGAGATGACGCAGACGGGGCCCGACGAGGTCGAGGTCATCTGGGCGTTCGAGGACCAGCTGATACGCAACTACACCTTCTGGACGTGCCGGATGCGCGGGGGAGGCCACTACTACGAGGTTTGGCGCAAGAAGGGGGACGAGTGGTTCATTGCGGACTTGAGGATGCAGAGGACGTACCAGATGGCGACGCTTGGGTATTTTGTATTGATCTTGATGAGCAACCTGGGCCTTCCAGTGTTCTGAGCGGCCGAAGGCCGTTGTCTGGGATGCAAGGCACCAATCCAAGTCCAAGTTTGCCTGTGAGTCCGCCTTGTGGGCTGCGCCGCAGATTCCTCAGCTGCCAAGAGCGGCGGGGTATCAATCACAGCTTCTTTGTTCAGCTCGACCTCGACCCAGACTCCAAGCCTGAACTTGACCTCTTTTCTTTGTCCAGCTTTCCTTTGACACCGTATCCCTTCGTGGCATCTCTGCTTGGAGCATCGCATTGATGCCTGCGCTATCAGTCCCGACCGCCAACGCGACATGGAACGTCACCTGCCAGCAGCCATCAAATGGCAGCCGGCCAGGGGCCGACACGTCATCTGACAGCCACGGCGGTACCGTCTCGCGCGCCGAGGTCTTTGGCATATTCCTCACCCTCTCACTGTGCCTGTTGAGCCAGCCCACCGGCAGTCTGGTCTACCGCCCGCGCAGCATCCTTCCCTGGCGCCTGAACCCGCTCGCCAGCCTCGCCGAGGCGGTCCTCGTTCTCAGCTGCTTCGCCGCCATCATCGTTCCTCTTCTTTTCGGGCTCGCCATCGACTGCACCTTTGACCTCGACAGCTCCTGGGTCACGTCGCGGGCCGAGATTGGAGATCTGTCCACCTTCGGCGGGAGGTGGCGCCGCCGCGCGAAGCTGGCGAGGGCGGCGCGGCTGCGCTTGCGGGTCGAGACGCATGCGCTGGCGGCCGCGCTCTTGCTTATCCGAGGAGACAAGGGCCAAAGGTCACAGAAGACCGCCAGTGGTGTCATGAATCTTGTCGCAGAGCTGGCAGCCAGCGGGCTTTTCCCAGAAGAGAACCAAGGCGTGGATACCAACGAGGAAACGGCCGGCTTGATGGCAGCTGGTGCCAGGGGCGGCGAGACGTCGCGACAGGACGAGAATGGAGCGCCCGCGGTCGCGGAAGATGAGAGCCGCCAGACACGAAGTGCTAGAGCAGACCCGAACCGACGACAAGAACAAACCACGGTCAGCACAGCTACGCCCCCGCCCGACACAAGGCCAAGTCAATTGGCCGAGGGCAGCTCCAACTCGGACCGGGCAGCCTTGCTACGGCGCGTATACGGGTCCAATGTCCTCGCCCACCGCGAGCTCCCCGTCCAGATGGTCACCCTGCTCTCCGTCACCAGCGTCGCCGTCAAGCTCTGCGTCAGCTCCCTACCGGGGCCCCTCGTCGCCAGCGGGGCATTCATGCTCCTGAGTTGGATGACCATCCAACTGCTGCTGCTCGTGTTCCACTCGCGGAATATCCGGGACACGGGGCTGCAGGCTTTGTCGACGGCGGTGCAGGAGTTCTCGCCGGTTTTCGACCAGAGCCCGTCCGATGAGACGCAGTGGGCGGTCTGGCTGGCTTGCGGTCTGTTTCGCGGTCGAGATCCCGCTGTCTTCCCTGATCCTCTATGGCTCAATCCCGGTGCGGTACGATGCTCCAACTCCTACCATCCTGCACAAGATCGCCGGAGAGGCAATACGAGCCTTTGGCACCGGCTTCCTAGTCGTCATAGTATGGGCAAATGCACTGGGGCTGATGGATAAAGTGGGCCAGGGAGCAGACGGTGCACAGAACGAGACACGCAGGGACGGGCAAGGTGTCAGCAACGGAGCGCAGCAATCCGCATCGTTACTTGCGAGGAGCTTCGGGGCCGCTATCTTCACCATCTTAGCAACGTTGGCGCTTTGGGCTGACGGTGTTTGGGGCGACGACACAACCTACATTCTGCCCTATATCTGCTGGACTATCATCACTGTCACCTCTACCATCCTGACACCCATTTTCGCCAGCACACTTCTTTCGGCTGGGACACACTTCTTGCCTGTCACGGACGGTGCCGCCATTCTCATTCAACGTCTTCTTCTTTTTCTCGCAGCGTACCTTTGCAACATGGATGCTTGGATACGACGAGACGCTGACAAGCCAGCCTGACTGGGTAAAATGGCTCGGTTGAAGGTGTTGGGGGGCAATTGGAGACTTCAACTATGCTCTGTGATATCGGCCATGGATGTCAGCCCCAGATACACAGCGCGGTTCAACGCTGGCGTTGTCTCAACTCCAAGGCCACCCAGCTCAACTAGCCTTTTCAAAAAGAAGTGTTCGAGTTCTTCTCCCTCCCGTCCATAAAATAGCGCACGCTTGTCGAGATGAATCTGTTTACTACGCGTCCTGTGCTATCAACGCGCCGACAGGAGTACCAAACCCCAACCAACGGCATTTTCACGCGATGGAAACGCACTGCACATGCGCACATGGCAGTGGAGTACAAATAAAGGCAGGCCCTCTGGGCGTGCTCTACGACAACCTTCAGATACGACATACGGCGGCGCAAGGCGCAGCTAGACTCCGAGGTCATGGTGGAGTGGCTCTTTGACTCGGCTGTGCTGTTGCGGCGGCCGTTTGAGTCGCCTCGACGGAGAGGGGAAACGTCCCCTCGGCACTTGGGAGTAATCTGAAAAGGAGATGCCGCCGGTACATTGCGATTCCCTGAGCAGGCTTCTCGAACACAAGCCTCTACATATGGCCATCGGACAGCTGGGACAACTTCGGAACACAAGCCTCTACTTATTTGCTATCGGACAGCTGGGACAACTTCGGAACCCGAGCGATGCCCACATAACCCCGCACGTCCCGGCGATTTGGTTGCCTGTTTTCGAGGAGGCCGTCCATCTTCCCCGCAAAATCATGCGCGATCCACCCCCAGTGTTCTCCCTCAGGATGCTGCCGCTCCGCAAAACGGCCGAGCCCGGACATGTGCCAAGGCCGTCAATGACGCCGAGCAGAATCAGCCTCCTTCCCCTTTCGGCGCGGCGTTAGAGTCGGTTCCGTGTTCGCGGTCCAAGAGAAGGCCTTTCCAGGATTTATCTTGACGGGCGCGTACGTTGATGTGCTATCGGGCATCCATGGGCAGAAATTCTCCGCCCACCAAGTGTGAGAGGGAGGGAAAGAGTGTGGCAGTTACTCCACCCCGAGAGAGGCCGGCAGTTGAGCGCATCACCCCCGATCGGTTTCGTCAAGACCCGCGAGGGACATGTTGTGGCTGTCCTTGAGACGAACATAAAGGAGTACCCAACCCACGTTTAGAGATGATGCCCTGGCTGTAGTGCTGGGCCGCGTTTCCGTTATCACTCACCTGCCCAACAATCACCATGACGCCCATCTCCGCCATCGCCCTGGCTCTGGGCCTATTCGCCGAGACAGGTCTGGCTGGCGTCTCGGTCCGCAAGACCGGCACGGCGCCGACCGGCTACGAGGTGGACTTCACGCTGGCCAACGATACGGCCTCGCGGGTCCTCGTCGCCGGCGGCCTGTTCCCCTTCACCGACCAGTGGCACACGGGCTGGCAGCGCTCCAACGGCTGGAGCCCCAGGGACTACCAGGCCGGCGACTTCGTACTGCCACAGGCCGCGGGTGGACTCGGGGACGCCGACTGGCCCTACGTTATGAAGCGCGACGGCGGCGGCGACTGGCGGCTGACGGTCCCGCTGCCGTCGGGCACGTACAACTACGCCTTCCTCGTCGACTGCGACGCCCCGTTCAACTGCACCTTTGCCAGCGGCAAGTGGGTGATGGACCCGGACAACCCGCCCTTCGTCAACGTGGCCGGCGACGCCACCGCCTCGTCCTTCCAGGTGCCCTTCGACGCCCGCTTCCAGGCCACGCCGGCGGGCGGCTCGGACCTCAACTTCGACTACGCCCTCCCGCGCGCCGACCCGGCCGAGCGCGGCGCCGTCACGACGGTCAACTACACGTCGCCCGGCTCCGTCTGGCCCGCGCCCGACGTGCACGAGTTCGCGCTCTACACTCCCCCGGGCTACCACTCCAGCGGCCCGGACCGCGAGTACCCGGTCCTGTACCTGTCGCACGGCGGCGGCGGCAACGGGCTGGACTGGCATGGCCTGGGCCGCATGGGCGGCATCATGGACACCCTGATCGCCGAGGGCTCGCTCGAGCCGACCGTGGTGGTGATGCCGACCTTCTACAACATCGCGCCCGAGTACCGCTTCACCTACGGCCTCTCGGGCGCGCGGGCCCCCGACGCCCCCGTGGTGCGCGAGAACTATGCGGCCCACCTCTTCCCCTTCGTCGAGGCCAACCTGCGCGTGTCGCGGTCGCCGGCGCGGCGCGCCTTTGCGGGCCTCAGCCTGGGCGGGCGCCTGACGTACGAGATGCTGGTCAACGCGACCGACTACTTTGCCTACTTTGGCATCTTCTCGGCCGCCCAGGGCATAGTGGGCCCGGGGGACTTGGCGGCCAAGGCGCCCGCGCTGAGGCGCAAGGGCATCTTCAACTCGTACGGCCTTTACGACTTCACCTTTGACATAGACCGCTCCATCGAGGTCGCCATGAACGCGAACGGCATTCCCTACCTGAGCCGCATCCAACCTTGGGGTGGCCACTACTGGCCGACCTGGATGGACTGCCTGTACCACTTTGGCCGCAGCGCGCTGTGGAAGCCGCTGCCGTTTGATGGGAGGACGGGGAGGGGCGTGAAGAACTAGTGGTACCGTCATCTTGACGGAAGGGTCCATGTCAAACATTGCATGCCATTGCCTTGCTGCAGTATAGTCATATTACATCACTTATTACTTGGTTGTGATAGGGTTTCTTGGGATTTTTGGTATTGATCGACTAGGGAAAGCAAAAGATATTGACTGTCAGGTATTCAGTGGCTTCTGCTGAAAGTCAGCCGTGTGCGACAGTCTTCCGATTCGAACCGTCGTTTCTCAGATGCCGCTGCCCGAGACAAGTGCTCGGAACTGTGCACGTGGAGATGAGATCTAGGCACGGCGTCCACGCGGGGTCTGCGCAGCCTTGATGCACGCCGAACAATCCCCTGAGACCTGAACATATTCCGACGAGTCAACAACATAGGATGTGCAAGCTCTGGGCGTGGCGCAGGCGCTCTTGACCTTGTTCTTGCCCGCGTGGCCGCAGACATGGTAGGTTTTCTCCCAGACACACATGATTGCCGACTTCCAAAGTCCTGTGATGATCTTGCAGTAGTTTCTTCAAGGAACCTTGGGTGCTTGATCTGGCGTATTGCAAGTGTTGTTCGAGCTGGAGGTGGTGTTCGTGTGGTAGGTCTGGCTGTGCTGTTGAACGGGCTGTTTGGTGATCTTGCTGCGGCGTGGGCGCCTTATATATATACTACTGTCACGTTGACACAAACAAAACCTCCATGTCATCTTTACAGTGCCCTGTCACATCTTTGTTTGACTGGGCTCTGAAAGGTACTCTGACTCCATGTCCAAGTTGTTTGTGCGGTGACAATGGACAAAGGTGACAATGGCAGGACCGCCATGGTTGGAAGGCGGGAAATGGTTGTCCTGGAACAAAGAAAGGGATACTAGTCAAAGTGTCCATTTCCGGGAAGGGGCGGGACGGTCCCTTCTTTGTGGCGGCCGTGCAAGTACTAGGTGCTTGCCAACACCAACCAGTCCTTCACCCCTTCTTCTCTTCCGGGAGATCTTCCACCAGGCCAACAGGACTGGGGTTGCCGTGATCCCGAGCCCTCCGTCGAATCTCTTCCTCCTCGCGCTCGATGTAGTGGACTGGGCGCGCAGTGCAGATGGCGGCTTTGTCGCCCGTGACAATAAGACGCGGGCCGGAGCGGAAGTACTCGTCCATGTCCTCGAGCTTACGGTTGGCTGTACGAAAATGGAGGCTTATCAGTCAAGTATCCCAGCATGGGGAAGTTCTGGGCATGAGGGTGGCGTACACGTCTCGGGGTAGAAGAAGTAGATGACAGGCAGGAAGACGGCGTTGAAGATTGTCCAGACGATCCAGAAGCGCCAGCCAATGTTCTCTATACCTATCGGCGTAATCTCGACAATGGCAAAGTTTGTAATCCTGTGCGCCCGAGTTAGAGGAAGATGACCAAGACACGCTGCTTGAATACCTCGCTGAACGCCGCCAAGGAAGTCTCACCAGTTCGTGCATGTAGCAAAGGCGGCGCCTTTAGTTCTCATCGGGAGGGAGTTGATCTCGGTCGGGTAAAGCCACGGCACCCCGAGCATCCCAACGCCAAAGGAGATGTAGTAGAAAAAGAAGAAGAATATAGAGGCAGTTGCCGGCCCCCTCCCGGAGCCGTCCTCCTCTCCGCGCTCGGCGAACCGCAGGAGAATGGTGATGGCGAGAAAGGACACGAGCTGGCCGGCGGTGGAGAGCATCATCAAACCGCGTCGGCCCCATTTCTCGACCAGAGTGACGGCCCCGAGCGAGAAGAACATGTAGACAGTCGCGGCTACGGCGGACAAGAGGCGCGCGAGGGTTTCGGACAGCCCGACGGCGTTTATGAAGACGGTTGGCATGTAATACGAGGCGATGTTGATGCCGCCAAACTGCTGCATCAGTTGTGTTCTGAAAATGATGGACATGGTGTGTTAGCGTGGATCGTTACCAGACTTTGATGTTTTTCTCCTTCACCACCACGTACCCAGCTCCCAGCAATACCCTCCGGATCGTCTTGGTGTTGCCCGCAGCCGAGGCGCGGCCCCTTGCTAGGTCCCTCCAGCGGACAGCGTGCTCGCGCTCGTACTCGACCGAAAACACAATCTCCCGATGCAGCGCCTCGACAGACGGATCGTCAACGTCCCGCCCCTCGAGCGCGCCCAGGATCTGCAGCGCCTCGGCGTGGCGGCCGTGCGCGGCGAGCCAGCGCGGCGACTCGGGCAGCCAGGGGACGGTGGCGAACAGGACGGCGATCAAGACGAACTGGAACGAGAGCGGGAAGCGCCAGGCGACGGAGCCGCCGGCGAAGGACATGGCGTAGTTTACCCAGTTGCAGAGGCAGAAGCCGACGATGTTCATGCCCATCTCGAGCAGCACGAGGCGGCCGCGCCAGGCCGCGCGCGACGTCTCGGTCTGCCAGACGGGCGCCGTGGCCGTGTTGACGCCGTTGCCGACGCCCGTGACGACGCGGCCGACGAACATCTGCGGCAGGCCGTGCGACGCCGTGCACAGGGCGGCGCCGGCCGACATGACGGCCGTTCCCAGGAGGACGGTCCTCTTGCGCCCGAGCCGCTCGCCGGCCGAGAAGGCGACGACGGCGCCGAGGAAGCAGCCGACGGCGTATATGGCGCTGAGAGTCGCGATCATGGAGGTCTGGCCGACCAGGCCGTGCAGGGCGAGGAAGTCGTGGGTCACGATGACGCCGCTAAAGACGGCTTGGTCGTAGCCGAAGAGCGTCATGTCTGTGGCACAGGCGATCTGGGGCCTTTGTGAGGTTTGAAGAAACAGAAGCTGGGTGCTGGAAGACTACCTACTGTTATCCACAGGGTTAACCATCCTCCTCTCAGGCCAAAGAAAGGCCTGTCGCCAAGGGGTTTGGAAGACATGTTGCGGGTAGGGCGTCTGGGATTATCAATTTGACGTGCGAATTCGTGATACACATGAGAAAAAACGGAGCATGTCTAAACAGCTTGAGGACCAATGTTAGAACCAGCTGTTTCGAGTAGAAAGGTCAAGTGCTGGAAGCCAGGTGGAATACCATGGGCATATATTATTTGACGATACCCACAACACTCGGGCGTCAAACTCCGATCTCGTGTAGTTTGGCATCCCCTTCTTGCCTCGGCCGGCACGGCATATCCAGCTTGGGCCTTTGGTCGTCGCGGACTCGCGACTTGTCTGGCACTCCGACTCTCTCCGAATGCGTCTTTCTCGTAGCTGTCGTCGCTGTCTGGACCCGACGGCATTTTCGTTCCCTGAGACGCGCCCCAATCACTGCTCGAGCTGGGCCGTCAACCCCCAACACTCACTCCTCGCAGCGTGCGGCTGTCTAGGGCATACGCCTAAATCCCAATGCCGAGATGGCCGAGATGCTGATGGGAGGTGTGATTCTGGCGTGCGGGGTCGGCATCCAGCGTCGAGCCACTGCGGCCACACCCCCCGCAGCAGCATCCTCTGCCGTGTGTGTGTGTGTGTGTGTGTGTGTGTGGAGAATTACCCCCACCTCAGTCGTCAAGTACCGTGGTTGCAGGTGGGCGATACCGCGACTCTAGAATGCATGTTGGTCTTGTCGTTGTAGGGAGCGGAAATGCGCATTTTCTCCGTCGGGCTTGGCTCCCTGGGTGGCGCGATGCAGCGCAGCCTGCGAACCTCGGTGCTCGGCATGCTCCGGCGAGCGTGGTGTGCGCAAAAGGAGGGGGCTATAACCGGTAGACGTCCAGCCTCCAGCCTATCGACGTCTTGCTCTCTCTGAGAGTTCTCATCCAGCTTGTGCGGAACAAGATGTATCGTGTATGCCTGGGCGTTCGCGTCGAGAGCCTCCTTTGGGGTCGGCTAGGGATGAAGTAAATTCAGCATTGTTTTCGGATAGACAGACTTTCTGGACTGGGTGTCGAAGGTGCGCCGAACAACGTGCGCTTCTGGCTGGGCTGGACTTGGGTTCCTAGCTTGTCATCAGACGCGGAACAAAATCATTCGACACGTCTGTGTTCTGTAAAAATATGGAGATGGGGTTAGCTCAGGAGGTGACGCTCAAGCTCTCCTGGCAGTTCGATTGGCTGAGTTGGAGAAGATTTGTAACGTAGCCCCCAAGGTACCAATTCCCAGCATCGTTGTCACGTGGGATGCCCCATGCCCGGAAAACAGATGATCTTCAAGTCTTGTATTGTCATAAAACTCCAGAACTCCCAATGCTCCCGCCGATGCCATATAGCTGGGTCCCAAGAAGGAAAAAAGAAACAAAGAAACGCCACCAAGGTCTAAAGAACAAAGACACGACAGGAAGAAGGACAAAGAAAAGGGGCACTTAGCCGCTCAAGACAAAGTCGATCTTGGTCTTGCACTCGTCGCCCTCGCCCCAGGTCTTGAAGCCGCAGCGGCCGCAGCCGTGGTTACGGATGTCCTGGTAGTCACTCCACATCTTGTTGCCCGTGGTCTTGCAGCTCGCGGGCCCCTCGATGAAGACCTCGCACTTGCCGCTGCGGGAGCCCTTGCGCAGGCCCGAGTTCTTGCCGCCGTAGTTGACGGCATCGGTGCGCACGAGCGCCGTGTTGACGGCGTGGTCGCACGTCTTGATGAAGTTGACCCACGTGTTGCAGTTGATGGACCCCTTGCACTCGTAGCCCTCGCGGCTGACGAGCGGCCAGGACGGAGACGGAGACGGCGGAGAAGCGCATCTTGATGGACTTGGAGTGTTAGTGTTCTGGTTAATATGAGACTGTAATGGACGGGATGGCGGGTTCTGTATCGGGTGCTAGCGTGTGGGAGGTGGTCCGAGGTGGTGGATCCTTTGTGGAAGTCGAGTGTGATGGTTTGTGGATGTCCAAGATGTTGCTGTTGAAGATGATGATGATGATAGAAGAGAAAAAAGTCTGACTCTCTCGCCAAGATCGCAGCTATTATATACACCTTTGATCGAATTGTTTTTAGAATCCCCAAGCACACCTCCCTGATGCCAGCAATGCTTGCGCATCTGGATATCGCCAGCCGTACCCTGGCTGACCCTGTCCAAACACCTCCGTCCGCGCGCCGAGAGCTGGGCCCTCCTCGTCATGCAGCCCAAGACTGAGGATTACTATGCGCATGTGCACATCTCCACAGCTCCTCTCGACTGCTGTTGGTGCTCGCGCGTAGTGTACTCAGTGCTGTTGGGCACTGCTGCGCCACCCCGGAGCTTGGGACTCCCGGACCGGGAAGGTTGAGGCGGTGTTATCCGCCCACGACACGCGCCAGCCCCTACCCATGCCCGCAGGGGGCTCAGGCACATCGGAAGCCCGGCACCAGACGCCCTACCGCGCCTGCCGACTAAACTGGCCCCAATGGGGTTGCTCGCTGGCCCCCAACCCTCGGATTGGGGACCCTGTTCCCTGCAAGAAAGTAATAACGAAATTCACGACAGAAGCAGTCAAGAAGCCGCAGCACACATTTCAGCTACAGCCTGCCGCGACAAGCCCTCCCCCCAAATTGACACCGAGGTGGCGCGGGTTGGCTGGAGCTCCCGCCAGACAAAAAGAAAGCAGGCCTCTGCGTGGGAGCTGTTTGGCCACATCAATTGCAGTTGACAAGTACGCAATGTATCAATGTGTCGTGATGCACCAGGCTCCCCGGGCGAGAGACCCTCAGGGCTCACGCGACCCCGCCCCCAATGCGTTGACGAGCTGGTCCCGCTGGAGTCAGCAAGTGCGGGGGCACCGTTCCACAAAGGCTACAACTACAGCCAATGCCGGACCGCCAGACCGTCCTCCCCGGGCGGCTGTCAGCCAGCATGCGATAATAATATCGTGTCACATTGGCGGTTCGGCTTCAATGCTACCAACCGCAACCTGCAGCTAGCGACCGCCGCCTGCGCCTCCTTTCTCAATTCAGCTTGCCGCCAATACTACCTTGACTACAAAGTCCTCAGGTGGGTTTGTTTACCATTACTAGCTTCCCCCTTTGGTCACATCCTCAGCTTGTGGGTTACTGTCACTCGTTCCAGGAGCTCCCAAGGCCCAAAGGATGCATCTCTTCGATTGTTCTATGTCTAGCATCTAGCATGTAACCAGGGTATTGTCTGTTACATTTTTAGAGCCATTCTGCTCTAGCGCGTGGTGTAGCCGCCGTCCACGACGATGTCGGCGCCCGTCGTGTACGTGCTGGCGTCCGAGGCCAGGTACACGTAGGCGCCCCTGAGCTCCTTGGGCGCGCCGTTGCGGCCCATGGGGATCATGGACTTCCAGAGGTCCTGCGTCTTCTGGTCGATAAAGTCGGAGAGGCCCGTGTCGATGTAGCCGGGCGACACTGAGTTGACGCGCGCAAATTCCCTCCACTCGTTGGCCAGGGACTTGGCCATGTGGATGCAGCCGGCCTTGGCGACGTTGTACGAGGTCTGCTCCTGGGGGAAGTTGGCAATGCTGATATGGCCCCTTGCGTTAGCTATTGATGGTCCAAATGTAGCGTCGGGCTTTATTCTAGGCCACCACCACTTACTGTCCCGACATGCTCGCTGTGATGACGAGCGAGCCCTTTCCGCGCTTCCTAAAGTGCTCGCCGACGGCCTTGGCACAGTATGCGGTGCCGCTCAGGTCGGACTGAATGACCTGGTCCCACTCCTCGGCGGTGCTATCAATGACGCCCGCGTCCGCCGTCCGGCCCGAGTTGGCGATGAAGACGTCAATCTGGCCAAAGTCGGCGATGACCTTTTCCACGAAGCCCTTGACGGCCTCCCACGACCTGATGTCGCACTGGTACGCTCCCGTCTTGACCCCGTACTCCTTGGCCAGGGCCTCGGCGTTCTTCTGTGCACCCTCGAGTCTGCTGAAGGCTGTGACGATCACGGTCGCGCCCATCTCGGCGCAGCCCCTGGCGGCTTCCAGCCTGTTGTGATGGCGAGTTAGCGACCGTGTTCCATCTCCTCTCGAGTCCTGTCCCCGTCGCTAGATGTTCCATATTCCATACCCGATACCGCCAGGTCCCGACGCGCCCGTCACGACGACAACCTTGCCCTTCAGGCTGAACATGTCAGTCAGCCTCTCGGTCTTGGGAACCTCGATCATTTTGGCGATGTTTATGTGTGTGGAAGTTGAGTAGAAGAGGTAGGACGACGGCTTGTCAAGTCGGCGGTGATGAATTGGACCTGGAAATAAAGCGTGCTGGGTAGGATGAGGGAGAGGGAAAAGGAAAGAACCTTACAGTCATGCCGAAGGACTAGCAGCCACCAAGGTATATATATGACGCAAGCGGAACCTTCGCTCGACTTGGTCCGGCTTCGAGCTTGTCGCCGTTCCCGTCACCCCACGCCGTTGCCGAGTCCTGCCGGTCCCCGCCCGAGCGCGGGATGACGAGTCAGTGGAGTGGGCGTGGAGTCGCCGCCGCCGCCACTACTGCACGTTGGTGAGCGGCAGTGGCCTGTTGCTCTGACGTCGGCGGCTGGCGGGCTGCTTGTCAAGCGCTTGCCCGCCATCATGTGCAATGTGCCGCGTCGCACAGCAGCTTGTCAAACCGGCTGGCCGTGCCTAGGCCAAGCAGATACGCCGGCCCGGCCGAAGGGACCAAGCAACTTGAGGGGCTTGGGAGGCGCTGGCGAACGGCTGCTGGCACTTTTGTTTGTGCAGCACAAGTGGCCGCGGCCAAGAAGCAACTGGGAGGGGCGGGCACGACGAGCTCAGATGTGGCACCTATTATTGGCCGGATACTTGGCAGAGGCGCATGCAGGTTTTCAGGATATCAACGCCCCACCAAACCTTCCCCTTTGAGCCCTCCTCAGCGGCTTCCTGACGTCACCATGCCAAGGCACCGAAGCCGCATCCACCGTCACATTGATCACCGCTGCTGTGCGCCACGTGCCTTGCTCTTGATCCTCGCTCCTGGCTGGTCAAGGTGTGGCGCCGTAGACTGTGCCACATTCTCTCTCACGTCGCTCAAAGAGATGGTCACAGCCTTGTGGAGATACAGATGCAGCAAGTAGCGACTCGAAACAATTTGTGCCGATGCTAGGGATGTTGTAAAAACTACCTGGGCCTGGGGACTTTGCGCCGATGTTGTTCGGGCGTTTGGTAGACCAGCGCAGCTTGGACAACGATAGCCTTATAGGTGCCGGCGATGACCCGCATGTTCATGCGCCCTAACCATGCCACGATCTCGCTCTCCCGCGCGTGCCGAAGACCAACTACCGCAAACAGATAAACATGAGAGGAAAGGAGAAGTTGATTGGCCACATCGGCCCTGTCCGGCTGTTGTCGTCTTCCCCGATTCGGCCTTGGAACCAGGTACCAACGCCTCCTCCGCCCGGGCCTTGGGCGGGCAGAGCAGAGCGCATAACCTTGGCGTTTCTGTGCGCGGCAAGAATAGCAGGCGGCCAAGGGGGAAGTGGTACCAAATAGGAGATGTGAGTCCAAGGATAATCTGAAACACGGGATTTTGTTCTGTTTCCTCCACAATCAGCAACCCGTCAGCCCATGAATCACCGTTTCTATCGGTTGATCATCTGTGGGCCAGCAGGCCTCATCCCGGCCACGAACTCCGCGGCAGTGCTGAACATGGGCCTGCGGCTCCAAGAGCCTCCAGACGCCATGGGCGAAGACATATAAAGACGAGTCGGTCGTCGCCAGCAAGACAGCATCGAGAGGTTTCCATCAGCTCACCGAGCGAGGTCAGGCAGATCAACCGCCTATACATGCTTTTCTTTCACGTTTGGACTTGTCTGTGTCGGGTACACCCTTTTACATTCTTTTCTCCATCCGGCCAGGCTGCGTTTGCTCCCTTTATTCCCCTTTGACCACGCGACTTTCTGTCAATTCTTCCACCATGAAGTTTTCCACGATCTCATCCGCCTCTACGGCACTTCTCCTGCTGCCCCAACTCGTGTCGGCGCACTACCTCTTCCCGCACTTCATCCTCAACGACAAGGTTTCCAAGCCCCAGGAGTTCACCCGCGAGCACGACAACGGCTTCATGCCGCTCAAGACCCCGGAAATCCTGACGAGCGACGACATCCGCTGCAACAAGGGGTCCATGAACCACCGCACCCAGCCCAAGACGGCCAAAATCAAGGCCGGCCAAGACACCGTGGGCTTCAAGACCGCCGTCGGCAACGTCTTTCACCCGGGGCCCATCACTGTACGTACAGCAACGGTCCATCAGAGACACGACGGGCAGGAAGCTAATCCGTCACCGCCCAACCGCAGATCATGATGTCCAAGGCCCCTGGCAGCATCGCCGAGTACGACGGGTCCGGCTCCTGGTTCAAGGTGTTCGAGATGGGCACCAAGCTCCCCTGGAACGGCAAGGACGACGGCTGGCTCACCAAGGACAAGGACCGCTTCACCTTCAAGCTCACCGACAAGATCCCCGCGGGCGAGTACCTGATGCGCATCGAGCACATGGCCGTCCACCAGCCCTTCAAGCAGAAGGAGCTCTACATCATGTGTGCCCACGTCGAGGTCGAGAGCAGCTACACCGGCCCCGAGCCCGGGCCGACCATCAAGCTCCCCGGCGGCTACAAGGCCGACGACAAGGCCTTTGGGCTTGACAGCTGGGCCAACCCGCCCCCCAAGGAGGCCTTTGCGCCCGGGCCCGCCCTGTGGCCCGGCGGCGGCGGCGGCGGCGACGCCTCGGCCAACGACACCCAGCCCGCCGCACCCCCCGCCCAGGCTGGCAAGCAGAGCCAGCCTGCCAAGGGGAAGCCCGAGACCAAGGGGAAGCCCGACACCAAGGCGAAGCCCGACACCAAGGCGAAGAGTGACAGCATCAAGGAAAAGTCCAAGAAGGTGAAGCGGATCCTTAGGGCTTAGGTTTCTTGATCTGTGTCTCTTCTCCTCTTCTCTTTCTGTCCGCCAAGCTAGATTACAGCTTCGGGCAAATTTCACACCACCGGACGAGCAAGTCTGGCTTGCGAGATTGCCATGAGATCGGTGAAAACAGGAACCCCTCTGAGCTTCCATTGCTATTTTTTCTTGTACATGTATTTTTTCTAGACAGATTTATGTGACATGTGTATCCGCCCATTAATACCAGTGCCAGTCTTTGTCTTTGCCATTTCCTAGCTGAAGGTGAGGTTCAATATCATCTATTTGTTGTCTCTATATAATTACAGCGCTTCCGGACGGTCGTTCTTGGGTGTCGAATGCGGTTGTATTGGTCAACCAGTCCTCGGACTCACGGTGCCGGATGTAGGGGCCTTTGCCGGTCTATCTAAGTACCCTTCATCAAATATATTAATAAACAGCCAGGGTGCGCAGCCAGAGTGCCCCCATGCAACATTGTTCGCAGAAAACCCCTGGTCGCTGACGCCAGAGTGCGGAAATCCCTGATATCACACCACTTCGTAGCTAGCCAAGGACCCGGGCAATGCAGGAGCAGTAGATATTTCCTCCAGGCGTGGGACAACGGCTGCGCTGACATCAACTATGAGCGAGCGCTAGAGGTGGGTGGGGCGTGGGAAATCCGAAAGGCCCAAACCCGAAGGCGGCCTGAATACCGCTCGAAGCTCCTAGATGCCAACCTCCGACAACCCTCATGTGACCTTGCCCTCTTTGCCTTCCTGCCCTAGTTCTGGGTAGTCCCCAGACCCCTACCGGCTCTCCATGCCTTGGGGGCCGCCCCGCAATGACATAGGCTCAAGTCCAGCTAGGGCTAGTTTTGGGATTTGATATTGTCCTCCCGCTGAAAGCTGGCGAAAGAGCACGAACTCTTGGCCAGGAAGCACTGCCCAGCGCACCCCAAAGGAAGGAACAACCAGTCCAAGCTCGAGCCAAGCCCATTGAGCGGTGCGGAGCCCACCAGGCAACGCTGCAGAAAAATCCTTTAAAGCAAAGTTCTCCCACCGTTTCCCGGCCGCGTTCCAAAACTCCTTCACAACACAAAAAACATCAACATATCAACATAACCAAAAACAAAAAATGCATCCTCTATTCCGACGCCTGCGCACCATCATGCGCACTCAGTACCGCATCTTCATGCGCAAGACCTTCTGGCTATCGCCAGTCAAGTCTACCATCCTTTTGGTCGGCTGGAGCGCCGTCGTCCGGTGAGCTTTCCTGTCCGCCCTCTGCCGCCGCATCCCGACCGAGACCGCCTGCTGACACCTCGTTGCCTCGCAGCGCCGCCATCGTGGCGGAGAAGGACCGCGCCGCCCTCAATGAGGAGCAGGCAAAGCGCCGCCTGTCGTAGAAACGGGGTATGTACCATGATCTCTCTTCTCTCCCGTCTCTGCCGCCATCTCCCGTGACTACGATCATCCGCTGACATGTCTTTCCTAGGCAGCGAGCATATCTCCAACGCGAAGATGGAGATACATGATGCCTCCAAAGAATACCTTTGGAAGCGGCGCTGAGAGACTTCAAAGGTACGTGATATATCTTCTCTTCTCTGCCATCCTGTGGTCAACCGGGGCGCCACATTCAAACATCTGCTATCCCTACAACTGCACACCTCATCTCAGCACACATCTCCTTCCAAGATTTATGCACATCTCTTCCATGCGATGCCAATCGAACTTTTCTCCAAACAGCCTCCTGCCAGCCCTCATCACCATCTCAAAGAGTTCCTCCATACTCTTCGCAAACTGCCTCTACCACACAACCACAACCAGCATCCGCACATCTATACCATAGCTTGATTTCTTCACCGTCTGCAGTTGACTTCTTTTTGTCATTCAAGTTGCTAACCAAAACCTCCTCTAGCCATTGTAAAGTACTATGGCTCAGACACAGCTGTGTCTGGATGGCCGATCGCGACCTCCTCTGGGCAATCTACGATTCCTACCGCCACAACCACACCAAGTGTCTCGACATCTCGCGTCCAGACAATGGGCTATCAGTATACCATCAAGGCTGCAACATGCTCTTATCCAACATCATTTTCTTTCATCGTCAAGCATTACGATATTATTTCTTAGACTCATTCATACCGCAGATGTTTGCAAATTTCCTTTTTTGTTGAACCACTTCCAAAATTATATGGATATGAAAAGCGTTGTTTCTGTACGGAGGGGGAGGAGCCTCTTCCTTTTCATTCATATGGAAGATTTCCTCGGTGTTGCGACGTTTATGGGAAGTCCAGGCGTGCTCAACATTCAGGAAATCGTCGATTTGATTGGAAGGAGCAGGCTCCTTTTCTTCTATACAGAGAGGTCGTTTTTTATATTTATCTAATTTCGGAATTGGTTTTGACAGGGAAAAAGTTGCGCAAGTATGGGCTATGTGAATAAGAAGGGAATAGGAAGGGGCTATGCCAATATCTATCAATACCACACTGCTTGATGCCATGTGAACCAACATGACGCGCTCTTGCCGAGCAGCCGAAGTGAGGGGGCCGGGTGGTGGGGTGGAAAGCCGACGCCCCTCATCAGCCCACGGTGCCTTGGCCGTGGCCGGGACGGTGCCTGGTCAGACTATCACCTCGTCTATCCCCAATCACCGAGATAGGAAGGTCTTTGGCTCAGCTGCTGCAAGGGCCATGGATAAAGACAGGAAAACACTCCAGACTCCACTTTAGCCGGCTGCAGCCGCGGCCTGTGCTGCCATCATGGCGGCCAGGCACAAGAAGTACCATTTGCGAGGGAAAGAAAGAGGAAAAACCCACCCAGTAACAGAGGGGTTGAAACTGGAGATCGCAGGGGCCGTGGTGACTTGGGGGGATGTCACGAGACTTCAAGAATTTCTCGTCGATTTCTCTCCTTCTTTCACCAACTTCAACAATGGCAGTGACTTTATGCCAGCACGTGACCCCCCTTTCGCCGCCCCTGTGATCTCCAGTTTTAACCCCCCTGTTGGGAGGTGGGTTTTTCCTTTTTCTTTCCCTCGCAGATGGTAGACGACAGACGGTCAAGGTGCGGCAGGACCGGCCGACATGGGGCGCTACGCCCGTTCAGGAGAGTCCGTAAAGGTCCCAGGGATCACAACCCCTATTGCGGTGGATGCAAGGTACATTTTCTTCCTTAGAAAACCAAGCCAAACTGATGTACCACCAGGATCCACCGTACTAAGGTTTGTGATCCCTGGGACCTGGGTTGCGGCCGGGGGTTGCATTCCACCTCCCAATTTAGGCGACGGCGGTATCGCTTGGCGGCGGGTCTGTCCAATCAAGCACCCACACAATAATCTGGGCCTCAATATCGTGTTCCCACCTCCCATAACGAGAGCGACGCGGGCGGGCAATGCAAGGGCACCGAAAGACACTGGGGCGGCTGGCTGCAGCCGAGGTGCCAGCTCTCTGGAGTCGGGATAAGAAAAAGGGCTCAGCTTCCCCCTCGTCTCCCGTCCTGCCGTCTCCTCGTCTCCCCCCACGGCCCTCCCCTCGGTCACCTTGCTCGCTCGGGTGTCAGTTAGAACAAGCCCTCGCCCTGTCAAGATGAAGAACGCCATCGCCGCCGCGGCGCTGCTCGCCAGCACCCTCCCCGCGGTGCAGGGCCAGAAATGCATCCACCGCGTGACGGGCGAGCGGCTCGAGGCCGAGATGAAGGTCGAGGCTGTCCTTGAGCGGGCCCAGAAGCTCCAGGACATCGCCTACTCGACGCCCGGCCGCAACCGCCAGTGGCGGCAGCCCGGCTTCGACCTCACGATGGACTACGTCGAGGAGACGCTGAAGCAGACGAACTTCTACCACATTGAGCGCCAGCCGACCGTGTTCCGCGTGGCCCGCGACCCGGCAAACGTCACGGTCGACGGCGTCGACTACCCCAGCTCCGCCATGACCACCACGACGGGCAGGGAGCTCGTCCCCGGCGTGTTCAAGGGCGTCCCCATCGTCGTCGTCGGCGCCCTGGGGTGCGAGGCGGCCGACTACCCGGACGCGACGGGCGCCCTCACCCTCATCCTGCGCGGGTCCTGCTCCTTTGAGACCAAGTCGCAGCTGTCCAAGCGGGCGGGCGCGGTTGGCGCCATCGTGCGCAACGCGGCCGACAGCCCCTCGTTCGGCAACGGCGTCCTCGGCGACGACGTGGCCAGCCTCGTGCCCACGACCATGATGCGCTACGAGGACGGTGTGGCCCTGCTGGCGCGCGTGCAGGCCGGGCCCCCGGCGCTCGCGGACCTGGCGATCGAGTACGTCAACCTGACGAGCTACAACCTCATTGCGACCTCGCGGCGCGGCAACCAGAGCAACATCATCATGGCGGGCGCGCACGCCGACTCGGTCGAGGCCGGGCCCGGCGTCAACGACGACGGCAGCGGCACCGTCTCCATCCTCGAGACGGCGGTGCAGCTGGCCAAGTTTGGCCTCACCAACGCCGTCCGGTTCGCGTGGTGGACGGCCGAGGAGGACGGGCTGCTGGGGTCCTACTACTACACGCGCAACGCGCCCGCAGCCGAGCTGGCCAAGATCCGCGCCTACCTCAACTTCGACATGGTGGGCAGCAGCAATTTCGTCTATGGGATCCTGGACGGCGACGGCGACGCCTACGGCACCGCGGGGCCCGCGGGCTCGGCCGAGATCGAGGCGCTGTGGAAGGGCTACTTCGCGTCGCGCGGCCTGCCGTCGGACCCGTCCGAGTTCTCGGGCCGCAGCGACTACGCCGGGTTCCTCGACGCGGGCATCGCGTCGGGCGGGCTCACGACGGGCGCCGACGAGGTCAAGACGGCCGAGCAGGTGGCAAAGTACGGCGGCATCGAGGGCGCCATCCTGGACCCCTACTACCACACGGCCCAGGACACGGTCGCGAACCTTAACGGCACCGCCCTGGGCGTCATGGCCAAGGGCATCGCCTACGCCATCGGCACCTACGCCCGCAGCTTCGACGGCTTCCCCGTCCGCGCGCCTGCCGCCAGGCCGGAGATGAAGCCTTTTGGCCGCAGGGCCGACGCCGCGTCGTTCAGGCTTGGACCTCTTACCTTGTGGCGCATGTGAGGCGCTGTTCGGGGAGGATGATAAGTGGTGATGTACGCATGACGATGTTGGGACGGCTTGATGATGGTGGATGTGAAGCAAGGAAAATAATGAAAAAATAATGAAATCTCTCAGCTGTAGTGTAATGAGCGTTATGAAAGAACCATGAGGATTGGCAGTCTACCCACTTTGTGTGTTTGGGATTGGATGCTTCTTCATGTGGGTGGTCCATCTAATCTTTACGACTGCACCAATCATGCCCCATCTCATGCACGTCCATCTCCTCCAAACTTTGTCTTATCACGTCCCGCAGTCGTGACCCGGGCAGATCCAATACCGCCACCACCCCCGCACCGCTTATCTCGACCACATGCGCGAAGCTGCCGCCACCTGCGGGAGCCCGATCGGGAGACTTTTGCCAGATGGGAAGGCGCCCTCTACGTCAAGTGCACTTGTCTGGCTACGTCCCCCTCACGGGCCGCCGCCTATCTCGGCCTGGACGCTGTCCTTATTCGACCCGTGCTTCCTCCTCCTCTCTTCTTGCTTCGTCGCCGCCGGCCCGTCTAGGTCTTGTCAATCAAGGACGTCTGTGCCCCCCCTGGATCTCTTTGCCCGCGACTCCGATCGTCGAGCCCCAGTGTCCGGTTCACACAATTAGGCCCCGACTGGAACACCGAGCAGAAGGCGCACTTTGGTTAAAGAAACAGCAAAATTCGGACGAAAGCTTGTCGGAGTCGCCGTGCGCCTGCCACCCCCGAGCCTCCGCCAGCGCCGACTCGCACATGTCTGAAGACCTCTTCGGGTCGGGGATTGTGACGACCTGTGCCAAAATTCTTCAAAGGCAGTTCGGCAGCTGCCACCCATCCTGCCTTCTCGAAACCACACAGCCTCCTCGGCAAAGCGCTGAAGCGACCCCGACGTCATGACAGACAAGAAGATAGTTGGGGCCGAAAAGCCCGTGACGTCGGCCCTTGCGCCGGGAGAGGTGGCCGTCCTGGACCACAGGTACAACCGCGACGACGAGGTCCTCGCGGCCCTGGGTTATAAGTGAGTGCGGCAGCTGGGGGGAGCTCCCTCGGGGCACAGGCAAGAAGAAGCGCGTCAGAGATCTGGTGCTGAATAGCCGCCACAAGGCCCGAGTTCAAGCGCGAGTTTACGCTCTGGACGACATTTTGCGGTAGGTCGCCGAGGCCGTGATCCTGTTGCATGAGACAAACCGCCCGTGGAAATGCTCACGCTTGGACGCTGCGCTATTGCATGACAACTAGTGTCGTTTGCCGTCCTCGGCCTGCTACCGTCGTTCGCGTCAACGCTGTACTACGGCATGGGATATGCAGGAACCCCGGGCATGGTCTGGGGCTGGCTCGTCGCCCTGGTCTTTATCGCCTGCATAGCCGCGAGCATGGGTAAGGTCCCTCCCCCTGATCCGAACCCTGGCTACACGAACTCGAACACTGCGCTGACACCACCCACCCCCCACAGCCGAGCTCTGCTCCGCCATGCCAACCTCGGGCGGCCTCTACTACGCCAGCGCGGTCCTCGCCGGCCCGCGCTGGGGCCCGTTCGCGGCCTGGGTGACGGGCTGGTCCAACTGGCTGGGCCAGGTCTCGGGCGCGCCGTCGGTCAACTACGGCGTGGCCGCCATGGCGTGCGCGGCGGCCTCGGTGGCGGACCCGTCGTACGTGCCCGAGCACTGGCACGTCTTTTTGGTCACGCTTCTCCTGATGGTGGTGCACTCGGCCATGTCGTCCATGCCGACCCGCTGGCTCGCAACCTTCAACTCGGCCGGCTCGACCTTCAACATGGCCGCGCTCGTCGTCGTGGTCGTCCTCCTCCTCGCCGCGCCCGGCGGCAGCGCGCGCGAGGCCGCGGGGCTCCCGCGCTTCAACGCCTCGCGCGACGTCTGGGGCTCCTTCTACCCGGGCACGGGGTTCCCCGACGGCGTGGCGGTGCTCATGTCCTTCATCGCCGTCATCTGGACCATGAGCGGCTACGACTCGCCCTTCCACCTGAGCGAGGAGAGCAGCAACGCAAACGTGGCGGCGCCCCGCGCCATCGTGCTGACGGCCACCGTCGGCGGCGTCGTCGGCTGGGTCCTGCAGGTCGCCGTCGCCTACACCGTCGTCGACATTGGCGCCGCGCTCGCGTCGGACCTGGGCCAGCCGTGGGCCTCGTACCTGGTCCAGGTGCTGTCGCGCGACGCCGCGCTGGCCTGTCTTGCGCTTACCATCATCGCCGGCTTCTGCATGGGGCAGGGATGCATGATTGCCGCGTCTCGTGAGTGTGGTTGAATTCTGCTTCCTTTCTGTGTCGCCTTAATATCACGGAACGCTGCTGACACAAAGATCGATCTAGGTGTGTAAGTTGTCCATGTAATCCTGTCGACTGACGTGGAGAGACGCTCTTTTTCTAACCCGAGCCGTGACAGCACCTTTGCCTACGCCCGCGACGGATGCTTCCCCTTCGCCAGGGTTTGGGCCCGCGTGAACCAGACGACCAAGACGCCCGTCAACGCCGTCTGGATGAATTGTACCGTGGGATGCTTGATGCTGCTGCTAATGTTTGCCGGCGACCTCGCCATCGGCGCCATCTTCTCGGTATGATTTCCATACCATGCGCGCAACCTGTTTCATCGCTACAAGAGCAAGACTAACCATCAGAACCTCCTCCCCCCAACGAACAACAGATCGGCGCCCTCGCGGCCTTCTTCTCCTTCACGGTCCCCATCGCCATCCGCACCTACGTGGTGGGCGCGCGCTTCCGCCCGGGGCCGTGGCACCTGGGCCGGTACAGCTGGGTGTTCGGCACGCTCTCGACGGGCTTCACGGCCCTCATGATGCCCGTCCTCTGCCTGCCCACCGCCACGGGCGACGACCTGAGCGCCGGCACCATGAACTGGACCGTCGTGGTCTGGGGCGTGCCCATGCTGCTCGCCGTCGCCTGGTTCGTCGTCGACGCCCACAGGTGGTTCAAGGGCCCCAGGATCAACGTCGAGCACATGCTGGCCGGGCCCGAGCGGGAGGCGCACATCATCCGGGGCACCGAGGCGGCCGCGAGCGTCAAAGAGTCCGTATAGGTGGGGAGGGACAGGACGAGGTTTGGAGAATGCCGAGTGCAGTGTTCATGATGACGCGCGATGCAGCATTTCGTGTCCATGTTTCAAGTCGGAATGCCGTTTCTATTGTATTTGTCTATGCCACCCCCCCAAAAGAAAAGCCTAGAACAAAGACGTTAACGTCGTTATGCCAAGCCCTTGCCAAGGGCTGGCTTCCCAAATAACAAGTCCCAAAAAAGCAAAATGCCAGAAAAGAGACGCGGCCGCCCAAGCACCGGTATGCGACGGGTAAAAAGAAAGAGCTCAAGCCCACTTCCCAAGGGCCGACATGATGACGATGCCGCCCACCAGGCCGGCGAGGGCCAGCGCGGTGGTGACGGGCCCCGTGTGCAGCAGCTCGGCGCCGGGCAGCATCCAGTCCTCGGCCCACATCTCGACGACGCCGACCCAGACGAGGATGCCGGCCGAGACGGCGTCGAGGGTGCCGATGGCCAGGATCGTGGACCTGTTGTTCCCGTTGAACTGCTGCAGCGCGCCGATGCCGATGGCCATGCCGACGGGGGTGACGAGGGCAAAGGGCGACGCGAGCAGGAGCTTCCCGCCGAGGGAGAAGTGGGCCGTCGTCCGCGGGTCGTTGTCGGTGATGGGCTGCTCGGTCGAGGCCGTCGTGGACCCGTCGTTGATCTTATTCTCGGACTCGGTCGGGCGGGCGGCGGCGGCGGCGGCGGCGTGCGCGTCCTGCTCCTTGTTGGTGCCCAGGGCGGCGATGCGGGAGCCGAGCGCGATGCCCTCGAACATCTGGTGGAAGAGGATGACGACGAAGAGGGTCAGGAAGAAGCTGTCCCCGGCGACGACGAGGGTGATGCCGATTACTGGCGGAGAGAAAAGTCATGATCAGCACGCAAGGCACGTAAATGTGATGGACGGGGCGCTTTATGGGAGAGCGTCTCTCTTACGGATAGAGTGAAAGATGATGCCGCACTCAAGCACCAGCACCGTCACCGTCTCGGGCGAGAGCCTGGAGACGCGACCCGGCGCGCGGGCGGCGCGGGCGAGCACGACGCGCTTGCCGACGTACTCGACGGCGAAGGAGAGGAAGATGCCGGCCATGACGATGGCGGACGTGACGCCCTCGTACTCGAGGCGGCCGAGGCACTCGTTCGCAAACATGAGCTGGGCGTGCGTGTAGAGGTGCACGAACGCGGTCGAGATGATGACCCCCGTGCCGAACTGCTTGAGCACCAGGAAAGCCGTGTGCGTGCGCGCGGGCCACCAGCGGATCAGGAGGATGGGCATGAAGACGCCAAAGGCGCTCGTCGCCATGATGACGAAGATGAGGCCGACGCGCAGCGGGATGTTGTAGTCGCGGTTCACCTTTTCGCAGCTGCCCTCCTCGGACTCGGAGCCGCCGGTGCAGTGCCTGGATGGGGTCGCCGGGTTAGCACATGTCTTTATGAAGTCCCCCAGGGAAGCACACGGCAGTCCAGGTAGATGACGGACTTACTCAACGCCTGCATGAAAGTGGCAGTGGCGGTTGGAGCCGCTGGCATTACCACTTCCACTGTTACCGTTGGCACCGCTCGAGGTGCTTGCGCCCTGGACTCGAATCTCGACTTCTCCGCCGCCAGGTGCCATGCAGAACCTACTCAAAGTCAGTCTCTGTCGCCTCAACACAGCCAGTACCTAGTGGTACTTGGAGAGACAAATAAACTTACGTGTTGGAGCCGTGAGCATGGCAATCCGTGTAGGTAGCAGGCGGCTCCGTCGTAGCAGTGGCGCCAATGACCTGGAACTCGGTCGTTCCCCACATGCAGAATCTGTGGCACAGTCAGGACGGGTGCTCAAGGGAACACAAGGGGTGCGGAAGGATGGGCAACTCACACGTCACTTCCGTGCTTGTGACATCCGGACACGGCGGTGGGAAGACCGGTAACGGCGGCAGCACTGGTCGCCGACGTGGGGGCCGGGGTCATCGCGGCCGAGGCGGCAGCGGCGGAAGCAGGCAGAATCTGGACCTCGCCTCCAGGATAGTTGCACCACCTGAACACGGCCATCAGCAACAAGGTCGACGACGGACGCCCGAGGCCTCTCAGTGAATAAACTCACAGGTCGCTATTATGCTTGTGGCAGCCGGTGTAGGAGCTCGGCGGGCCGCCCGTGGGCATGGCCACCACCCTGAACTCGGTCGTGCCCGCGGTGCAGATCCTGTGACGACGGCTTGTTAGAAGACTGAGCCGCCTTGGTGTGCGTCGACAATGGCAGCGGCCGGCTTCCGGGTGGAACTCACTGGGTGGACGATCGGACAGAGCACAGTGATACCGCTGTCGGGTCGGGAGCGGCGACGGCGCCCGTGGTCTGCCGTGCGACGAGGGAGGCGACAGCGCTGCCGCTGCTGGCAAAAAGCGCCGCGACGGCGACGCGGACCAGAGCTCGCGTCATCATGTCCCTACTTTGTCCAGATTATCATTAAAATCCTGACGGCATGAGAGTCCGGTCGAAGGGGCCTGATTCGCGCGCGTTGTCGATGTGCCAAAGGTCTTTCTCTTGTATATTTATGCGAGGGTGGCGGCCCTCTTGCTTTTTCAAGGCGGAGGTTGGTAGGAGGTACCTGGCGGGGAGCCAAGGTCCCAGGCGAGAGAGAAAACGGGCAAAACAAAGTCCTCCTTCGGTGGGGTTGACCAAGGGTCCCCAGGCCAGGAGGAGCAAGTCACAGCCCCAGTGTTGTAGGCACCCTGATGGAAATTCGACAGAACAGGATACAAGCCCGGTTCTTCTCAGTTCATAAGAAATGTTTATAATCGAGAAAACGGGGTTACCGCGGTAGTGAAGCTGATAAAAAGCAGATATCGGTCATGGGAAAGGAAAGAATTACATATACATCAGCTAAGGTGGGCGCCAGTCCTGGGCCACCATTCTAACCAGGCTAGCGTCCAGATGGTACCTAGCCGGTACTGGTACAACTCGCGAAAACCGGGAGGGGTCGTTGACCATATGTTGCTCCCTAGCTATGGTGAAGCAGGAGGGGATGTGCTTCCTCGCGCGCCAATAATAGCCTCCTGGGCAACATCCACATGCTGATCTATGAGAGAGACATCGTCAGAGGCTAACTACAGGTACTATTTCCATGATCCTGTTTGCTTTCCGTATTAATGCCCTCGGGAAGGGGGAGCCAGCCCGCTAAGAGGGTTGCGCAACACTTCCCACTCGGAATGACGGACAAGGGGAACGGGCGAAAACCTGCGAGCGGAAAAAAAAAAGAAAAAAAGCGGCTGGCAGACATCCTAACGGGCGGGGTCGTTTGCGTTGTCGCCAAGACCATGGCTCCATCTAAAGCGAGAACCTTGATGGCCGGCCTGGGTTGTCGACACCATTGGCCGCATTCCTCTTAGCCTCTTCCCTCGGTCGGAACGTCGCTCTCCACCGCCAAGCTGATGAGCAGTCCAGTGAAGAGCATCTGAGAACCCTGATGGGCAGCAAGGACGCCCCGCCCCCAAATGTCGACATTTCGTCCACGCCGCGCGCACCCTGATGGTCGGCTGTGTGCACATCCCCACACCTCCTTTTTTGGCTTTGCGCAAACTCACCAGTGCCGCCCTGCTCACGTTTTCTCATCATTTCATCATCTCATCCACGATGGGACCCTTTTTCGTCCCACGCACGTGGTCTTGGTTTCGGGGCATCCCGCCAAAGCCTCGTGCCGTTCTATCCCCGTTTTGTTTCGTTTTTCTTTGTTTCGTTCCTGTGCGTGCTTTGTGAACTGTAAAACCCTAACCGGAGCTCTGGGCCCAAAGATGAACAAAAACGCTCCAACGGTCGGTTGCGTCAGTTGTTGTTTTTCTTTGTGATCTGCATGATTGTCACAGGCTCGTTTTTCCAGCTGCCAGCTGGGCGGGAGGTGCTATTTTGTGTGATGTCTGCACGTTTTCGGTGCTCCGGTTGCATTCCGTCCTTCTATGGTAGGTATTTACTGGAATCCATGTGAAAACGCATTAAAAACTGGCTCTCTCCCTTGCCTAGTGTGACTAGGGGAGATAGAAGAAGAGAATATGTCATTATGTCCATTATTTCCGTCCCGGTGTCCCCACGTTCCAACGCCTTTTTAGACCCCAGCTCAGGAAGCAGAAAACGTCAATGCTCAGAGAACAAAGATGGCACCAGCAGCGGCGGCGACCGCAACGGCAGCGGCGTCAGCCCAGGCGCGTCCAGCCCCAGCCGCAGCGGGCGCGGTGCCCGAGGCGGCGCCAGTCCGAGTGGTGGAGGCCGATCCCGACGTGGCGGCAGCGGCGCTGTTGGACGAGGTAGTAGTGGTGGTGGCAGAGGCAGCAGCACCCGAGGCGATGGCGGTGCGCGGGCCCGAGCAGTGCCAGTGGTCGCCGTGGGGCTCGCATCCGAGCGAGGCGGTGGGCGATGGCGGCAGGACGCCGCCAGAGCTGTGGTCGTGGTGGTCGTCATCGTGGTCGTGGTCGCCATCATGGTGGGCGCTCTTGGAGCTCGTCGTCGCCGCGGCTGACTGGCTCGCGCTTCCGGCGCTGGCGGCCGCCGTGGTGCGGGGGCCGTCGCAGTGCCAGTGGTCGCCGTGGGGCTGGCAGTTGACGGACGCGGTCGGGGAGGGCGGCAGGGTCTGGGCCGTGCCGACGGACGCGAGGCCGAGGGCGGCGAGGAGCCGGAGGAGCTGCATCTTGGATGTGTGTGCGGGGCTTGGGCTTTGGGGGGATGCGAGGTTTGGAGCACGCTTATAGTGTGGCCTGGAGAGTAGGTAGGTAGGTAAGTTCTGCGTGGTGGTTGGTAGGTCGGCAGGTGCGTGAGGCGGGTCGAATATGGGTGGATTTATATAGGGGAGGTACCAAGGAAGGACTGTTAATTCCCAAGTTTGTTGCTCACCCGGGCGGCTGAAAAGTCAAACGAGCTTGCCAGGTGTGGTCATCAAAGTGAGCCAGCGGTGAATGACACCTAGGCTGGGCTTCATGGCATTCCATCATTCCTAGGATCCCCTCTCAAGTTTGGCCCCGTCTTCGTCCCCCCACTGCGCCTCCGCGAGTTGGCTACCCCATCTAGCCGCAGTTTGGGCACCTTGATGTCCTCCGAGTCACCCAAGTAGATACATGTACTTGTACATCAGCCACATGCTCCGACGACCCCCTCCGAGCAGACCTCGCCCCACGTCGCAGTCCTGGTGGTGGGTAGACTCCCGTTCCCCTGTCCAGACCTTGCATATCCCTCGGTCATTTACATCACATATCCTTTCCTCCGCCCCTCCTCCCTCCCCATTCTAGCACTCAAACAAACGCGCAACATAGCAGACGGCCCCCCGAACGGCGGCTTGGCGGCGCTGGTGGCGGCGCTGGTGGCGGGGCGCTAAGGAGGCCGAATCCTTCCCAGCCTGACCAGGCCACCTGAGCATGACCAAGACGGCTGCTAACATTCGCCAGCCCCGGGCTTGGCTACAACTGCATATCCGCTGAGTCTTGGCGGAGTTGCTTTTCGGTCAACTGAGACCATCAAGGCAGGTTGCGACGTATACCTCCCAGTTAAGCTCTTACTCGGTGCCCGCCGAGGTGGCGTACAGGTGGTGTTCCCGAGCCCGATCTGCGAGCTAGGGCGCTGCTATTGTTGCTCAAAGAGACCAGATACGTACCGAACCGATAAGCAGCCACTAAATACCGCAGTGCCTCTCGGCGCCGGCCCACCGTGACCGGATCATCCATCCTGGGCAAAAAGCGGGCGGACCGATCATGCCCCTCGACCTCTCTGCAGCCACATCAGCATGTTCAAGCTGTTCGCCTTGTCAAAATGGGTGTCCGAGTCCTGGACGTGTGCGAGGTGCAAAAGGCATTTGTCTCCTCCAAGCCCCCTTGAATCCTTCGTTTCCGCCAACTTCTGAATACCAAGCAACCGGACAAACGGCGTCGGGTTCCCAATGAAGGACACAGACTGGAGACACTTTGAGACCACAGTGGCGAGGGATCACGCCGGACAACATTTTTGGAAGTCCACGGATTCAATCAGCAATGGAACCATGCCTCACCCAACATCCATACACGACCAGACAGGCCCGGGCACTAAGTGATACAGCGGAACATGGACAGTTCATTTACATTGCCATGTAAAACGTACATACCGCCATCCAATACCCCAATTAAACATACAAGGCGGGCATACATACATAGAGGTATACGCGTGGTGAGGCGCCTCCCTTTCTCGTAACAAAAAGTCGGCGACAGCCACAGTGGGTGACCGCTAGGGTACGTCCCAGGCCAAGATCAGTTAAGACGAGGCCATCCATCCCGCACGCAGGACGAAGAAAGGATATAAAAAACTGTAGTCTAAGCCAAGATCCGAGTCGGCGCAAAATTTTTCCAACAAAAGTATACAAAAACAGGACATTTATCGAAGGAATCATGGTGTGGACAAGCCTTGTGACGACACGGCTTGCCAAAGGGTCATGGGGGCATGACCACATGAGACTACTTCGCCTTATTGACGTTCCCAGCCATCCGCCGGCGCCTTGTAGCTGGCGGGTGACGCGACGGTGGGCTGATTGGTGACGGCCTCGGACCCGGGCGAGAGGGGCGAGACCTCAAAAGCCAGGTCCGAGTTCTCAGAGGGCGTTGGCCCCGCGTCGCTGTTGGTGCGAAGCTTCTGGAGCGTTGCGCTAGGCCTACGAACCCCAGGGCCGAAAGGGTGGTACTGGCTCGATGTGGACGGCATGGGGGGAATGTCCGTTTCGCTATTGTGCTGTTGGTACATGCTGTAGACGCTGCCGTACGATATGGCCTCGCTCTGCCGAACCGTCGAGGGCGAGGGCGGGGTTTGGCGAGTCGAGTCGGACCAGCGCGACACCATGCCCGCATTAGGGTTGGCTACAGGGGCGGGCACGTTCACGAGAGGGTCGACGCTGTCGAGAGGGTCGACGCTGTCGAGATCGTCGTTGCCGGTGTTGTAGGTCCCGGTGGCAGGAAGCGGTGGCACGGGTGGCAGCGGGGATGTGGGCCTGAAGCCTTCGGGAAAGGGGCCCGAGGCGCGTATGGTAGAACCTGTCGAGGACCTAGCCCAGGAGGGCGCCGTGAACCGAGATGTCCACGAGGCTCGCGTCGGGGAAGTTGGCGTCTTTGTGCCACGGATCCAGCTGGCAATAGTCCCCCTTCCGCCCTGCTCCTGCGTCTGGAAATCCTGCTCCTGACCCTGGTATTGCTCCCGCTGTACCTCCATCTTCTTTTCAGCGGGGTACTCTGCCGAAGCCGTCGAGTTGTAGTCGCTGCCGTACATGCCGCCCTGTCCGTTCTCGGCGGCGTACACGGCAGCAAACATGTCGTTCATTATCTGCGAGTTCGTCTTGGGATCGATTGTGGCGCCGGTAGTTCCAGGCATGCCCATGGCCGTACCAGCTGCCACAGGCACACCAGTCATAACGGCCGCGGAGCCGCCTGCGGTGCCGTCCCGGCTACCGGAAGAGCCCAACGTGTAAGGCTTGCTGAGATAGTCGCTATCTTGCCTCCGCTTGTACACCTTGTAGCCGTAGAACATCAGGGCAGAGAAGAAGGCGGTGCCGGCTGCCACACAACATTAGCTTCCAAGGACGAGTCTTCGGAGGGGAGCAGGAGGACTTACCAACGGACCCGACCGCGATGCCGGCGTGAAGGCCGGCACCGCCGTCGCCCGCCCGCGCCGGGGCCGCAACAGGCGAAGCAACACCGTCGGTGGGTTGAGGTTCGGAAACACCAGAATCAACAGTCGAGGTCAGCGGCTGACCAGAGGCGGACGCAGTCGGCCCCAGCTGGAGCTGCGGCCCTGCAGTCGTCACAGGCGCAGACGCAGATGAACGGGTGCTTTTTTGGATGGCAATTGCGGTTTCCTTGAAGGGAAGGCTTGTGCTCGAAGGCGCGTCGGGGGACGGAGTCGGCACAACCGAAACGACCATGGTCGTCTGCGAGGAGGTAGACAACCCTGGCAATGGGACGGTCGTGACCGGGGGGTTAGACGGTCGTGAGCTCGACACATCAGCCGGGTTCTGCACAGGAGGCGGTAGCCTATCAGGAGATGGCGCAGAAGGCGGCGAGTTGGTAGCTTGAGCAGGTCGTGTGCTGATGGTCAGAGCAGGCGGAGTAGGGATCGGGACTGTTGTCACGGGAGGATTCGGGCGCTGGCTAGTTGTCGAGCTTGTTGAGCTTGTCGAGCTTGTCAAGCTTGTCAAGCTTGTCGAGCTTGTCGAGCTTGTCGAGCTTGTCGACGAAGGCGGGGCTTGCGGAGGCGGCGGAGGATGTGGGTTCTGGTTTCCTGGTCGAGAAGGCGGCGGCGGCGGCGGCGGCAGACCCGTCTCCCGTGCAGGAGGGGGTGTTGCTTGTGCTGGTGGTGCCGTCGCCTGGGGAGGTGGCGCCGTGGAGGACTTTGGTGTGCCAGGCGAGGTAGGCGAGTCTGGCGACTTGGGTTCCTTGGGAACCTTCTTCTCGTCGTCATCTGAGCGAGGCTCCTGGGCGTCCTGTGCCTGCCTGCGCCGCAGCGCATCGCGGTCCAGATCCTTCACGCCCCTGGCTGTTCTGGCGCGCCTGAGCCTGAAGCCTGCGTCCATTTCCATGTGTGCGGGAGCCATCGTCGTCTCGGTAAAGATGACGCAGAATGTTGTCGTCGAGTCCTGAGCTTTCCAAGCAGGCTTTAATCGAGGTGGTCTGTCTGTGCCAACCACATGTGATGGGCTATTCTCCACTGTCAACCTAGTTCGATGCCGGATATGTCGTCGTGTGATGTCGCAGGGAGTCGCTCCAGGCCGTGGTGGTTACGGGAAAAAGTCCGCCGGGGAGTGGTGTCAAATCGGTGTGGAAAATACAAGAATACGTGGGCCCAGCCCCGAGGGTAAACTGAAGCGAAGGAAGAGAGAAACAATACAAAGAAAGCGAATGAAACTATCACCACATCTGATAATGTAGTGTTGAACCCCCTCAAGAGACCCAAAAGGCAGATTGCAAGCCAGTGGGAGAGATGAGGGGGAAAGGAGAGAAAGAAAGAAAGAACAGACAACAGCCACCAGATCGACACTCGTCAGAGACAGGAGGAGAGCAAGGGCTTATTGGGAAGCGAGCGGCAATTAGGGGAGGTGGGGCGGACTGGACCTTGCAGCCGCGTCGCCCAGGTCGCATGCCCATCGCGGATCGCCCTTGTCGAGGGGCAGACGGGTGAGTGGCATCGGTTGGGCGTGGCGCACATACTGCCAGTCACCCTGCCACCACGGGCTGGTTCCTGGGGTTTCATGGGTGGAGCATGAGGAGGCTCTCGCCACGGCCTTGCCTGTAGCTCAACCAGCACGGCTCCCTCAACCTGCGACTCGCCGTGTGGGGTCTTCGTCGCAGAGGTGGAGCCAGAGGCCCGGGTCTGATTGGTCCGCTGTTGTGGCTGCAGCCCTGGCACGCCTCCCCAAGCCGCATCCCCTGCTAGCACGTCTCAGACGGACCTGATCGCCTGTGTGGCTTCCCTGGCCCGGCTGGCCGATGCAGGAGGCTTGACGATGAGGACTTTGGGGCTCCCTCTCACACGGCGAACTCGCTTGTTGGTTGGAGTGGCTGACTGCCTGTAGGTCTTGCTCAAGCACTGGCCCAAGCACGGGCTGCCTTGGACTCCCGTCGATCGGCTGCTCTTGCCTCCTCGATAATGGATAGTGCCTCGTCCGGCCCCATCGATCGTTCGGCTCTGGCAGTGTTTAATCTGGCAGACGCGCCAACAAGATTAAATCATGTCGAGGCCGCTTCTGCGTGTTTGCTACATCTTGTGTCAGTGGAACCGCCAATTTCGGGTCGAAACAATTGCACTGGCGTAAATAAAACCAAGTTTCAGTGCCCGACACTTTCGAGAACGACACAAACATAGAGGCGCACCTCGAGCACCGCCACGGCTGTTGACAGCTTCGGAACGCGCCTGTCCCGTCCACGTCTGGTTCCTGCGGGCGGTGCGCTGGCTGCCGGATTGACACCGTCCGATATGTTTGACGGGCATGCACGCTTGGCAGGGACGGCACCGGACGGGAAACGGCCCTTGGTGCAAAGGCGAGGCCACGGAACTGTTGCAAGCCCAGGGCCACAGCAGGGCCACAGCAGGGCCACAGCAGGGCCACAGCAGGGCCACAACAGGCCCACACGCAAGACGCAAGACAGGCCAAAAGTTTATCCATATTGAGGTCATGCCAGATGTAGTGCCGAGAGAAAGAAGCCCATTCGATGGATCCCAAGAGCCTCCTCTCCACCTGTGGCTCCGACGGCCCCCATTCTACAGTGGTTGTATACGAAAGAAACCACCCACCCCCCAGTCAATCGCCAAGCCCGCTGTGGTCGCGCCTTACCCAATACAGCCTAAGCAAGCCAAGGCACCCATCCCCTGCTTGAAAAGGTACTTCCTGCAACCCGACAGAAAACTGCTCAAACTTGTGCCCGTCAATGAGCTGATCCCTTGTCGCGGGCCAGTCAGGGTGCCACTTTTAAGTGGGTGGGTGGTTATATACCCATCACACCTAGTACTAAAGTGGGTGCCGATAACACGCACGATTCATCTTCATGCTCTGGCCTGTGCTGTCCTTGACGTCCGCCTCCTCTGGCCGGCCTCCCTCAACCAGAGCGTCGTTTGCCTCCCGAACATTTTACCGGAATGGATTGGTTCTAATGCACTTCTGCATGGCAATTTCCCGTACTATGGATTTCGCGCTGTGCCGCGGCCGCCGAGTTCCAGCATTGCTTGTAAAAGTGCCACGCTCGATCTAGACAAATGACAGTCAGACTGGCAGCACGCGCGAAGAACAACTGCCGGGAATCAACAATCGTCCTCACATTTTGGCTTTCCCAAAAATAGTCTCACTATATCGATGCTTCCAATGCACAAAATTTAGTTATCGTCCATTGTCGTCCGTACCAGGCACAAATAGCTTGCGCCCAAACTAAATGTAAATACGTACAACTTTATCCATTCGATAAGCAATCTTGCATTAATCCAAAAATAGCATGTGCTGCCGTCCCGTGGCCGGCTTACGACGACGGGAAACGGGTTATGGCAACGGTTGGTTGCTGAATGAAAAGCACGTCTGATGAACCTCTGATGGACCTCCAAGCCCTCGCACGGCTCCCAGCGTTGACGGTTGCACTCGCCTACCGCCCTACCTGGCCGGGCATTCGTTCGACCTATCAACCAATCGATTCGCTCAGCGAGACGCCGACCAACGTTTAGACCCAACCTCGGTTTCGGGTCGAAGAAGCTTTCTGTGTTCAGCCTCCCGTCTGTGAATCCCCAACCGCCAGACCAGCCTGTCCCGGGTTTGTTTGCGGAGGGCTAGCAGAAAGCTTAGGGACAATCAGGAGTCGGCATTGAGAGCCGGCGGGTGCTGCCACCAACCACAGCCGCCTGCGTAGGGCCGCCCCGCAGGGCCGGCGCACCTGAGGGTTTCGTCAGGGTCGGCGAGCCGGGATCAGCGCCCGCGCGTAGGGGGCGATCATGCCCGCATCTTGACTCGCTGGCGCCCACCTCTGCCCTGCCAGCGCCCTGCTACCCGAAACCGTTTCGCGAGACTGATGCGTCTTGTGTCTGTACATATGGCTGACAGCCCGCCTCGCCGGCTCTCATCATGTCCGTTTTCAGACCACGAGCCTGGCTGCTCGTTGTCATCTCCCCTTCAATTCGTCCAAGCATTGTTCCAAGACTAAACATCCCTCCTCCCCCGAGACTTCACCCGATAACATCCAGCCCGACGCACGGCCACGGCCAAGCTACAATACAGCCATGCTCAGCAAGTTCCGGAGAAGCGTGATGCCGAAGAACGAGGCGGGGCCGGCAGACATGACGTACCACGCCCCGTCCCGGCCGGGCGAGCCATGCCACGCCTGCGGGCGGCCCATGCCTTCCATGGCAGAGCTGCCGCCCTCGCCACCCCTGACGGCGTCGCCACCGCCGAGCGTCGGGGACGACTACTACTTTGAGGACAACACCAGGCAGAACGAGGAGGCGTGGTCATCCCTGAACAACAGCAACCACCACAGCAGCAACAGCAACAACAGCATCATCACCACGGCCACCTCCACGCCCGAGGTCGCGCTAGGGCTGCAGTTCCGGCCGCTAGTACGGCAGGGCACGTGGACGTCCAGCATCTACTCGCCCCAGACCCCTGTCTCCAGCGGCAAGGACGCGGGCTGGTACAGCCGCACCAACATGGCGCGGTCGGGCCAGGTGCGGCTGCTGAGCACGGCCATCGAGCGCGTCGACGAGGACAGCGAGTACGCCTTTGACCTGCCCAAGCGCACGCTCAGCAACTACTCGCAGTCGTTTGAGACGCCCGGCAGCCGCGTCGTGTCCAACGACGAGCAGATGCAGCAGCAGCAGCAGCTCCTGGCGACGCCGCCCACACAGCCGCTGCGCTTCCCGCAGGGCCTGGCCATCCTGGCCGCGCAGGAGGGCGGCCCGGCTGCGGCGGCGGACGAGGACATCTCGCCGTCCAATGTTGAGGCGCCCGCCAACAACCTTACCCGGCCGCCACCCATGCCGATGGGGGCGCCGCCGCCGCCGCCACCGCGCTGGAGAAGGCGCACCATCAGCAGCATATTCCACCGGGACTCGAAGCCCTCTTCCATCAAGAGCCGGGGCAGGAGGTCCATCTCGTCCCTGTATTGACCAGTATCGGGTGGGGGAGGAGCGCTGGCAGCCCCGTATGCACCTGGCTTACACCACTTAATGACCTGTCTCCTTTGTCACTCGGCAGTAATTAGAAGCTCGGCTAGCACAGCTGGAGAGAGATACCCTTGGCTTGGAACAAATATCATATCGTATTTGCATCGCTTTGCCCTAAATTCAAAGAAACTTTGACTGTTATGTTTGGTTATGGTGCTCTGACGCGTCAACACGGTATTCTTTTGATGTAGCATGTGAACCGTCTCGTTTCCTTTGTGCTAATTTTAGCACGGTGCCCAAGATTCTTCATCTTGGTGGCAGCCTCATTTTGGACCTTTGCGCTGGCTCTTTATGCACTGGACAAAGGCGACAAATATCACAACATGGACTATGAGCTGCCTGATTGGCTAAAATATTCGTTTGCGTACGAAATGCAGCCTCCAAAACCGCCTTTGGTCTCTCGATTTTCCTTTTCTTTTCCTTCTTCCAACTGTATTTACTTCATCGCCACTTGCAACTTTCACCTTGATTTTGACCTGCGCTGGCCGCACACGACACCCAACATAACTTAGCTACAAAAAATCGGCAACCACCCGAAGCAAGTATGCCTATCATAGAGCCGAAGGGTACGGATCCTTACAGTCTCCGCAACATCACGTCCCACCACTTGAGCAGAGTGACATTGCGGGGTTGCCTGGAAGTCCTTTTTCTCTGCATCTTTCCTGGTCTGGCTTTAATCTTCTCCCGTAAGTAACAGCCCTACTGGCACACGACACGAGATATATCACTGCTGATTACTTGACGTGAACAAACAGTTCTCTGTCTCACGGGTTGCGTCACTGATGTAGCGCGGACCCCTGACTTTTTTGTTGTCTCCCTGGCGGAGAACATCAACACTACGGACGAGATCACCATCCAGGTCGGCTATTTTGGTAAGAAAGTCTCATCAACTCCCCGCTTTGTATCCTTCACAAGCTGACAGGCTCCCCGGTACAGGAATGTGCCTCCGCGTTCCCTCGGCCGGCCCAATCTGTAAATCCACGGCCTTCCTGCCCAAGAACCAGCTCTCGGCCGCCTTCCTACCCTCCCCCGTCGGAAACCTCACCAACACGACCGCCGCCCCCATTCTACAAGCCGCTCGCACCTTGCAGGAAGACAAGATCCTGGCGCCATTCCTGCTCGCCCCCGTGGTCCTCCTCGCAGCAACCTGCGCCTTGTCCTCTTGGTACCAGAAAGCACCCCACAACAAGATACCACGCTACGGCCTGGCCATTTCTGCCTGGGCCGCGGCGGCGGCCGCCTCCCTCTCGTCCGCCGCCACCACCCAGGCCGGCGCCGCGCTCGCCTACGCCGCCGCCGGCATCCACGGCCTCGCCGTCGCGGCTCCGTCCTCCCTGGACGACGACGGGGCCGTGTCGTCGGCGCCGCCGGCCGCGTTCGCGTCGCGGCTCGTCACCCGCGGCGCCCCGCTCGAGGGGCTGCAGTGGGCTGCGGCGGGGTTCCAGGTCTTGACCGCGGGCTACGCCATGGCCATGATCTACTCCGCCAGGTTCGGGCGCAAGGACGGCCCTAAGCAGGTGTCGGCGCCCGTCATCAACCGCTATTATGAACAGACGCCTGCAATGAGCCGCCATCAGCAGACGTACGCCGTCGACCGGAATGAGCGGGCACCCGTCATCAGCCACCCGGAGCCGGCGCCCGCCATCAGCCGCCCGCGTCAGAGCTATAACACAGATGCCAGCTCCAGATACTCTCAGTTCTCTGAAACTCACAACGTTATCTGATGACACGGCTCTCGGCAGGGTGCCGGTACAGTCGCTGCCTCGCTAAACAAACACATCAACCTTGGCGCTTGGTCCAAGGGGTCGACAGAGTTTCTTTTCCTAATGTGTAGATAGAGAGCTGTTACGAAGCAACGATGGAATCTAATAACCTGACTGCATGCATTTGATGGCGTGTCCGCCGACAGGCTGTGCATTTTGCCAGATGGACCTGATAGGAGGGAGGTAGGCTCGCAGTTTCAGGGCGCTGTTTTTATTTCCTTTTTTTCCTTGCGCAAGTCTGCCAGCCTTGCGTCGTAGGGAATCTCGTAATGGAGAACGGTGGTTATTGAGACCTCTTGGCACCAGCGGGATGGGAGGGAATGGTGCGATTAATAAGGACAATGTTGCTACTATCCAGGCCTTCGAATGCACACAGAAAACAAACAGCACATCTCTTCACGGCGGTCAGGCCTCAGGCGGTTGTCAGATGCAGGGGCCTTCCTGTCGTGGTGTTTGGGTGACGTCGGCTAACTTTATTGGGCGGGCTAGCAGCATGGACTGCTGCCTGTGGCACGTGATGCAGCAACAATTGCACCCTTCCACGCCCGACGTGACGTCTCCCATGCCCAAGGCCTCACGCTAAAGACTGTCGCGTCTCGGGCACAACCGAGGCGGGCTAGCCTCAAATCGGGTTGAGAACGTGACTCTATTTCCTGGGCGCTTCGATGCTTTTTTCGTCTCCTTTGTTTTCTGTTTTGACCTTCCCAGGCCGTCATCCGGCACCGCACCACGTGCATCTTGTCTTGCCGCACGTGCGGGCTACCCGCGGTGCCCACCCAATATCAGACTTGGCACTGAGCCAGCGCGAGAGTTACGGGCCGACGAGACAATGGCGGTCACCGCCCGCCCGTCGTGGCGGCCGTTCCCGGTGTCGCACCGCAGCATTCCCAACCTGCTGGTGTCGGCCTCGTTCAGCACGACGCCGGTATCGTACTCGGTACACATCACGGACCTCGCCAACGTCTGGCGCGAGAGCCTGGACCGCAAGGCCATCCTGCTCCGCTGCCTGCAGGAGAACACCAGCATCGACCCCAGCGACGACCCGGAGAACTTCAAGGAGCTGCTGCGCTGGATCGAGGCCGCCTTCGACCCGGACTCCCCGAACCACGCCGACACGGCCCTCGCCCTATCGTCCACCGGCCCGAACGACGGCGCCGCGCCCGCGGACCTCCTGCTCGAGGTCACCTGCGTCCTGCCCGCCGGCTTCAGGCCCCTCAAGTGGCCCGTCCGCCTCAGGCACGGCGGCGCCGCGGCGCTCGTGGCGGACCTGGTCCTGCCCTTGGTGCAGGCCCACCTGACGCGCTCGCAGGAGGTCGAGGCGCTGCTCGGGGTCGTCCGCGAGAAGGACGGGGTCATATCGCGCGTCGTCGACAAGCTCGAGAGCACGGGCGCGCGCATGGAGCACGTCTTTAGCGCGCTCGTCAACACGGGCAAGAAGAAGATCACGCGCGCCGTCGCCGAGGCCCGCGTCAAGGGCCTGGCGCCCTTTGACGCGGCTGGCTTCAAGAGGAAGTTCAGGGGTGGCGGCGTCGGCGACGACGACGCGCACGACGGCGAGGAGGACGGGCCGGGGAACAGCCGCATAAAGGGGCCCGTCCCGGCGCGCGACGTCAAGGATCTGATGGACAACGTCTTCGAGCCGGCTCTCCAGCGTCATCCTTCTCTGGAGTATCCGGAGTGGCCCGCGCTCGACAACTGGTGGAGCGAGATACAGGAGGGATCCGGGGATAAGGTCCGGCTCGTGCAGAGAAATAGGGTCTCCTCTTCGAGAAAAACGCCACCTCCGAGCGAACGGCGTCGGAGCGGGGACGACGACGACGACGACGACTTCGAGGTTCAGGCAACACCCCCGCACCTGCTGTCTGCCCGCAGGGCAGAGCAGGCCAAGAAACAAGCGCCGCCATCCGTCAACGACGACGAGTCCACAGACAGCGGGGGCGAGGGCAATACCCAGATCCCCGACAGCAACCCGCCGCCCAAGATCACTACACCGACAAAGTCGAAGAAACGCATGGGGGCCATTGGAAGAGGAAAGGAGCCCGAGCGCGAGCCCGACCCAGAGGCCGAGACGGCATCGGAAGGCGAGGCAGCGGAAGCGCCTCGCCCTCGTGCCGAGGCGGTTGCTATGAAGGATGGCGCCGGGTCAGAAACGGCCTCGGACGCCGACGAGCCGGTGGTGGTGGACCTGTCTTCCCCAAAGCCAAAACCGGCCCGGGGGAGGATGGGCCGGATCGGCGCCGCGGTCAAGGCGAGCGAAAAGGCCCCGCCGGCGGCCGAGGACAAGCCCCCGGAGTCGTCAAACACGGCCACCGCCGAGGAGGACGACGGGTCCGCCGCCGCGGCCAAGGCGCGCCCCGCCAGGAGGATGGGCAAGATCGGCAAGGCCGCCGCGGGCGGCACGAAGCAAGGGGGGACGGAGAAGACGTCGGCGACGACAGCGGCACCGGGAGACGTGGGAGGTCGGCTAAAGCCAGGGCGTCGGAAGAGCCCGCTGCTCCGCCGCCGAAGCGCGAGACGTCGGAGGAGCGTGCAGCACGGCGACACCAGGAGCTCCAGGAGCAGCTTGCAAAGAAGGCCGCGGCGGGCCCTGTCAAGAAGAAGAGGAAGTTTTGAGGATGTCGTTGAAGTTTTGCATCACTAGCGTTGTCATGTCACGTTTACGAGTTTGGCACTTTGCTTCCCCATAGCCACCTACCATCTCTCTGGTATAGTAGAGCGATTTCCATGAATTCTTTCTCCAGCGACACTCCTGCCATCTCCTTGGGTCAAGTCGCCGCGCAGTCTCATTGGGATGAGCCTCCAACATGGTTGCACACAATTTGGCGGGGCGGGACAGCACTTAGCCTTTTGAAACACACCCACTGCTCCGACTTCCCGCCATGGTGTCACCGCTACGAACGTCATCTGTTGTGACGACTTGGTGACAGGTGAAGAAGCTGAGGCCTGACGGCCGTTTGTTCAGGGTTTGGCAGGTACCTCAGTGGGCAGAGGCATTTTTGCTTTCAGGCAATACAACGTCACGAGAACAACGAGAGAGACAGGTGACGAAGCGGCCCGGGAGCCCGGCCCGGATGGCACAATGCGCATCAGGCCGAGAAAATGCCGACCACACACGCACTCAGTGGTAGGTAGGTGCCATCCTCAGTGCGGAGCGTCTGATGGCGAGTGACGGGTGACCTGACCGTGGAACAGCGTCCAGAGCGATCGGAGCCGCCCGGACACTCCTGTCACAAAACTGACAAGTCCGCCCGCGTGGTCCTACGCTGCTGACACATGCCGCAAAGTTTCTTTCAAGCGCCTGGCGGCGGCGGTTGGCGGGGGGTAGGCGGTGGTCATTCTGCAGGCAACGAGTGCCGAGCCGTCTTGGAAACGCGGGGGAGAAAGCCGTCTAAGACCTACATAGGTTTTCCGCGACGGCGAACGGGAATGGCGAGCTTTGGTCCACGTTAAGGCCTGCCTGGTTTGGGATCGCGGGGTTGCGGGTTGCGGGTTGCGGGTTGTGGAGGGAAGTCGACGATTGTCTTGATTGAGTGGTGACGGAAGACTGCCGCCCGCGTTTTGGCGCACTGCATGGCGCCAGCAGGTTGGGACTCTCGGAGCCGAAAAAGGATCAGGCGGAGGCGTGGTCCGAGGAGGGAGCGGGGAAAGGCCCGGGCTGGCGTCCAAGGGCAGCACGGGGTCGGTAGAGGGGTGGGAAAGGTGAGGATGAGAAGATGGCACGGGCACGTGGGGGAATGCTTCGGGGCGTGGTCACTGATGTCGGTTATCTAGATTTTGTCTGAGGTTATCGTGGGCGGTTGAGAAAGCGCAAGGCCAAGACAGTCGAGATGGAGATGGCAGGGTTGATGGCATGACAGGAGGCCCCTGGCTGGCAAACACGAGACGGGGCCCCAAAAGCTCAAAAAGCTGGGCAGGAACCCGGCTCAGTCGCTTCCCCACGGCCACGGCTGGATCCTTGGCGGCGCTGCGGGTCAGCTCGTGTTGTCAGTTATCGCACCAATTATAGCACAAACTGTGGCCCTGTTCCCACCCACCAGCCAATCCCGCTGGCCGCCAGCAGTCGGGCGCCAATTGGGAGACACCAGCGCCGGGTTGCTGCTCTCCTGGCCAACGGAACAGCATCGCCGAGGAAAAAGGGGGCAGGGTCCTGTTGCTGCAGCACCGTTGCAGCGGCCGACTTCTCGACTCCTCCTCGACCATTCCATTCCCCTCACCATCCAAAAATCGGCCCAAAAAAGGTTCCAACCCAACCGATCGGGACTGCGACTGGTTCGACAGCGGCTCGTCCGCGCTGCCCCAGGGGTAGGGCCCAGAGTGGGATCCTCCTCGTGTCGGCATGGATACCCCGGAACGTGCGCGTTCTGCTGGCCTTGCCGAAATTGACATTCTAGGACCAGATTGCGGCTGCTGAAAAAGCGCATTGTTGAAGAAGCAAGCTGAAGGTCGGTGAGCGAGCAACAAGCGGAGGGGCACACAGCAAAATCTCTTCTGGTGACGTGACTGGCTCGTCCACCTTGAACCTTAACCACGCCAGCCCGAACCGAATGCCCGCCTTTGGCTGCGCCATGGGGGTTGTGGTCATCTATCTCCTGCAGTATGTATGTGCCTGCCCACCTAGGTCGGGGCCTCGCGCTGCCTTGGTGCAGATCGGAACGGCGGCTAGCGGCATCCCCCCTCACATAGCGTCTTTCCTTTCCCTCTCTCTTTTTTTTCTTTTCTTCTTGTTCCCTCCTTTCCCATTCGGTGGAAATTACCGACTTGCGACGCCCGTTTAGAACAGAACCATCATGGGGCCATGAATCCCGCCTCCGTCTCTCCTCCTCCCAGCTGGACCTGGCCATTGGGTCCCAGACATGCATGACTCCTCCACCGGTCTCTCTCCTGTGCCGAGCAGTCTGCTGTCTGTCTTCCTACCAGCACCCACTTGTCTCTCGCTCATTATATATCTCAGTGCACAATAATACATATACCCCTTAGCCTCGACCGATATTGCATCCGGCTTCTGGTCGGTCAACAGGCCGGACATGATACTCAGGGCAAATACCTACGCCCGCGACCCGGCGATCTCCGAATCCGTGAACAGCACAATAGCCACCACAACAAGAGCGCCGCCGCTGCCGCCGCCATCATCAGCCAGCCCCGACCCCTTGGCGGCCGCAAACGGTCCGAGGGAAACGTCCTCGCCCGCGGCAGGAGCATCAGAAAACTACATCCCTCTGTTCGTGGTCATCGCCGTCCTCGGCCTCATGCTCCTCATCATGGCAGGCATGGTCATCTACACCATGGCGCGGCGGCACCGGCGGCGGCGCTCCGAGGCGGCCGAGGACTTCTTGTCGGCGCGGCGCCGCGACCCTAACCTAACGTGGGAGGAGTACGAGCGCAGCCGCAAGCTGACGCACTCGACCGTCATGCTCGAGGAGGAGCGCGTGCGCGTCGCCATGATCGACAAGTCGCTGCGCAGCCGCGCCTCGGTCGACCAGCCCGCGCTATCGGAGCGCGCGCCAAGCATCCCGGACGAGCCGCTGCCCCCGACGCCCGCCAGCCCGCGCGTGCGCACCAACTGGGTCTCGGGCCGGCTGAGGCGCCAGCGCGCAAACTCGGACGGCACCGACGACTTTGACGCCGACGACAAGGAGATGCTGCTCGGGGGCGCGTCGCCCTCGCCCGTGTCCTCGCCCTCGGTCCTGCAGCCGCCGCACTGCGTGTGGAGAGATGTCGGGGACAGCGCCAGCGCGGGGAGCGGCACGCCCTCGTCTGGGTCCAGGCCGTCCAGCAGCGGCAACCACAACAGCCACCGCACCAGGAGCAACAGCACCGGCAACAATAGCCCGCGGCCCAGCCCGAGCTCGAGCCAGCGGTGGCTGTGGGAGCTGCCCGACGGCAAGAAGTGCCCGCCGGCCTGGGCCAACGCGCGGTGGGGTGGTGACAACAGGGACGCGCCGCCGCCCGTGCCGCCGCCGTCGCTGCGCACGCGCACGCCCCCCATCTGGGCGCACCCGGCCTTCAGGCCAGAGGGCGGCGCCGGCACCATTGTCGCCAGGAGCTTCACAAACGACACGGGCATATATCCGTCCGAGATGGCGAGGGTGAAGCCGGCGTCGCTGGTTTAGCTTCTCGATTGGCTTTTTAGAAAACAAAACGACAACTATATGACACATGATGGTTTATGTTTATGGCTTGTTTTTTTTTGCATCTAGAAATACTTATTTCGTCGGTACAAACAGGACTACGATCCTGGGGGCCACGTACCGGAGCTGGTACAATGGGGAAGGATGGTACAGCCCCTTGCTGGGCATGGGTCAGCGGATTTTCTGTGTAATTTTAATGTGGCGTATGGTTGAGGAGCCAAATCAGGAGTTTGGCGTCGGAAGGTAGCGTTTGTGAACAAAGCATCAATAGAAGATGACGGTCTCGATCATATTTTATTTTCCTGGACTTCTGAATGAACACAAGTGAAATGGTGGTCCAATAATAAACGTGATGATAAGACGCGATTCAGAAGCAACGAGGGTGACACGTGTCATATCACGTGTACACACTCCAAGGTTTCTCCGCTTGAGCATCAAGCCAAGACTTTGGAACGTTCATCGGCTCTCTGTGACCCACTTGAAGGCGGTCCATGTCCCAACGTCGCCATCATCGCTGGCCGCCAAACACCACGCCGACAGGTCTCCAGCCATCTTCTCCGAGCTCCCTGAATTAGACCGCCTACGAAAGAACTCACTAGATCGACAACTATACTGGTTCGGCCGTCCGACGTCGCCGAGATGGATCCTGGGCGTGCCGCCATGATCGCGGGCTCAAAATCGCCAACACGAAGCGACGCGCCGCCAGGCAAGGACCGGAACCGAGATCGAGGCATCACGGCCCCCAGACGCGACCCGGCAAATCGGGTATCGAAGCCCTCCAGGAATCCCAACAACAGCAACAACAACAGGAGGCCGCCACACAGCAACAGCGGCGGCGGCGCGATGCCGCCGCCGGCGACCAACAACCCCCGGCACTTCAAGACGCAGGACGAGCAGTCGGAGGAGTTCGTGGCGGGCGAGGACAAGTTCGTGCTGCGGCAGTCCAAGAAGAAGGCCGACATCCGCGTGCGCGAGCGGCGCGCCAAGCCGGCCGACTTCCTAGCCTTCAACCTGCGCTGGGTCGACGAGGACCGCGACACGCTCGACGACGACGAGGCCGACGTGGCCATCAACGTGCCGCGCCCGGCCAAGCTCATCGCCGGCCTGAGCGAGCGGCAGCTGGACGGGGTCGAGGCCGAGATCAGGTCGTACCTGACACTCGAGACGAGCGCGCGCAACCTCGAGTACTGGAGCGCCCTGCAGGCGCTCTGCGCCGACCACCGCAAGCAGCTGGGGCGACCCGAAGGTGGTGGTGGTGGTAGTGGTAGTGGTAGTGGTGGTGGCGGGGGTGAGGGCGGCGGCGCGACGGCGGCAGAGTCGGTCGCGGCCAGCGTGGACAAGCTCCTGGGGCCAAAGTCGTACGAGCAGCTCGAGGCGCTCGAGAAGCAGATCCGGGCCAAGCTGGACTCCAACGAGCAGATCGACCCGGACTACTGGGAGAACCTGCTCAAGAGCCTGCTGGTGTACAAGGCCAAGGCGAGGCTGAACGTCATCATGGAGGAGATCCACCAAGTGCGGCTGGAGCTGCTCAAGAACCTGGACCCCCAGGCGCTCGCCAACTCCAACGTGCTTAGCCGCCCGCCGCAGGGCGCTAAGCGGGGCACCAGCATCCTGGCGTGGACGACGACCAAGGGCAAGGAGGGCAAGAGCAAGGATGGCAAGACCGTTGAGGAGGCAGTCGAGGGCTCCTCGTCATCGTCGTCGACGACGCTGGTGAAAGCGGGATCCAGCACCGCGCCCGCGGCCCCCGGGGCGGCGCCGCCCGGCACGGCGCGGTTCGCGCAGGGCGAGACGGACGACTTCTCGCAGGCGGCCAAGGCGCTGTATGAGCGCGAGCTGGCGCGCGGCGTGGGCGAGGACGAGGTGATCTTGACGGCCGAGGAGACGCTGACAAAGTCCAAGCCGTGGTGGGCCAACAAGCACCGGCCGCGCAAGCCGCGCTACTTCAACCGCGTGCAGATGGGCTACGAGTGGAACAAGTATAACCAGACGCACTACGACCACGACAACCCGCCGCCCCGGACGGTGCACGGCTACCGCTTCAACATCTTCTACCCGGACCTCATCGACAAGACCAAGGCGCCGACCTTCAAGATCATCCGCGAGGGCGGCCGCCGGCGCGGCGAGACGACGGCGCCCGCGGGCCAGGAGGACACGTGCCTGATTCGCTTCATCGCCGGGCCGCCGTACGAGGACATTGCCTTTCGCATCGTTGACAAGGAGTGGGACTATAGCGCCAAGAGGGAGCGGGGGTTCAGGAGCAGCTTTGACAAGGTAAGTTTGCCCTGGCCGTGTTCCTTTCTGCGGTCCACACTCACCTACCTACTGCCACGCAATCGTCGATCATCGACATTTTCCCTGCGCGAACACACCCAAACACCCAAACACCCACACATACACACATACACACATACACACACCTCCTATACCCCATCCCTGCGGGCCAGACTTGGCTGGCCAACCCCCACACGTGCCATCGGCCGACTGGCTGGAACTGCTGCTGCACCAAGAGGAGGTGTGCGCAGCGTGGTCCCCTCCGGCTACCAGGTTTTTGTCACCCTTGTCATCCATCCCCATGTCCACTACCCCTGGCCTCAACGTCTGCAGGCTTTGGTTTCTTCCTCATGTGCCCCACCCACCCTGGCGTTGTGTCTGTATGCGAGCGAGTTCATGTGGCGGCTGACATTCCTTTTTGCGCTAGGGAATTCTACAATTGCATTTTATGTTCAAAAAGGTAGGTTTGCAGGCTTGCCCCTCCCCTCCCTACACGGCCGCATCTGCGCCTTGCATATGCGGTGCGTTGCGACACTTACATGAGGCTGACCTGTCACCCGCAGATCTACTACAGAAAATAGGTCAACCCGGTTTTCGAGAGGGGCAGAGGGGAGGAAAAGGAACCGCACGGCCACGACAGCAGACGTCACTCCTCCCCC